CAGCAGCAGCCGCAGCCGCAGCAGCAGCAGCAGGAGCAGCAGCAGCAGCACCAGCGGCCACACCAGCAGCCCCCCCTACTGCCACTGCCCCCGGTTCCCCCCCCCGTTCGGGTCCCCGCGTCTCACCAGGTTGCTACGTCCCCCCAGGTGTCTGTGTCGTGTCAGGTTCCTACGTCTGTTCCAGTCGCTGCGTCGTGCTCCTGCCGGTCGCTTGCCCACCCCACCGTTCTGTGGCACCACCGGATGGGGCACCCGTCCCTTCCACGTCTGCGCGCTATGTCTAGTCAGCGTCTTGTCCTAGGCCTCCCACGTGTCTTGCCATCGCTGCCGCCTTCGCCTGCGCCGCCGTGTCGTCCCTGCGTCGAGGGTAGGCTGCGCGCCACCCCTCACTCCTCCTCCCTTCGTCCGGCCACCGAGCCTTTTGAGACGCTTCACTTGGACGTCTGGGGCCCAGCCCCTCGTCTAGGCCCTGAGCGTGAGCGTTACTTTCTGGTGGTCGTTGACGACTTCTCCCGCTACACCACAGTGTTCCCTCTGGCGAAGAAGTCTGAGGTGACTTCTACGCTGATCAGGTGGTTGCTCACCACTGAGGACACTCGTGGTCGTCGTGTCAGCTGTCTCCACTCCGACCGTGGGGGTGAGTTTCGCTCCGGCATTCTCGCTGGATTCTGTCGCGAGCAGGGCATTCGTCAGTCCTGGACGCTTCCAGAGTCCCCACAGCAGAATGGGGTTGCTGAGCGCCGCATAGGCCTGGTCATGGAGATCGCCCGCACCTCCCTGACTCACGCCTGTGCCCCCCATTTTCTGTGGCCCTACGCGGTCAGGTACGCCGCGCACCAGCTGAACCTCTGGCCACGTGTCTCTCGACCAGAGGTTTCACCGACCAGTCTTTGGACAGGGTCCCCTGGTGTTGCGTCGCGGTTTCGTGTCTGGGGGTGCTTGGCTCTTGTCCGCGACACCTCCGCGGACAAGCTCTCGCCTCGTGCCGTCCCCTGTGTCTTCCTTGGTTTCCCTGAGGACTCCTCTGACTTCACCTTTTACCACCCTCCCTCTCACCGGTTCTTTGACTCCCGTGACGTCCGTTTCGAGGAGTCCACTCCGTACTACGTCAGGTACCCCAGTCGAGGTCTCCCGGTTCCTCCTCCCCCCCTCTTCCTGACTGCCGTTCCCCCTCCTGCTCCCCCGGTACAGCCTCCCCCCCCTGGTCCAGCCCCGTCAGGTGTGTCCCAGGCTACCCCTCCTCCTTCGGTAGCCCCTCCGGTACAGCCTCCCTCCCCACAGTCCTCCTCGCAGCGTGCCGCTGGTGCTAGCTCTCGAGAGGTTGGTGCGGCGCATGTTCCTGTACCGGTTTCTGGTTCTGGGGGTGCTGGAGTTGGAGCTGGAGTTGGAGCTGGAGTTGGCACTGGAGTTTCTGGTTCTGGGGGTGCTGGAGTTGGAGCTGGGGTTGGAGCTGGAGTTTCTGGTTCTGGAGTTGGAGCTGACCCGGTGGGTGCAGAGGACTCTTGTCGTCCGGGAGCTGGTGCTGGCCGCGCGGACACTGGGGGTGCTGCGTCTGGGGGTGAGGGTGCGCCTCCTTTGGGTTCAGGTGAGCCTGGTTCTGGAGCTGGTGTTAGTGCTGCCTCTGGGGGTGGTGCGCCTAGTCCTTCTGAGGTGGACTCTGGAGCTGCCGCTGCTTCGGACACTACTTCACCCCCCCACCCCTACCCGACTAGGCACCAGGCTCGTGTTCGCCGTGCCCGTGACGAGCAGCTGGCGTTGGAGAGAGAGGAGAGGGAGTTACAGCGGCTGGAGGAGCAGCAGCAGCAGCTGGAGCCGCAGGAGCAGCAGCAGCAGCAGCAGCAGCTGGACCCGCAGGAGCAGCAGTCCCAGCAGCAGCCGCGTCCGCAGCAGCAGCAGTCGCAGCCGCAGCAGCAGCAGCCACTTCCTCCTCCTGTCTCGGGTCTTCGGATCCTTGGTCTCCCCTCCCCTTCTCCTCCCTCCTCCGCCTCTCCTCCTGTCTATGGTCCCACGTTTCCTCCTCCTGACTCCTCCCCCGCTGTTTTCCCCAGTTCTCCGCCCTTGTCCTCTTCTCCTCCGTCTCGTTCTTGGGCTACTCGTCGCTCCCCTCGTGCTCGTCCCTCGTCTCCTGTTCCCTTCACTGACCTTCGTACTGCCTTCCTTCTTTCTAGTCCACCTCGTCCGTCTCAGTCTGTACTTCCGTCTCCTCCTGAGTCGGCCCTCACTGTGTCGCTCCCTACTCCTGTCACTGACTACTACCGCATGTACCGTCCTGTTCTCTCTCGTGTTCTCGCCTCTCTTGTTACTCACCCTCGTGTCTCTGTGTCCTCTGTGTCCGCTCTTACTGCCGCGGTTACTGACTTTGCCTCTACCCGCCGCCTTGACTACGCCACCACGCTTGTGACTGCTCCTCCTACCAGTCCTCTGGTCGTCGGGGGTGTGTCTGCCCTTGGCTGTGACGCCCTAGAGGACAGGCAGTTTGAGCTAGAGTTCCTGGCGACCGCTTCCCCTCATCTCTGTGCCATGCTCCTCGCCCCTGAGGGTGACCCCGACGCCCTTGACATTCCGACTCCTCGCACTTACGCTGAGGCAGTGTCAAGGCCTTGGGCCTCTCAGTGGAGAGCTGCCATGGACGCAGAGATGGCCTCCTACAGATCCACAGGCACCTACGTCGATGAGGTTCCCCCCCCTGGGGCGAACGTAGTCGACGGCATGTGGATCTACAGGGTGAAGCGGCCACCGGGATCTCCCCCGGTCTTCAAGGCGCGCTACGTGGCTAGAGGTTTCAGTCAGCGCGAGGGAGTTGACTTCTTTCAGACCTTCGCACCTACCCCGAAGATGACCACTCTTCGGGTGTTACTACACGTAGCAGCACAGAGAGACTACGAGTTACACTCTCTCGACTTCTCCACTGCTTTCCTTCAGGGCAGTCTACACGAGGAGGTCTGGTTGCGTCGTCCCTCGGCCTTCACTGGCACTTTCCCTCCTGGGACCCAGTGGAGGCTGAGGCGACCTGTTTACGGTCTTCGCCAGGCCCCTCGTGAGTGGCACGACACTTTACGTTCTACCCTCTCTGACCTTGGGTTCCAGCCGTCTTCTGCCGACCCGTCGCTGTTTGTTCGTCGTGGCTCCACACCGTTCTTTGTTCTGGTCTACGTCGACGACCTCGTTTTCGCCACTTCGGACAGGGTTGCTTTGGCAGACGTGAAGTCCGAACTGCAGAAGAGACACACGTGCACTGATCTTGGTGAGCTGCGCCACTACCTTGGCCTGCAGATCACCAGGGACAGAGCCGCTCGCACCATTACACTCTCACAGTCACACATGGTGCAGCAGGTCCTTCAGCGGTTCGGGCTTCAGCACTCCACCGTACAGCGCACACCTCTAGCTGTTGACCACAGACTCACTGGTCCCTTTCCTGACGAGCCGTTTGAGCCTAGTGGTCCCTACGCAGAGCTTGTGGGTTGCCTCATGTACCTGATGACTTGTACTCGCCCGGACCTCGCCTTCCCTCTCAGCATCCTTGCGCGCTTTGTTGCGCCAGGGAGACACCGTCCTGTTCACTGGACGGCAGCTGTGAGGGTTGTGAATTACCTAGCGACTACATCAGGCGTGGGGCTAGTTCTTGGAGGGCAGCAGTCTGTCGTACTCACTGGTCACTGTGACTCCTCTTACGCTGACGACGCTGAGACTCACAGGTCTACTCAGGGGTACTGTTTCAGTCTGGGTTCTGGAGCTGTTTCCTGGCGTTCCACGCGCTCCTCTTCTGTCTCGACCTCTACAGCTGAGGCTGAGATTTACGCTGGTGCCATGGCGGCACAGGAGTTGCGGTGGTTGACCTTCTTGCTCGCCGACCTTGGTGAGCGGCCGAGCTCTGCACCGACCTTGTTTACTGACAACAAGGCGTCGATCCTCCTCTGTCGTGAGCCGCGACTGGAGAGCAGAGTGAAGCACATTCACGTCAGGTACTTTCTTCTGCGAGAGTTGCAGAGGCGTGGACAGGCTCGCTTCGAGTTTGTAGAGTCCGAGGCCAACACTGCAGACATCTTCACCAAGGCGCTTCCGCCTTGTGACCACCAGAGGTGTTGTGTGCAGTTAGGCCTTGTTGACACAGGTTCTAGTCATGCGTAGACTTGAGTTTATTGCCTGCTTCGTCTGTACACTTACTATATATACTTGTGATCTCTTGGACTGGCCTTGTGGCCACTGTTGCTTGTGCTCAGAGTGTGTGGTGACGTTGTGATCCACCCTGAGCTTTGTTTTCTTTTGGACTGGTCTTGTGACCGTACTCTTTTTTTTGTTTTTGCTAGACACCCCTCACTTAGGCTATGGGGGTGTGTCAAATGTTGTAGCCTGTAGTGAGGTTTGTCTTAGGGGGTACAGAAGTTAGGGTTTGTTATATGTACCCCAACCAACATCAATGGAACATCCATTCCTCATTCTGACACATGGGCATGGTACATTGACCAGCCCATGTGGCATGGAGCTGGCACCAGACCATGTGGTTCATGCATGGAGCTTGCACCACCCACGCTGATTTTACCACTTAAACGGTACCAGCTTGATCCGCAACAACAAATCCATGATTCATTTTCGGGTGAAAACTTCTCTCTTCCTCCCTCTTCCTTCCCTCTCCTTCCTTCCCCCTCTTTTTCTGCGCCGTCCGTTGTTCTCCATACCAGATATCATACTTCTGTCACTCATTTTCCAAGATCATTTCTCACCCTCCCTCCTCTCCCCTTCCTTTTCCTTCTACCCTCCTTGCACCCAATCACTCGACTCCCCATCAGTTTCCTTCTCATGCCCTCATTCTGCTTCTTCACCCGTATTCTAGTTCCCATCCCATTCAGATGTATCATGACCGTAGTATGGATAATTAGCTGAGCATCGTACCATCTCACAAAAAGTACATATAAACATGAGCACGGACAACATGCAACGTACTGTTACTTACGATGTAGAGTGGAGCACTTTCATAACCATTTCCTTGCCATACCTCTAAACTAGATACTCTTGGGCTTAAAAACCTGGATATCATCCAGAATATCCGCTGTGAGCCACTTCCACTTGGCTTCAAACATGTTCCCCACACAGAAATGTGTGCACTCTGGCTGGTTCGTGTCCTCATCCGGTGTCTTGCACCTCGGAGGCCAAACAGCCGGCCTTTGTTTCGAGCGAACCGAGTTGTTCTCCACGTCATCTTGAATCAGACGAGAATCGCACTGGTACATATTGGGGCGAACGACTTGGCTAGGATGCTCCATAGCGCTGGCTGAGTATTTGACCAGCAGAATCGCCCAGTAGAGGCGACGACTTTCCCACGTGCACACCTCGCCGGCAAGCTGATTGGCCTGCTTCACGATTCGCTGCGCTTCCTGGTCGTGGTCCCGCGCCCATTCGATCTGCTGGTACAGATTGGAGAAGTATCGGTGTGTGGGGACAAAGTGCTGATTGGGACACAGTAGGGGGTCAAAGTACTGAAAGTACTCGCTCATCTGCTTGACCATCATCTGTTTGCTTGACAGGATCTTGCACACGCGGCCACTGCCAGTCCCGCCATCCACATCGAGCTCGTACTTGTACCCCAGCTGCTGCGACGGATCGAGGCGTTCGCCCATCTCTATCCCATCCTGCCGCAAGCTCTCTAGAAGCTCCCCATTCACAGCTGCATTCAGGCGGTTCTCAACAACCTTCGCGTCGAGGATATCGGGACGCAATTGAGACATACGATGCACGCGGAACCGAGGGCTGGCTCGCCACTGCGTGTCGTAGCTAACGTGGAAGTTGGTCATCCCGCCGCGAAAGACAGCCCGGCTCTGCTTCTGCTCCCACGGCACAGCATCCTCCCCAGTATGGAAATAACTCTTGCTCAGATCCACCGGGTCAGGGTAGAGTATGTCGATGCTGCCGGGCGCGCCGTGCGGGCTGAAAATAGGGAGGCCGGCGCGACGATCGGCAATGGAGGAGGATTTGCTCATGTGCATGTCGCAGGTGCTGAGGAAGAACTCGGCGTTGAGGGAGTGCAGGTTGTACTTTGCAATTGCCTCCTTGATCATGAGGATTGAGAAGACGAAGCGGCGCATGCGGTACCAGAAGAAGTCGAACCCGCCGAGACGGAAGAAGATCTCGCCGTTGACTATGCGCACGTGGCCAGCGCACGAGAGCACCTGGATGTTCACAGTCCAAGAGAGGGGGATGCAGGCAGACATTACTAGTATTGAGGCGCCTCAAAACTAGGCACGTGAGCAGCGCTCGAGAGCACCTGGATGTTACTGTGAAATTTGAGGGGAATGTAGGCAGAGAGTAGTACAAGTACGATATGGTTAAGCACCTGAATTCATGGTGAAAATAGGTTCATGGGGTAGCGTTGGGTCAGTTAGTACACAGGAGAGAAACGACTGGTAATGGAAAGTTATCTCTGAAACTATGTCTCTAGCTTTCAAGAGAGAAACGATTGGCATTGTGAGGGCCCAAGGCAGGAGGCAAGGGGATGGGCCGAGGCTCACTATGTATACTGCAAAATTCTAACCGAGTAGTAGTACCTAGTAGCAGGAGGTCATGGGAGGTACTCACGCTGGCCATGCGTCCCATACGATTCAGAAGACGCGGGCTGATCATTCCCCCCGCCCCCATGCCCTGTTTCACCCCGGGGATGCCCATCCACGGGCGCAGATACGTGTGCGCCAGGCACGCCAAGCGGCGCACGGTGGGGGAATTTCCATGCACTTGCAACTCGGGGAAGGCCGCGAGATCAGCCACGCACTCGCTGTCGTCGGCGATGTCTGGAAAGCCGCACGACCCGAATCCAGCCTCGTATAGCCTCTCCACGGACTCCCGTGGCGGACTGTTAGGGCCCTCGGACGAGTTGGTACTAGTCACTGCATGAGCGCCACTGCTGCGTCGCAATTGGAGATTATTGGAGTTCTCCAGGTGCGTCCACTGAGGAGCCTGAGACTTGCTGGGCGTGGCGTCAACCTGTCACAATAGACAGAAAATGGTGGTGAATTCCATATGAAAGGAAAAGAAAGACGAGGAAGGGGGAAAAAGAACGAAGAAAAAGGCACACGGCAGGAAATGACGTGTGGAAAACCAGTACTAGTAGCGGGGCAATTAGTAACGGTACAATAATAGTCCTAGGACTTACCAATAAGTGGGGAACGATGGTGATGGCCAGCCAAATAAACAGCCAGTGGCAACGCGTGTGTGTTGCTTCCTCCATCAGCGTGGTGCTTTCCGATCAGACTACTATCTGTTTCAATGAAGTTCTACCAGGCTGACTGTTGAACCCGAACGGGGTGGGGTGGGGTGGGGAACGCTGATACTATCAGTAAATGGTGCGATCCAAGACTGTTTGCTGTGCCGAACCTAGTTGAGAGAGCCAATCTTATTACTTATTTCGAAGGTCAAAATCTTACACCTGATGGAACTGAACTGGCCCTCGGAATCTGCATTGAGTCGCATAGTCGAAAGATAACTGGGGAATGCCCAAATAATTAGAATCCCACGCGGAAAATACTGTTCCTTGAGTGAGATTAGGTTTCTCATGATTCTCGCACAAAACACGCTATGCTACCCAAATTCTAGAGATTGCAGTCGAAGTGGTAACGCTTTTGAGCCCCATTTCTAGCAATCCGATCTATTCCCGATGAATGGAGGTGAGTGTGAAGCGTTGACATAAAGTGACTAAATTAAGGGACTGAAAAGAGTAAACGGTGTAAGTCGCTGGTCTGCTGCCGACGATTGGCAGGTTCGACGAAGCGGTTGCGCTCCCGGCGCGATCTTGTGGCTTAAATTCTGAGGGTGAATGCTCGTCTTTTATCTCTAAACCGGATCTAGAATGGTAGAGTTTGATAAGTGATTGAACCAGACAGCTGCTGTCGAGAATGACGAATGGTCAATTTGCCAATACGATGGGCGAGAGCAAAACCAGCTCGAGGATGGTTTGGCGAGAGACCGAACTCGCAATATTTTCTACATAACCCCTGTGGGGTGGCTACCACCCCCAGCTCAGCTCTTCCTGAAACATTACGCCCCTCGAAATGCGGAACGGCATACGAGGTCCATCGACCTAGCCGCGATAACACGTAACCTCCAACACCTGACCTGCGGGAACACCTGAGTACGGGAACACGCAATCTCCAACACCTGACTTCGGGAAAAAACATATAATAAACCTCCTCAAACCTGAAGGGCATGCCTTCCGGTGTTTTTTATGTTTTTATTTTCGCCAGCGGGCAGCTAGAATGAATGGACGCCAGCACAGCACAGCACAGCACGCGCGGTCCACCCACCTGGGCTGTGGAGGGGAAGACCTCCAAATCCCCTCGTTGGATGGAACGGAAGGCCCATATTGGTGCCGTCCCCTCCAAATCACCTCCTGATGATACCGCCCTACGCCAAACATCGCAATGACCCTGCATACTGGTCAGGAGAAAAAGTCGGGATAACGACGTGTTGCGACCCAACAAGGTTGGGTTGGGTTGGGTTGACCTGGTCGACCTGACCATCGCGGCTCGGGGCCTCGAAGAATCTCAGAGAAATTGTGGCACACCCTCCAAGCACTTACAGCGCAATTCATTTCTAGGTTCCTTGCAGGCTAGGCGAGCTGTGACGAGAGTCAGAAACTCGCTAAACCAACGGTTACTCCAAAACTAGCCTCGCTGGATTTCCAATTCGTATACGATTATAATACGTACTTTGAGCGAGATTATATATTTCGTTAGCTTAGGTAACTCGTCGCAATCTTGCTGAGCTGGTCGGGTGGACCTGGTTGGCCCGACCAGGTCGACCCAGATCGGGCAGACCCAACCCGACGCGGGTCGGGTCAAGCTGGTTGGCTAGATCCGCAACGCAGCCTTCCTAGAAATGAGAAATCCGACTGGTCGATCCGACAGGCCTCTGGATAGGATTTGAGTTGGTCTTTCCCATAAGGCCAACATCCTAGTTTCACTCTTTCAATCAGGGTACAAATTCAGAACACACTTATAAATCAGGGTGGAACTTTAAACAAGTCGTCAATAACCTTTTTACAAGATAGTTAACTCGTGTTCTGGTGTCCAGTTGTGTAGAAGTGATAATTTGTAGTGAGCACGCGGGTTCTAAAACCCGCCGCACGCGCTCGCCAGTACTCTTTTCGCGTGGAATTCTGACAGACTCGGTAAGAACTAGATCAGAACCGTCAGTGTAACTACATGTAGTTGATCAACAGCACTCTGAAATATCAGTGTCGTAAATCTAAACACTTTTTCTTGTAAGGGTCAATGGAAAAGCCACTCTGGTAAAAAAGGGTGCATAAGAAAACCCACCCTTATAGTAAGTGTCATAAGGGTGAATCACCCTTATATCAAGAGGCCTGCGATCCGACCTCTTTGGGTCGCAACACGTCGTAAGGTGGCAGCACAGCATAACTGAACAGTTTCTCTTTTGCATAAGTTTCATACACATGTTGTTTAAATCTCTTTTGGTGGACCCAATCATGAATTTCCTTGGGGCACTTTCCCCGTACATTATCACAATTCACAAGAATACCTTGCCCAAGCTAGGGTGCAAATTCTCAAGACATGCAGTTTGCGTATAATAAATCTCCATACCAATATGGGTGGAGCACCAAAAGAGATACGTACATGTAGTTTTTTTTTTCATAAACAGCCCATATTGAGGGATTTGCAACTGTTGGAGGGTGTGCAAGAGGAGAGTTGCTTTGAATGTGGTACATGGCTATTTCCAGAGAATGGTACTAGCAGCTGAATGTGTTACAAAAGGTCAGTCGTCATGAGCGAAAAATGCAAAGTTGCTTTCCTGCAAGGGAGATCAGGCAACGAGAGGCAGGGTCAGGAAATGGAGAGAGGGAGAGAGAAGTGAGAGGGAGAGATGAAAAGGGAGGGAGGCGATGCCAGGAGGGCAGGAAAAGGAGAGGCAAAACCAGGAGGGCAGGAAAAAAAATATTGTACATTGGCACCCCAGAGAGCATTATTGGACATTGACCAGCATTGACCTGAGGTGTGAGACAGCTGCACCTGACCTGAATAAACCAGAGTTGACTTGAGCTGACCGGTGTTGACTTGAGCTGACCTGAGCTGCGAAACGGCTGCGCCTGGCCTGGGTTGGCCATCATTGACTTGAATTGACCAGCGTTGACTTGGACTGACCTGAGCTGCGAGACGGCTGCACCTAACCTGAATTGACCAGCGTTGACTTGAGCTGACCAGCGTTGACTTGAGCTGACCAGCGTTGACTTGAGCTGACCAACGTTGACTTGAGCTGACCAGCATTGACTTGAACTGACCAGCGTTGACTTGAACTGACCAGCGTTGACTTGAACTGACCAGCGTTGACTTGAGCTGACCAGCGGTGACTTGAGCTGACCTGCGTTGACCAGCGTTGACTTGAGCTGACCAGCGTTGACTTGAGCTGACCAGCGTTGACTTGAGCTGACCAGCGTTGACTTGAGCCTACCTGAGCTGCGAGACGGCTGCGCCTGCGAGCCACAGAGCGGTTGCGACTGGCCTCGGAGTTGGGAGAGAGAATCATACGCTGAAGGAGAGGCGAGGGGGGAAGCAAAGCCACGAAATGGGGTGGGGGGTGGACGAGGAGGAAAGGGCAGGACGAATGGGTGGTGAAGACTGAGCTCATACAGCACAAGGATGTGAGCCCAGGGAGCAAATGGGAGCAGCTGGACTGGAAGTATGGGCATGGCAAGAAGGTCATTTGCGCAAGAAGGGAGGGTTGTGGAGGGGGAGGGGATATGGATGGGCGAGGCGATATGGAGGTGGAGGGGATGTGGAGGGACGGGGGGATATGGAGGTGGGGGGATGTGGAGTGAGGGGGGGATTTGGGGACGATGCAATTTAACTCAGCTTTTGCACGGCTTTTAAAGATTCGAGAACATCATTCTCTTACTTCACCCCGCCCTTCCTCACTTTCTGCAAGGCGGTTTGGAGAACCTCCTTTCTTCATGCAAGGCCGGTAGCTGTGCAGAGCTGTGCTGTGTCTCACCACTGCCCACCACTGCCCAGCGCTCACCTTCTGCACGGCGGTTTGGAACACCTCCTTTTTCTCCATGCGAGGCTGGTAGCTGAACACTTGATGCAGCAGCTCGTTCTCCTGGCAGGGGGGGAGGAGAAGGGCGGAAGGGGGACAGGGGTTGGGCGGGGAAGAGGTGGGGGGTGGGGGGGGGGGGGGGGGGGGGGAGGGGTCTAAAGACCTCCTTTTTCTCCATGCGAGGCTGTGAGCTGAACACCTGGTGCAGCAGCGCATTCTCCTGGCAGGGAGGGAAAAGGAGAGAGGGGGGGAGGACGGGGGGTTGGTGTTTTGGGGGAAAAGGACCAGAAAAAGGGTAGTGGGAACGGATGGGAGGGTGGGAGTGTGAACCATCCCCAAGGCATGTGGGTGGGAGTCTGGCATCAGCAGCTACAGACGCGTTGAAACATGGATCCATGGAGCCATGGCCAGCACGTGCTGCTGCCAACGAATTCAGCCCAGCCTAGGGACCGCCACAGCTGCCCTCAGAACCGCCAAAGTAGTTAATAAAACCAGCCAAGACAGTCTTAAGAACCGCCAGGGCAGTTAATAAAAACTGCCAAAGAAGTCCAGGAAAACCATCGAGGTTGTTTAAGAACCACGGAGGCAGTCGTAAGGAGCAGTGCAGGGGACCCAGTCAGTGTTGGCACCGCAGTGACAGCACCCCAAGGATGAGATGAGGTCACTGGGAGGGACAGGGAGGATGAGAACCTTCCCCATCCCTGTTGCTGGTGCCGATGAGACGAGGAATTGTGGTGTAGGTGGAGTGGAGGATTGAGATGGTTTACAAAAACCAGTCAAGCAGTGAGACTAACAAGCGAGGGAGGGAAAAAAAGGAGGGACGGAGCGTGAATGGGCAACTGGTATGTAGATGCATAGTGAAAATGGTAGCTGGTAGCTGCAGGCCCGATAAAGACCTGATGGACGCCTGCTTGCATTTATGGGATTGGAAAAGGGGCGATAGCCAGCCGGTTCTGAACCATCCCGACTGCTCCTCGCATGAAGCCTCCCAAAGCATGTGGGTGGGAGTCTGGCATCAGCAGCTATAAACGCGTGCGCCCATGGACCCATGGTCAACACGTGCTGCTGCCAACGAATTCAGCCCAGCCTAGAGCCTGAAACAGCTGCCCTCAGAACCACCAGAGCCGTCTTAAAGAACCGCCAAGGCTGCTTGAACAACCACCAAAGCAGTTTACCGAACTGCCAGAGCAGCTTGGAAAACAGCCAAGGCAGTTGGAAAAACTGCCAAGGAAGCTCTAAGAAACGCCCTAGCAGCCCAAAGGAACAGTGCAGCGGACCCAGTCAGTGTTGGCACTGATGCTGGCAGCATCCCAGTGGGATGGCGTCAGTGCGAGGGACAGGGAGGATGGGCACCTCCCTGTCCCTGCTGCTGGTGCCGATGAGACGAGGGATCAACAAGTGAGGGAGGGAGGGAGGAGGGAGGGAGGGGCGGAGAGAGGTAGGCAGAAGGGCAGAACGGCAGGAGTGGAGGACACACCTGCAAATGGCGTTGAAAGCCGTCCGCTAGAAACCTCCGGAGAGCATTCAGCTGGTGGGGGGTTGGGGGACAGAAGGGGAAGAAGCAGGGCAACGGTTGGAAGAATAGAGGGTTGAAGCAGGGCAAAAGGTGGTGACGGAATGAAGGTACTAAGTTAGCAAGCCAGGCGTCAGAACAGAACAAGTGGTGATGCCCTCATAACAATAACCAATTTTTGAGGCGCCTCAGAAATTGCCAGGCGTCAGAACAAGCGGTGATTCCCTCATAGCAATAAGCACAACACAAACACGCCTTGCTTGCCGTCTCACAACATGTCAGCGTCCACGTGTCAACCACTCACCTGCACTGTCAGCGTCCACGTGTCAACCACTCACCTGCACTGTCAGCGTCCACGTGTCAACCACTCACCTGCACTGTCAGCGTCCACGTGTCGACGCGCAGTGAGTCGCCGTGCTTCAGCCTGATCACCGTCTCGGAGCACCTCCCGTTGTCCTGATGAGGATGAGAGGGGTGGGAAGGGATGGGAGGGTGTGGTAGGGGGTGGTAAGGTGTGGAAAGGGGTGGAGCGAAGGGGTAGGGTCAACGTGCTTTAGCCTGATGACTGTTTCAGGGCAACACCTGTTGTCCTGGTGAGATTGAGTTGGAAGCCCCCCCATACACCTACATTGCAGTCACTTGTATGAAGAAGCGTTTGGAGACGTCTCAAAACACTTCTTCATACACCTGGTGAGGTCGAGTTGGAAGTTCCCCCATACACCTACATTGAAGTCACTTTCTGGAATTCTCGGAAAATGCTATAACCACCCACCCAACTCTCATCAGGACAGCAAGTTCCAAAGAACCCAACAAGATAAATCTGAACATTTTTCGAAGAATGCACACATGCACCCATGCACATGGAAACGTTGAGGCAAAGACACACACTCACCCGGATGGACCCGAGGATCTCTCGGAATGCGGGCCGCTGGGAAAGTCAGTCCTAATTCGTCATTTGCTTGCTGCTGCCCACCGTCAGCTGCTGCACCTCGTTGACTGTTGCACTTCACCCCATGCACCCATGCACCCACGCACCCATGCACCCACGCACCCATGCACCCACCCACCCATGCACCCATGCACCCAAGCTGATCAAGAACATCAGAACGACTCACTTACCCTGATGGACCCGAGGATCTCCCGGAACGCCAGGCGCTGTGAGAGGCGGTCCTTCTTGGTCATCTGCTTGCTGCTGCCCACCGTCAGCTGCTGCATCTGCTCCACCGCCCTCTGTACCGTCGCACTGCCCTGACGCCCACCTGTTTTACAAGGCACGGGGCATGGCGCATGGGGCATAGGGGAGCAGGATGCGAATCAAATTGGAAGTCACCCCATCTGCTTGCTGCTGCCCACCGTCAGCTGCTGCATCTGCTCCACCGCCCTCTGCACCACTTTACAGCACATCACCGCCGTGCACAGGACGGCACCACACCACACCGCACAGCACAACACAGCACTGCACCATGCACCACTGCCAATACCTGCAAGCAACACCCACCCACGGGTAACTGCTACCATCTCCCACGGGTTTATCAGGCCGCATGACCCCATCCACGATAGAATTATCCGAATCGCTGCGCTCCACTGCACCGGACAGTACTAGACGGCACAGCACAGCAAAGCACTGCACCATGCGCCAATGCCAACATGCTTTAAACAGATTATATTTGCCAGGGGCAGGACCGACTCACCTCCCACGGGCTTATCAGGCAGCACCACCCCATCCACGGAAGAGTCATCCGAGTCACTGCTCTCCACTGCACCGCACAGTACTGCACAGCACAGCACAGCACCGCTACATCAGGCGGCCTGGGTCTATTCACCGCCCACGGGTTTATCAGGCAGCACCACCCCATCCACGATAGAGTCATCCAAGTCACTGCTCTCCACTGCACCGCACAGTACCGCACAGCACAGCACAGCACCGCTACATCAGGCGGCCTGGGTCTACTCACCGCCCACGGGTTTATCAGGCAGCACCACCCCATCCACGATAGAGTCATCCGAGTCACTGCTCTCCACACCACCGTTTGCCAAGCCATTTGCCGAACCTCCTCCCGAGCCTGCTCCACTCCCAACTTCGTCTGCAGCGTCTTGAGGGCAGTGCTCGTGCACGAGGGCTATGGCCTCGCCTGCCGCCCCTCTCACACCCAGGTCCGCGTCTTGCAGGCAGCGGGAGAGAACTTCCAGCTCACTGGTTGGGGGGGTGTGAGGGAGTAAGGGAGGGGAGCGAGACGAGTAGGGGATAGTGAGCGGGGGAGGGAGGGAGGGAGGGAGGGAGCACGAGGGATGTGACACCCAGGTCCGCGTCTTGCAGGAAGTGGGGTAGAACCTCCGGCACACTCTGTGTGGGGGGTGCAGTTGGCAAGAGCTGAGCCAGGAGATACGATAAGGACAGAGGCACAGTCTAGGAGCACACCAGGCCAAGGAGCTGACGCATCTATGGTCGCAGAGTTGACGCACCTGCGAGTGTGGAACTGCGAGAGCTGCGAGGAGGGCAGTGTGGAGAGCAGCAGGGTCCAGTTGCTGATGGCTGATCCCCTCACTGCTGCTGGCACCACCGCCTTGCTGGCACCCTGAGGAAAGGCACGAGAAGAGTGGGCAGGGGGAGTTGCGAGTGAGTTGGTTGTGTTGGGTAAGATGGAAACGAGCAGGGACCAAATGCTGATGGCTGAACCCTTCACTGCTGCTGACACTACTGCCTTGCTGGCGCCCTGAGGACGGAAAGCAAGAGGTTGAGAGGGGCAGGGCGCGGCAGGTGTTGAGAGTGAGTTGGTTGAGAGGGCTGGTAAAGATGGAGAGCAGCAGGGTCCAGTTGCTGATGGCTGAACCCTTCACTGCTGCCGGCGGCACTACTGCCTTGCTGGCGCCCTGAGGACGGAAAGTAAGAACGGGGGTGGGGAATGGGGGTGCTGGGTGCCTTGGGTTGGAAAGAAGGGCTCACTTATCCAATGGGTGAATGACAGCAGATCTCTTCCCCAGCCAGGGTAGGCCCATGCTCTCCTTTGAGGCATGGTCGTTCCTTCATTCCCAAACAACACCGGTCCAACAAAGTCACCTCGTCCCCAAATAACACGACTAGCCAAATCAGTCGCCTCCCCTGGTGGTTACCCACGAGCTATACAGCAAGCTCATGCTCTCCCCTGCAGCATGCGCGATAGCTATTGAAACCTAAAACCTCACGCTGAAATCAAACCCTGACTGAACCTCATTTGGGGGTTGGCGACGAGCCATGGCAGGTTCATGCTCTCCCCTGCAGCATGCGCGAGCTAGAAAAAGCCAGACTTCAAACTCCAAACCCCTCACCTGGGGGTTCGCGAGGAGCCACACCACAGCAGGCTCATGCTCTCCCCCGTGACATGTGCAAATGCTAGCAAGCCCCTGGCTCTCGTACCCAGAACCTTGAGCTCTGAAACCTAAACCTCACCTGAGGGTTCGCAACGAGCCACAGAAGGCTCATGCTTTCCTCTGTGGCGTGTGCGTCCATGGCCCCCACGAACGTGATGATGGCCATGGCGTCTAGACACTGCGGGGTGGTGGGGGGTGATGAGAGGAGGGGAGGTGACAAGGCAAGGGACGGGAGGGAAAGGGGCGGTGCATCAATGAGTCCGTTCTCTCCTCTGTGGCATGGGCATCCATGGCCCCCACGAACGTGATGATAGCCATAGCGTCTAGACACTGGATGGGGGAAGGTGATCAGGGCGGTGGGAAACAGAGGGAGGAGGGAGAGGGGATATCGTGAGATGAACCAGAAAGAATACATTCTTTCACGATATCCCCTCTCCTCGGTGGCATTCTTTCTGGTTCATGGCCCCCACGAACGTGATGATGGCCATGGCGTCTAGACACTGCAGGAGGGGGAGAGGAGGAGGGGACGGGGCAGAGGTGAGGAAACAAGGCGATGGAGAAGAGGGGAGGGGACACTATGAGGTGCACCAGAGTGTGATGATGGCAACGGCGAGAGTCTAGGTACTAGAGAAGAGGTGATAAGAGATAGGGGAGGAGGGGGGGGAGGGAGGGGGATGCCGGCAACGGAAGGGAGAGGATGGGAAGGGGCGTTGTGAGGTGCATCAGAACGAATCCTTCTTCTGTAACATGTGCAGCCTTCCCTCCCTCCCCCCACTCCATCCCCCCCTCCCTCCCTCCCTCCCCCCACTCCCTCCCCCCTCCCTCCCTCCCTCCCTCCCTCCCCCCACTCCCTCCCCCCCTCTCTCCCTCCTTCCCTCCCTCTCCCCTCCCCTCGTTTTCCCCCCTTTCCTCCCTCTCGGTCCCCTTCTTTTGGACATCCCACTCACAGCAACGCGGGTGGCGGCGCAGCCAGCAGCGCGAGCCAGCTTGCTCAGATGCGGCAGCGACGAGGAGAGCAGCTCCTCGCACGAGTCAGACGCCCCTAGGGTGAGCGCCAGCAGACCTGGAGGGTGGGGGGGGGGCGGGTGGGGGAGGGGGAGAAGAAGGGTGGGGGTGGATAAGAAGGGAAAAGAGAAAGAAGAGCCATTTGAGGAGAACAGATGGGTTGGGAATCGAGAGGCGAGCGGGGTGGCGAGGTAAGGGGAAAGAGAGGGAAAGGAGGGGGGGAGGAGGGGGGAGGGCGGGGGAGGTTCGGTGGAAGGGGAGGGGGGGAAGAGAAGGACGGTGGTGAGGAGAGGAGAGGGAAGGGAGGAACAGACAAGGCAGGGATGAGGAGAGCAGCTCTTTGCATGAGTCAGAAGCACCAAAGATAAGCGCCAGCCGACGTGTGGTTGGAACGGGAGACAGAGAAAGGAGAACCATCTTCGGAAGGAAGAGGGAGAAGGGAGGGTGAATAGACGAGGCAGGGGCGAGGAGAGGAGCTAGCGCAGAGGGTATTGGTAGTACGTAGTACGTAGTACAAGAGCAGGGGGCTCTCACCAAGGCATCGGGCAGCAAGAACTTGCTCGGGCGCCTTGCCCTTTCTAAGGCACGAGAGAAAACCCTGCGTGAGAGTGTCGAACCTGCGGGCATTGAACGGGAGAGAGGGAGGGAAGAGTGTGCTAAGCTGGTGAGGTACGAGTCAGCGACAGGCGAGTACAGCCTGGGAGAGGGTGACAAACGCGCACACACACGCGCACACACGCGCACGCACACGCACACTCACCTGCCCACGCCACAAGCGCGCACACACACACCCACACTCGCCCATGCACACACACAAACCACCTCCCCTTTTTTTCCCCATGCAAACACCCGCTTCAGAAGCCTTACTTGTCCTGCACCAGCTCCTCGTGCACTTGCGACGCCAGAGTGGTCGCCAGGCCCTTGAGCACTCAGCAGAACAATTCCTCGACCCGCATAGAAACCCCGAGGATGCCACACATGTCCCCCCTTATTAGAAGCCTTACTTGTCCTGCACCAGCTCCTCGTGCACTTGCGACGCCAGAGTGGTCGCCAGCCCCCCCCACACAGGACAGCCTTTCAAACACACAGCCTACGGCCCCCTTTTAAAAGCCTTACTTGTCCTGCACCAGCTCCCCGTGCACTTGCGACGCCAGAGTCGTCGCCAGCCCTTTGAGCGCCGCCTCGCGAGTTGTCGACCTGGCAGGGGCGCACACGCGGAGGAGGAAGGAGGGGAGGAAGGGTGGATTGGATGGATTGGGACGCCAGAATGATCGCCAGCAACTTGGCAGGGGCGCACACACGCGGAGGGAAGAGAAAGTGAAGGGAAGGGAGAGGAAGGGGGGGAGAGGGGGGAAGGGGGGGGGAGGCGGGGGGGGGGGAGGATGGGGGGAACGGGAGGGGAGCGGAGGGGGAAGGGCAACGTAAGGATTCGCAGGAAGAACGTCAGCAACATAACATCCTCACCACAGGTCGCCGTACCCACTCACCGCTTCTCCTGCAGCGCGTCTAGAAGCGCTTCCGTGGCCGTCGCCGCGCAGTAGACGTCGTCGCGCGCGCCGGAGTACACGGCGGGAAGGTCGCTCGACGACGACGCGATGCTCGCTGTGTCGTCGTCGTCCGCGTCGCCGCCGTTGCGCGACGACCCGCGAGAACTCTTTTCTGCGGAAATCAAGAGCGGAAAGACCCAGGGGTGGCATTGGGGAAGAAATGGGGGAGAGGATGGTGTCGGGAAGGAAGGAGCGGAAAGAGAGAAGAGAGGAGAGGAGGGAGACGCATTAGCAGAGGAAGGAACCCCGTTCCAGTCATTCGGGCGCCGTTCCTCGCCGTATCGTCGCCGTCCGCGTCGTAGGCGTGGTTCGCATCGTCTGCGTCGTCCACGTCGTCCGCGTCGTCCGCATTTGCCGCGTCGTCCGCGTGGTCGCTGCGACCAAATTCGCAGGAACTTTAATCTGCAAGAGCGGAAGCAGGATCTTCGGCCACTGTACAGGCAGAGCAGGCAGCACAGGGAACAACTTTTGAGGCGCCACAAATGACGCCTCGCGGGAACTGTTATCTCGAGAGCCTAGCAGGCAGAGCAGGCAGCACACGGAGAGAGGAGACGGCGTGGCAGCAGAGCAGGCAGTCGGTTCGAGAAGTCGCGGTTGCTCGCCGTGCCGTCCGCGCTCAGATCCCGCAAGAAACAATAACGAAGGAACAGGGACTAAAACGCGGGAAGCGGAGTTGATGGACGAAATCCGAGGAGAACAACAGCAGTGCACAATGGAAGTTAAGAGATCCGTGTGCATGTTGCCTTGCTTCCTGGTCCATTAACCGGGTGAGATCACACGGCAAGCGAGCACACAGACGTTGTGCGAGAGTGACTGCGAGGGAAAAGACGGATGCGATATCCTCGACCACAACATTTCTAGCTTCCCTTACACGAGCGAGATGCAATTGGGGAGATCAAGATCTTGCAGGAGACGCGTGAAAATTCGTTTGTAAGAGAAAGAACAAAAGCAAGAACAGGGTATAACGGTAGACTTACTCTTTCCCATTTGTCGCTAAATCTGGTCGGCGATACGCTTTAGACGAGGCTAACGGAAGCACTAGGCCCGAGGATTCAAATGGAGAGTCTCTGTTGCAATATCTCCAGAGAAAACGCCTGAAGGGACGGCTGAGGAGGCGCCTGAGGAGCAAAGCTATTCTGGTAGGCAGGTGGCCCAACCGAATCTGCAGCAGTAGGTGCTATCCCGGTAACACTTATTTTATTATTTTACCAATGCGGCCGTCTGGTGCAATAAATGCGGAACAACGAGTAAGGAAACAATGTGCGAATGCGAAAAAGGTGCGCGAGTCCTAAGGTTCCTGAGCGCGTAAGCCTTGAAAGCCGAGAGTACGAGAGAGCGAAGGAAAACAACGTATCTATGTCGTCTTATATAAGGCCATCAGAAACTTCAGTATGCTACGAGGAAGTACGAAGACTCTTCACCCCGCCATGTTTAGACGAGCGTAGAACGGCAATGCTGGTCTCTCAGCCCGCTACCATCGACCTAGCGGGCTCCTGGTTCTCCGTTTCCCCCTGTTCCGTCCTCCTGGGATCTAAGGAATAATTCTAAGATCCAAGACGGATTCAATATGCTCAATTCGGAGGCTATTAGAAACTAGACCCGCTACCGCCGTGATCAGGAGGAGCCTGAAATCGGTAGAGCTGGGAGGAGGAGGAGCTGGGAGCGCGAATGACGGTCACGGAACGGAAGGAGAAGCTAAGGCACGCCATGGATGGTCAATGGGGAACAGAAGAAGTTATCCTGTGAGCTGTTCTACCAGAAGGAGAAAAGAGGGTTTGGGCATGGCAATGATTCCTGCTTTATTCCATGTTCCGCTTGCCAACAGCTTTCTTGTGAGGATGGCTGTCCTTGGGATTTGCGACGAGTTCCGTTGCGGGAAATCCGACAGCGCGTTTCCAAAAGCGATAACTATTGAACAACAAGGCTGCAAGTTGACCCAGTTTCCACTAAAGAGCGAGGGTGATATTGCTTTATCGTCCAGCACATCATGGTCCAGGAAATATCACAAGATATTGTCTGGAACAAAGATGCGCAATTGCGATTGCAACAGGTTGACGAAGGAATCCAATATCCAATAGCGAGTACGTTAACTCGATATAGTGGATGCAATACAGACCTTGTATCACCCCATGTGGGAGTGATGTACACCAGCGAACCAAGCATGCACAAAAGCAAAATCAAACTCAAAATCAGGAGGTATCACAATGTCTATGGAACACACCAGCATTACTAGTCAATACGGTACAATCATTGCGCAACACATATTCACAGAATCACTACTGCAAACTCCCATTATTAAAAACTTCACCACACAAGTTTCTCATCCCATCGTCAAAAACAGCTGCCAGCACCAATTTCTCCTCCCTGCACCTCATCATACTGCTGCTACCTTCCACAATCATCACCAGAAACATCACTGCCGTCCGCGTCGCCACCACCACCACCTACAGCAGCACCAGCAGCATCAGCGGAACCAGCACCGGCAGGAGCACTGTTTCCGGAACCCATCTCCCCTTCACTTGATTGCAAGGCCTGCTGGGACACCCCTTGCTGTTGCACGCTCTGCTCCTCCCCTCCCTGTGCTTGCATGGACTGCGGCTGTGACGCTTGCGGTTGCAAAGCCGAGGCCATTGCCGCCTGAAACAGCAGCCGCATCAAATCCGCCTGCTGTGCTGCTTGCGAAGCACCACCAGCAGCCATGGGCGGCGTGAGCGCCCCTCCATTCGCATGAGGGTACGAGGGAAAGGCGGTGCCATTGGTGGTGGCAGCAGTTGGGTTAAGGTCCTCTCCCAGGTGCGGCAGGCTGGCGCTGCTGCTGCTGCGCTTGCGCAGATAGTCAAAGGCGGCGTCTCGGGACGGGCGGGACTCGCTGAGCACTCGCAGGAAGTCCGCCCGGGCGAGGGGGCGCTGGGAGGTGGGGTCCTGTTAAGGGGAGGGGAGGAGAGTACATGACGAGGGCGATGTGTACTTGAGGATTCACAACAGGCCTGTTCAAGGACTCGTTGAGCAAACGGGGGAAGTTCGCCCGGGCGAGGGGGCGCTGTGGGAGGGAGGGGAGGAGAGAACGGGACGAGGGCAGATGCATAGCAAAGAAATCCCAAGCGGCCTGTTGCCGAGGCTCGCTGAGTACGGGGAGAGGGGGAATGAGAACGGGGGGGAGGTTAGAAACGGGGGGGAGGGGAGAAATGGGGGGGGGTGTAAAGACCAATGAGGACATCGAGAGAGCATATTAACAGGGACTGCTCAGGAGTGTGAAATCAGTGAGACGAGTTTTGAGGCACCGAAAAGAATGTTAACAGGGACTGCTGAGGGGAGTGAATTCAGAGCCAATGCTTGTAAGTGTAGCGAATGGAACAAACGCATCTCCCAATTATCTCCTCTCTTTTCATCCTACGGAAAGTCATGCAGAGGCAGGAAGGCCGCCTGCTTGCACACCTCTGTCTGTCAACAGCATTTCACTCTCGCACAGATCTTCCCCCCACTCCCTCACCCTCTCCCGCATCTCTCACCTTCCCCTTCCCCTGCAGCGCTCTCCGCTCCTCCTCCAGAAAGTCATGAAGAGGCAGGTACGCCGCCTGCTTGCACAGCTCTGTGAAAAACAGTTCACTCTTCCACAACCCCAGTGGCTCCGAGATCTTATATTCTACCCTCACCCCTTTCCTAACCCCTCATCCCCCTTCGTCTCACCTTCCCCTTCCCCTGCAGCGCTCTCCGCTCCTCCTTCAGAAAGTCATGAAGAGGCAGGTACGCCGCCTGCTTGCATAGCTCTGTGAGATCAGACCCGCTGTAGCCCGCGCATAGAGAGGCGATCTCCTGCAAGTCCAAGTCCTCATCCACGTCCTCGTCCTATGGAGAGAAGGGGCAAAGAGGAACCAGGGTTAAAAACAGGAAAGCTCTGTGTGGTCCGACCCACTGTACTCAGCACAGGAGGCAATCTCTTGCAAGTCCAAGTCCTCATCCACGTCCTCGTCCCGTAGGGCGACACAGGGGAAGGAGGAGCAACTAGATTTGGGAATGTACGTACCTATATATTACATGTATTCTTGCACGCTTACCTGCCTGGACTACCAGAAGCACCCCCTGGCTTATATGGCGCTGCTGCTGCTTGTGATCGGAGGGAAGGGGCGAGATGACAAGATCACAAGCAGCAGCAGCAGCGCCATATAAGCCAGGGGTGCTTCTGGTAGGCCAGGCAGGTAAGCGTGCAAGAATACATGTAATACATAGGTACGTACATTCCCAAATCAAACGCAGGAAGCAACTTTTGACAGATTCAGATCATCATCCACGTCCATGTCCTGGCAGTATAAGACAAAGGAGAACAACGCAGAGAAAACATGAGATGAGAACACAACGGCTACCATGGGGATCAGTACGCTTCCCTATGCTTTCCATCCCTGGGCTTCCCTAAGCTTTCCTGAGCTTACCTGGGCTTTCCTGTCCTCTTCTTCCCCAGACTACCCTATTCTTCCCTAGACTACCCTGTTCTTCCCTAGATAGTGTGGATCATGGTAAAACAGAGTAGAACAGGGTAATCTAGGGAAGAACGGGGTAGTCTAGAAAAGAACAGGGTAGTCTAGGGGAGAACGGGGTGGTCTAAGGAAGAACAGGGTGGTCTACGGAATAACGGGGTGGTCTAGAGAAGAACAGGGTAGTATAGGGAAGAACGGGGTGGTCAAGGGAAGAACGGGGTGGTCAAGGGAAGAACGGGGTGGTCTAGGGAGGAACAGGGTAGTCTAGGGAAGAACAGGGTAGTCTAGGGAAGAATGGTGTAGTCTAGGGAAAACGGGGCAGGAAAGCCCAGGTAAGCTCAGGAAGCCTAGGAAAGCCCAGGGATGGAACACACAGGGAAACGAATTGATCCCCATCGGAGCCCAGAATAACCCCAGGCAGCTCTCACATACCCGAGGAATCACTTCAAGAATGCTGGTCTGGCCAGCCAGTTTACACAGGGGGATCTCAAAGTGCCTGAGCAGGCGGCTGAGAATAGCCTCGTGTTGTACCAGCCTCACAGCCGACAATCGCCACTATACCTGACCTCACACATCACATGCCTGAAGACCCACTTGCAGGATGCTGGTGCGACTGGCTACATCCGGCAGGGAAATCTCAAAGAGGCGAGGCAGGTGCCTGAGAACCCATCTGCCGCACCCAGCCTCACAACTCACATTCATCACAATGCTTACCCTCACACCACACATACCCGCAGGATCACTTCCAAGATGCTGGTGCGGCCGGCTAAATCCGGCAGGGGAATCTCAAAGTGGCGGGGCAGGCGCCTGAGAATGGCCTCGTCCAGCTCCCAGGGGCGGTTGGTGGCTGCTAGTACCATCACCCGTGCCGTGTCTGATTGGGGGGGAAGACAGGGGGTGGCAGGGGGGTGCAGGGGGGTGCAGGGGGGTGCAGGGGGGTGCAGGCCGGGCAGGAGGGTGCAGGAGGGCAATGAAGCGGGTTGTGATGGCAGGCGCCTGAGAATGGCATCGTCCCGCTCACAGGGGCGGTTGGTGGCTACTAGTACCATCACCCGCGCCGTGTCTGCAAGAAGGGGGGTGCAATGCAGGCAGGGGGGTTCAATGGTAGGGTGCAGGGAAGTGCAGTGAGGGAAGGCGCCTGAGAATGAATAAAGCACACACCACTCACCCAGCCATTCACCAGACCAGCTGACTTTTGAGTCGACTCAAAAGTCACCACTCACCCAGCCATTCACCAGCCCAGCCACCCACTCATTGTCAGTGCTGAAGCTGTCGCACAGGGACATGAACTCGGTCTTCATGCTGGTCACCGCCTTGTGTCATCACTCACTCACTGCTCCTTGCACAAAATGCCTTGTCAATACCCACCATCAGTGATGAATCCGTCCCACAGCGACATAAACTCCGTCTTCATGCTCGTCACTGCCTCGTGCTCTGTATGCCCTCTTGCCTCGTGTCACTCTCTCACCCACCACTGCATGCGCTGAAGCCAATACTGACAACACTCTTGCTTACCGTCAGTGCTGAATCCGTCCCACAGCGACATGAACTCCGTCTTCATGCTGGTAACCGCCTCATGCTCCGTGTTCCGCCGCTGCCCCAGAAAAGACTCCACCTCGTCAATGAAGATGATGGCTGGCTGCAGCTTGTGTGCTAGCGTGAACACCGCTGTGACTGTAATGCAGGGAAAGGTGGAGTATGCGAGGAGGGAAGGAGAAGGGTAAGATGCTCCGTGTTCCTCCGCTGCCCAAGGAAGGAAGCACTCGTCCTCGTCTATGAAGATGATGGCCGGCTGCAGCTTGTGGGCTAGCGTGAACACTGCTGTGACTGTGGGGAACAAAGGACAACGGGTGGAGCAGAGGCAGTGACAATAAGGAGGGAGTTGGTATCTCTTGCTCTGACCGACTGCCTGCGCTGCCCCAGGAAGGAAGGACTCGACCTCGTCTATGAAGATAATGGCTGGCTGCAGCTTGTGTGGTAATGTGAACACCGCTGTGACTGTAATGCGGGGAACGGTGGAGTATGCAAGGAGGGAAGGGGAAGGGTAAGATGCTCAGTGTTCCTCCACTGCCCCAGGAAGGACTCGACCTCGTCTATGAAGATAATGGCTGGCTGCAGCTTGTGCGAGAGTGAACACCACTGTGACTGCAACGAGAGGATGGTACATCATGCAAGGAGGAAGGGTAGAGGGTATAAGGTCCTCATGCTCCATATGCCTCAGCTGCCCCAGAGAGGACTCCCTCCACCTCATCAATGAAAATTATGGCTGGCTGCAGCTTGTGCGCTAGCGTGAACACCGCTGTGACTGTAGGGAACTAGAGGAAAAAGGGTGGCGATTCCCACATTGACGAACACCGCTCTGCACTCCTTGGCAATCGCCCCCCACACAACACACACCCTCTACCCACAACACCCAACGCACCTAACCCCCGAACCACCAGCTCATGAGGTTTGAACAGACTGAGACAATATAAATACCAGGGTACACCCTTGTTCCAGTATAAATACCAGGGTACACCCTTGTTCCAGTATAAATACCAGGGTACACCCTTGTTCCAGTATAAATACCAGGGTTCCCCTCCCCTCCCGACCATCCCAGACGCACCTAGCTTCTGAGCATCCCCGAACCACTTGCTCATGAGGTTGGCGATCCTGACATTGATAAACACCGCTCTGCACCCCTTGGCAATCACACCCCCCACACACAACCCCTCCCAACACCCCCCAACGCACCTAGCTTCTGAGCGTCCCCGAACCACTTGCTCATGAGGTTGGTGATCCTGACATTGATGAACACCGCTCTGCACCCCTTGGCAATCGCCTTCGCCAGAGATGAAGCTAGAGATAACTCAAGCCGCCCCGCCCTCCCCCCTTCCTTCCCTCCCTCTCCACACAAAAAAGATACGCACCTAGCTTCTGAGCGTCCCCAAACCACTTACTCATAAGGCTGGCATCCTTGAGACATCGTACTACAACCTTTTTCCTCCACCCCCATACACCCTCCCCATCCCACCCCACCCCACAACCCCAACGCACCTAGCTTCTGCGCGTCCCCGAACCACTTGCTCATGAGGTTGGCGATCCGCACATTGATGAACACCGCTCTGCACTCCTTGGCAATCGCCTTTGCCAGCAACGTCTTGCCCGTGCCTGGCGGGCCGTACAGCAGCACACCCTTCTGTGGTCTGCATGCATGCATAACACATGAGCAGAGAGAGTAGGGGAAAAATGCATGCATCCACACGCACATGCACATGCACATGCACATGCACGAACACAGAGAGGGGAGGGTGAGTGGGAGCATGCAATGACGTGTAATGAGCAAAGCACCGCTCTGCACTCCTTCGCAATCGCTTAGCCATCAGTCTCTTGCCCGTGCCTGGCGGGCCAAACAGCAGCACACCCTTCTGTGGTCTGCATGCATGCATGCATGGACAGAGGAAGCAGCAAATGCATGCAAAGCAAACATCACAGGGGTGAAAGGCACCGAAACGTTTGTTGAAAACCGCTCTGCACTCCTTGACAACCACAGCGACTCGCCCGTCCTGGCGGGCCAAACAGCAGCACACCCTTCTGTGGTCTGCATGCATACATGCATGGGCAGAGAAGGGAGGGAGGGAGGGGGTGCAAAACAGAACAGACATCACTGGGTTGGAAAAGGAAGTCAAGGATTTCATCAGACAAGGTCATGCAGGGACTCCTTGTACAAAACAGGGGGAAACTCCTTGACATGCTGCACTGCAGGCCACCTGTAAATCTCACCTCACATAATGCATCCTGTACCGAACAGGGGACTCTCTACACAGTGCACTGCACCGCAGCATGCAGGGTTTGAGCAAAGAGCGCCAGTCATTGAAGAAAAGGAATGAAGAGAGCAAGTGGGCTGTTTGACGTGCGGAGACTCCTTGCCACGCAGCAGGCTGCCAATGGACCTCATCCGAATGTCTTGCCTTTTCTATTAGCACCACTCTGAGCCTTAGTGGGAATATACGCTCAAACCTGTTTGCGTTTAGCGTATACACGCTAGCGTGTATACGCAAAACGCTAAACGCTATAGAATACGCTATACGCTCGCCAAATTTTTTTTGGGGCAGCCCGGCCAGAAAATTTCAACCTATATGGTCCGCTTCGGAATTGCACGACGAAGACATTGGCGGGGTCAGATGGCACATCCGCGCTGTGTGCTAGCGTGGACGTGGGTTGAAAGTTCGTGTCGCAAATGGAAAGTCACGTTCGTCGAGTCGCGCCTGCACGTTCCCTCACATTTTGGTGTTCACTATCAGTACCGCATTCAAACCCTTCGCAACCAACACCTCTCCAATTTTTGTTGGCCATCTTCCCACTCCCACAATCAACTCGCTATAAAACAACCACACCCCCAACATCCAACTCATTAGGTCTTCTCTCGCTACCAGCAGAGCACTAGGCATTCCCTAGCGCATGGTGCCTATGTCAACGACTACTACCTCTCCTCTAACGCCACCGTCAGTTACCACCGTTGGCAGTTCGCAAACTCTTCTAACCGAGGCACGGGAGTATCTCCCCGACATTGACCATGCCGTCTTCAAGCACTTCCGCATCATCAAGAGGGTCGGGGGAAAAGCTCAGCAGTACGAGTGCAAGTTCTGCAGCAACGTCTACACTGGTGCTGCCATCCGATGCGCGCAACACTTCACGTCGTGGAAGGGGATGAAACGCCGCGAAGTGGTGCTTTGCAAGGATGCGCCGCAAGATGTGCGGTTGGCCATGCGTGCGAAATACGAGGCAAAGGCTGCTGAAGCGGTTGCCGCAGTCAAGGCTAATGGTGTGAAGCGGGCGCGCATCACCGATTACCTTGAGGGGGATGCGACTGCAAGAAAGAGAGAAGCGGACGAGGCACTTGCGCTAGCTTGGGCCGCCCTCCATATCCCCGAGCACCACATTGACCATCCTCTGATGGTCAATGCATTGAACCTCGTCAAGCGCGTCGACGTCGACTACGTCCCACCAAAGAGGAAATACATCGGCGGTGCTGGCCTTCTCTCGTGTCGCAACGGAACTGAGCAGGGGTTGGTGGGCATTAAGGCGAGCTGGAAGAGGACGGGCGTGACGGTTTCGTCCGACATGATGACGGACCGCAACGGCAGGCCGCAGGCCAACGTGCTTCTCGTAAACGATTCCGGCGCCGTCTTCACTGACTGTATTGACTGCAACATGGAGAGGAAAACCGGAGGTTACGTGGCAAGGATTCTTAGGCCCGTGGTGGAGGAAGTGGGTCCAGAGAACGTTGTTGCATTCTGCATGGACGGGGGGTCGAACTATGCGGTGGCGGTGAAGCAACTCATGCGGGAGTGGCCGAACATTCAGGATGTGCCGTGCGCCACTCACGCATTGGATCTTGTCATGGAAGATGTCGGGAAGATGGGATGGGCTAAGCCGGTGGTCGACAAGGGAGGGGAGATATCTAGCTTCGTCCGCAACCACCATTGGACCCGAGGGTACCTGCGGGAGCCGGAACTGGTGGAGGGGAAGGTTCTGCAAGGCGCTAAAGCCGGCTGGAACCCGATTCGGGACCAACTACAAAGCCATATACCGGCTATGTGCGATGCGCGGCAGCCTTACCAACATGGTGACGAGCAAGGGCTGGAAGGAGTGGGCGGTAGGGGACCGGAAGAAATCGTGTGACGGGTTCAGTGCGCTGATCCATGATGCCGCCTGGTGGAAGACGGCCGAGTTCTTCGTCGCCCTGCTGAAGCTGCCCTTAAAGGTGATGCGGCAAACGGACGGGCATGCCGTGGGGATGATGGGGAGGCTGTACGATTTGATGCTGCAATTGACTGAGGACGTGGGGGGCTTGCTCGATGCGGACGAGGAGCAGCTGAGCGACGGGGAAAAGCTGAGCGGCGGGGAAAAGGACAAGATCCGCCGCATCCTCAGAGACCGCTGGGACGGCAGCCTCGAATGCGCCATGCATGTCGCTAGCCGCATCCTCAACCCCGCGAATCAGGAGGAAGATATTTTCGGCACTGATCCCGAGTGCACGAAAGTCTTCAAGGCGTTCATCAACCAGCAGGCCGAGTTCCTTGCGAGCCGCGAGGATGGGGGGGATGACGCATGCGACATCTTGCTTGAGCTGGGGGACGGGCTGAGGGCGTTCCTTGACATGAAGGGTTCTTTAGGGATGCCGGAAGCCGTGGCACGGAGGAAGTTGGTGAAAGAGGGAAAGTATAGCATGGTGAAGTGGTGGCAGTGGAATGGGACTGATGCCCCTCGAGTGGCGGGGCTCGCGGTACGGGTGCTGTCTCAGGCCGTGTCAGCCTCACCTTGTGAGCGTGGATGGTCCTCGTGGGATCCTGTCCACACCGCACGTCGAAACAGGCTCGGATCCGCCAAGTGCAGGGACTTGGTCTATGTTGCGCACAACTGGAATGTTGTGCGCAACTGGCACACGCGCGCCGATGTCTTGCCACATGTGGTGCCCGGGATTGGAGCGGAGCCTCCAATCCCGGCGGGATACAATGGGCTGGAAGACGAGACGAAGGGAGAGGATGACGGAGGAAGGTGAAAACGACATCCTCGAAGACGAGTACACTAACTAGAGGGGGCAAATGTGGCTTGCTGTGGGCGACTAGTCCTAAGGAGTAGTACGTAGCTTGTCTTAGAGAGAAGTGATGGTCGTGATGGAGTAGTGATGATAGTAGTGATGGTAAGTGATGATGGTAAGTGATGATAGTAGTGATGATAGTGATGATAGTAGTGATGATAGTGATGATAGTAGTGATGACAGTAGTTATGTGTAGGTCGTGGTATATGTGCAATGTGGAAAAAAAAACATCTCTGCAACTTCAGGCCCCATACCCCACCCCCTTGACGTGCTGCAAAGAACACTACAGCACCCCTCCCCACCCACGCTCACCGCAGCAATCGGCCTTGTGCAAAGAGCTCGGGTCGCTGCAGGGGCAAAATGACAAGGTCGTGCAATGACTCCTTCACGTGACGTGCTGCAAAGAACGATACAGCACCCCTCCCCACCCAGACCACCTACCGCAACAGGCGCCCCTGTGCAAAGAGCTCTGGTCGCTGGAGGGGCAAAATGACAAGGTCGTGAAGAGACGCCTTCACGTGCTGCAAGCCGCCTATGGATTCAAAGGTGACGTGGATGTCCTGAGGGTTGATCACGTCGTTGGCTATCACGTCCTGATGGGGAGGGGTTTAGAGGAATAGAGAGAGATAGAGAGGGGTAGAGGGGGGGACAGAGACAAAGGTGACGTGGATGTCCTGTAGGTTGATCACATCGTTCGTTGGCGATTAAGTCCTGATCGGTTGAGAGGGATGGACAGGCGTGGAGAGGGATAGAGAGGGAAAGAGAGGGCTAAAGAGGGAATGGGAGGGACAGAGGGAGACGTGAATGTCCTGTCGATTGCTATCGAATCCTGATGGGAAGGGTTAAGAGGGATGGAGAAGGATAGAGAACGATAGAGGGAGAAAAAGAGATGAGAGGATTTAAACATGACATGGATGTTGTCGAAGTTTCCTCCGCTTCCTCCCCGTTTTGCTCTCCCCTGCCCTGTCAGACTCCGTTACTCCTCATGTCCTGCCTTGTTCCTACAACCTCAGCCCCTTTGATCCCCTTGCTGCACTGCACTCTTCTCTTCTCTCTTCCTCTTTGAGTAATGCCTTGAGGTGTGAGTGTTACGTTGTGGGCCAATCCTCTCAAAAAAGACTCTAATCCTCCGACTGGTTCCCGCATCGGGACAGTACTGCTAGGAAGATAGCCCGAACACGAACTCCACTGCAGGAAACAAACAAACAAACAAGCACAGAACAAATAGGCCTAGGCTACTATGTACATTGAAGATCCAGCCTAGCCTAGTATCCATGGTGTCTGATGGCATGGGGTCCCGCCCACCACCTCGCACCAGACGAGACCTATATCTCAATCACACGCATCCGACATGGCACACGAATCCAAAGGTCCTCAGCCCACCTATTTACATGATAGGATCTCCACCCTCCGTTCTACAACCACACCCTCCCCTCGTGCCCGTACAGCTGGCCCGCACCCTCTTGGTTCCTTTCTTCCGCCGCCTCGTTTGCGGCGCCTCGTTTGCTTCTGGTTGCTATACCTTGCTTTTCAAGCCTTGCTCTCGCTTAGCCTGCCAACCTTGGTGATGCTGCCGCAGCACTGCCGAGCCATCAAGCTAGCCTCGCTGCCCAGGCCTACGGTCTTACTCTGCTGTTGTCCTCTCCGCTGCTACACTGCCACTGCATAACAGCGTAATTTCTCTATCGCGTATATCTCTAACCGTCATTAGTGACATGCGCGACAACGTCCTGTGAGCTTATCACATCGTTTGTTATCACATCCTGATGGGTACGAGGAGAGGGATGGAGAGGTATAAGGGCGTGTCCTATGAGTTCATTTGCGTAGAAAATCATATTTTTTACGAAATTTCGACAAAGCAAAAGAGTGTACACTCTGACGTGAAAAACACGCAGCGCGTCAGCACAGCGCCAAACGAAATTGACCCACGCGGACTCATAGCCCCACTCACACAAAAATCGTCATCCGAACATGGGCCGCGAGAGGTAACCCGCCACAGTGCGAATCAACTGTGCCCCTTGCGAAAATTTGTTTTTTCTTCGCGCGACTGAATGTGCGCGAAGTCTCCGATTGGGGTAACGGAATGGAGGACCCGGTACGAAGTGATCTCACGTACCTTGTACGTGGGATAGTACGAACATCTTGACGTCCTAGGCGTGTCATCCGGTGCGTCATTGAAGACGCATGTCATGCAGGGAAAGGTTACAGACGGGAAACAGGGTTACAACACTGAACTTGAACTGTAAACGAACTCGTGGGACACGCCCTAAAGGGGGATAGAGAGAGGAGAGAGATGGACTCAAATATTACTTACCTGAGAGGATACCCAACCAACTCATACCAGCTGAATTGAAAATCTACTGACTTGCAGGCACACCTCGTATGCGTTCGTCTAAACGTGCAGCCGACACAATCTCTTCGCAATCTCCTTTTTCCGCTGCTTAGCGAAATTGGCCTGTGCGCGATTAGGGGTCCCTACGCGTCGACTCAAAAGTCATACTGACACGACATGTAACTTCACACCCACCCACCTCGTACGTGTTGGTCTCGATGTACGGCCGACCGAGTCGCTTGGCGATCTCCCTTTTCCGCTGCTTGGCGAGCTTAGCCTGCGCGCGGTTGGGGTCCAGCTGAGTCATTCTCACACGTGACTTGCCAACACTTACCTCATACATGTTGGTCTCGATGTACGGCCGACCCAGTCGCTTGGCGATCTCCCTTTTCCGCTGCTTGGCGAGCTTCGCCTGCGCTCGGTTGGGGTCCAGCTGGCGGAACGTGAAGATTAGCACAAGCGCGCTGATCCCCGCGCTGCACACGTACAGCAGCAGCTCCTGCGCCAGCGCGCCCCCCCCGCGCGCGGAACCTCCGCGTCCCCCCGCACCGCTTCCGCCAGCGCCCGCCATGCTCGTGTGTGTGGGTCTGTCGGAGAAGAGACTATCGCTGATGGTCTTGAATTTGTTGTTGCTGCTGGTGCTACTACTGCTGCTGTTGTTGCTATTGCTGTTTAACGTGCTGCTACTGGGTCTGTCGGAGAAGAGACTATCGCTGATGATCTTGAATATGTTGTTGTTGCTGCTGTCGCTGCTGCTGCTGCCGTTGCTACTGCTGTTATTGCTGCCGCTGGTGCTGCTGCTAACCGGCTGGATATCTTTCCCGCCAAAAAGCATGAGCTCTCGTTGGACGAAGATTCAGGAGCGACAACTTCAAGGCGCAAATCAGGTGAGGAAACGCAAAACCTCAACTGGGAATCTGTTGAAACGCTCGTGTCTGAGAATTCCCGAAACCGGCTCTAATCAGGACAGACGAGGCGGAAAAAATCGCAACAGGAACGCTGGAGTGGGTCAAAGTGCGACGAAACTAGCGAGAATTTACAGGTCGGCTCGCGAAAACTCTCGGACAGGGACTCTTCGCGAAGGAGGTAACATAGTTACGATGTCATCGCGGAGGGCCAGAAACGAGCAGATAATCCTACACACGACAAAGCAATCGATTACCTAATCCGAAGCGACTCACTTCTAATCCGATCGCGAGCCAAATCTGCTAACCACTAGTTACTAGAAATCGGTTTCCCGTAAGCACTCCCTAAATGCTCCGTAAGTTTCCCCTAACTGCTTCAGAAGGAACTTAGCTACGGCGGGTCTGATCTGGGCTGATGGCTGCTCCAAGCAAGAGTGTGCTACGTGTCGCTAGGTGTATTCGTCGAGGTAAGGAAGGAGCGAAGCGCGACGAAGTGACGTCATGATAGGGTGAGGGGAAATCTAGCAGCAGCCTTGATCTCTCCGCATGCGATATAAGGGCGTGTAAAGTCATGCCACAACAAATTTTAGGTAGATCTGTCGGGCCGTTACTAGAAAAAGTAACCCTTTCACGACACTCGCAGTGTTCTAAGCGAAGCTCGTTACTTTCGCGAAATCCCGAAATATTTTATGGCCGTTTCAGCGAACCGACACGACAAAGACGCCGAGTCGACTCGCAAACGGCCTCAAAGTCGACAAGTCAGTGCGACGGATGTGCCCATCGTCGCACAAAGCGCCCTGCGATAGAACGAGTGGTTGTGCCACTACTGGAGTCGAATGTGCGACTGGGTCGCAAAGTGGCTGGTTTGTGCGAGGCTGCCAATTTGACATGTTTGTTCATGCGGCCCGCAAATCGGCCTGCAAACTTGTCAAGTCTAGAAAATGTCAAGTACAGGCCATTTTGGTGAGAGACCAAATGTCGACTCAGTGGTCGTTGTTCGCGAAAGAAATAACGACCAAAAAGTCGTCGGATTTCCAGCCATTTGCAAATTTCGCAAATGGTGCGCGACTCACACGCCCTAAAACACCCGCAGGCTTGAGTAGCATGTAACCTTTCAAGAGATTGGTAATGGAAAAAAAAAAAAAAAAAAAAAACATTGTGAACTTCTGATGAATACAAACAAATAAATTTTGACAAAATGATTGTTTAGGCAACACATGGTAACCGCCATTTTTCTAGATTGCATACAGCAAACATCTGACAGGGAGCAAATTTCAATATAATTATGGTACTAATGCCCTCCATTCCAAAAAACTGCTGCTAGTCCACATGAGAGCTCATTCCCTCAACTTTCTCACTTGCTCACTTCATCCACTCTCTCCCTCCCAAACATCACAGTGAGCACCGCATGATCTGACAGGGTATAATCCTCCGGCCACCTCCCTTCCTCCATCTCAGGTGGGAACAGCGATGCCTTCAACACAGCCAGACTCAGCCCTCCATTGCTCCCCTCAATTTCACACTCCTCCACGCCATCAGCTCCTTGTGTGTCACCTGCCTGAACACCAGACAACACCCGTGCACCTGCTGCCCCAGCCATCTCCTTAGCTGCATCTGCACCGGCAGCATCACCATCAACACCAACACCAACAGCAACAGCGCCAGCACCATTGGCATCTCTACAACGGTTGCTCCCCTGGCCCGCCTCGCCCTCCACATTGAGCCCCCTGCGGCTCTCCCAGTACGGCTGCTCCCCTTGCAACACCGCCTGCTCCTTCTCCTCCCACCGCCGCTGCTTCTGCTGCTCTTGTGAGGATGCAGCAGACGGGCTAGCAGCCGAAGCTGCAGCACTGGCAGAGACAGCAGCTGCGCCGGCAGCAGCAGCAGGGGCAGAAGCAGAGGCGGTAGAAGCCAGGACTAGCAGCAGCAGCAGCAGAGGCAGCGGCGAGGGAGGCAGCAAGCGAAGCAGCCATGGATTGTTTGAGGGTATCGACCCGCGAGTCCCACGTGGGCTGCTGAAACATGTCCTGGAACTCGTTGAAATCCACCCACCCGTCCCCATCCGTGTCCGCACCTTGCATCAGCTCTGCCACCTCCACCTCTGTCAGCCCTATTGAATTGTCTCCCGTCAAACCAAGCTGCATGGGAGAGAGAGGGGCAGAAGGGAAGGCGGAGAGATGGGTGAAGAGGGGGAATGTTATTCACAAGGAGCTCATTGAAACATGTCCTCAAACTCGTTCAAGTTGACTTTTGAGTTGACTCAGAAGGCGGGGGGATGGGTGAAGAGGGGGGAATGTTAGTCAAAAGGAGCTCATTGAAACATCTCGTGAAACTCGTTCAAGTCCACCCACCCGTCCCCATCCATGTCCGCCCTCTTACATTAACTCTGCCACTTCCACTCCACCTGTGTCACCTAGATGGTGAATGCAGTGATGCAGCACTCTCCATCCCCTCCTTGCCACTGCCGGAATAAGTCCTACCTGCCCCAGCTCAACCCTGCCTCCAGGCCCGGTTCCATTCCCAGGTAGCATCTGCCCCAGTCGCACCCACCTGAGCCACGGCCAGTTGAAAGTCTTCAATGGTGAAAGCAGTGATGCAGCACTCCTGCCTCTCCATCCCCTCCTCATCACTGTCGTAATACCTCCACGCCTCCTCATCCTCCTCCTCTTCCTCCTCCTCCACCACCTCCTCCTCCTCGGTCGCTGGGTCATCATTCTGCTGTTGCCCGAAATCCATGCTGACGTCAGCAGCGTCGGTGGCGTTCGGGTCCGAGGTGAAACACACGGTGTGTTCAAACGGGGACGTGTCGCCTGCTGTCGCAAAGAACTGGAACGCGTGACGTGCGTCCGTAATGCCTGCTGCTAGCAGCTTAGACTGTGAGGGATGGGGTACGGAGAGTAGGGCGGGGGAGAGGGTGGGATGGAGGAGAGGGGAATGGGGGAGAGGGGGATGGGAGAGGGGATGGGGGATGGGCATGGGGGAGAGGGGGGTGGAAAGGGGAGGAAAGGATACTAAGATTAACGCAGTGGGTGTGTAGATGCATCTCTTAAATGCATCAAAGAATTAAAATGCGAATAACTGAGTATATCTGACTGGCTGTGATGCTTCTCACTCACCTTGATAAGCGCAAACACCGCCTTGCGCCAGTTCAAGACGGGGTTGCTGAAGGGTATGCGAGCGTTGAGCATGCACACATAGCAGCAGAGGGGACTGCACCTTGATACCATACCATACCTCACGGTCTATGCCAGCTCACCTTGATCAGCCCGAACACGGCCTTGCGCCAGTTCAAGATGGGATTGCTCATGGGCGTGCGAGCGTTGAGCATCCACACATAGTCCACCCCGCACACGTCCCCTCTGTGGCTGCGATGGCTCACCCACTGAGACAAGAGAGACGGGGAGTAGGAGAGAGGAGAGAGAAGGAGGATATGTAATGCAATCAACTCTGAGCATCCACACATAGTCCACTCCGCACACGTCCCCTCTGTGGCTGCGATGGCTCACCCACTGAGACAAGAGAGACGGGGAGTAGGGGAGAGGAGAGAGAAAGAGGATATGTAATGCAATCAACTCTGAGCATCCACACATAGTCCACCCCGCACACGTCCCCCCTGTGGCTGCGATGGCTCACCCACTGGAAGCAAGGGGAGAAGGCAGAGTATATAAGGAAAGAGGCACAGCAGTAAGACAACGGAAGTGCAACCAGCTCTGAGCAGCATCCACACATAGTCCACCCCGCACACGTCCCCCCTGTGACTGCGATGGCTCACCCACTGCAGAAAGGGGAAACGGGGGGATGGTGGGTGTATGAAATAAAGGAGAGAGAGGGGCAACGGCAGAGGGAAAAAGGCGGAAGGGAAAGCAGAGTGAGACGATGAGAAAGGAGAGAGAGATGGGGGGGTAAGAAGGAGAAAATGCCATGCACGTCGCTAAGCTGGTGGGCCGTGTCTAGGAAAAGAGAAAGCTACCTTATCATCCACGTCAGCTACCTTATAATCCACGTCACCCACCCTCTCGTCCACACCATTGAGGTGGTGTCATAGACTGGAGAGGAAGCTACCTTCTCAACCACGTCAGCTACCATATAATCCATGTCACCCACCGTTTCATCCACGTCATTGAGGTGGTGCGCTGTGTCATAGGAGGAAAGGAAGCCCTGTGAGCGCAGCAGCTTGTACACGTTGCCCTCCTTGGTGCCGTTGAGATCACTGATGGGGGGGAAGGAAAGGGCGAAGAGACGAGTCACGCGGAAAGAAGTGCAAGAAAAAGAGAGAGGGGACGCATGTGAGAGAGAAGCCCTGCGAGCATGTGAGAGAAGCCCTGCGAGCATGTGAGAGAAGCCCTGCGAGCATGTGAGAGAAGCCCTGCGAGCATGTGAGAGAAGCCCTGCGAGCATGTGAGAGAAGCCCTGCGAGCATGTGAGAGAAGCCCTGCGAGCATGTGAGAGAAGCCCTGCGAGCATGTGAGAGAAGCCCTGCGAGCATGTGAGAGAAGCCCTGCGAGCATGTGAGAGAAGCCCTGCGAGCGCAGCAGCTTGTACACGTTGCCCTCTTTGGTGCCGTTCAGATCGCTGGGAGGGGGGAAGACAAGGGGGGAAAGAGGGAAAGGAGTGCATGAGAGAGAGAGGGTCCAGAGAGCATGTGAGCAGAGAAACACTGATCGCAGCAGCTTGTACACGTTGCCCTCCTTGGATCCATTCAGGTCGCTGGGAGGGAGGAAGGGGAAAGATGTGGGAACGGGGTTGTGAGATCGAAACACTTCAGACGTCCCAGAAGCGGCTGAAATTATTGAGTTGAAAAAACACTCTATCGTGGCAGGATTGGGCAGCACGTTGAAGAATTCAAGAGCATGTGAGAGGGCAAGCATGGGCACGGCAAAGGGCACGTGCGGAGAATGGGAGCTGTGGGTGGAAGAAGGGGAGCAGGTAATTTGGGGCAAAGAGCACGGGCGGGGCAGAAGCGGACGAGATTGAAGGACACGGAGAGAGGCCAACATAAGAGAGCCCAACATACCCGCACAGGATGACAGGGGCGGGTCTGCCAGCCTGCTCTGTCCGACACTGCTCCACCCGCTCCAACAGCTTGTACACCTGGCGGGATGATGACAGAGCACAGAGCAACGGACACACACACACACACACATGCATGCACAAAGATGAAGGCACCGAATGCTGTCACACTGCTCTGCTCTGACCGACACTGCTCCACTCCACTCGTTCCAACAGCTCTTACACCTGGTGAGGTGCAGTCGAGCAGCACTCCGGATGCATACGAAACGAATCTTATACCAAGGCAGTTACATGCAGTGGTTTCAGGCAACGCTGCTTCACTCTACTTTACCCCATTCCTCCTCCTCCCCCGCCCTACCTGCAAACATAGAGCAGAGAGAGAGAGAGAGAGAGAGAGAGAGAGAGAGAGAGAGAGAGAGAGAGAGAGAGAGAGAGAGAGAGAGAGAGAGAGAGCAGGGGATCACGTGGCAGAGGGCCACGTGGCAGAGGACCACCTTGCAGAGGCCTCATTCTCTCCCTCCTCCACCCCATACACTATGAATGCGACAGAGTGGGGCAGCAGCCGCCCGCCTGGCAGCTGCTGACCTGGCAATGGCTAACCTGGCAGCAGAGACCAACCTGACAGAGGCGGATGATGTTGGAGTTGGCGTCATGCGGGAACAGCAGATGCGTGTTCACCACCAACACATCCTCCTCCTCCCCCTCCGCTCCCTCACTCCCTTCCCGCCTTGCCCTGCCCCCCAGGCGCCCTTTCGATCTCAGCCGTACGATCTGAGCTACGCGGTCCCCACAGTCGTGGAAGAGCAGCTGCTGGTAGTCCACCACGTGCCACTGGTCCTGTTTCACTGCTATCATGAGACCTGGAAAGATGGGAAGGGGGAGTAGGCTCGGCTGAGGCAAAGGCTAGAGCTAGGAGAGTGCAGGTCCCCAGGCCCACAGTCGCGGAAGAGCAGCTGCTCTTCCACGAGCAGCTGCTGATGATAGTCCACCACATGCCACTGGTCGCTCTTTACCGCTATCATGAGACCTGGAGGGGTGAGGGAGAGTCAACGTGAGTCAACGCTAGTCAACGTGCGTGAGCCAAACAGCAGCTACTGGTAGTCCACGAAGCGCCACTGGTCGCACTTCACGGCTATCATGAGACCTGGAAACAAAAGGGCGGAAGGGAAGAGCAGGTTTGGTAGGCGCAGAGCGGGGGTGAACCACTTGGCTCGGGATACGACAGCCAGCAGTCCTGCAGGCACACAATCGACGAGCCCGTCGAAATCAGGGTTACCAGGTTTCGTTGAAGTTCCCTCTGACTCACCATCTCCCCGGTTGTTGGTTCTGGGCAGTTTGAGCGTGCGGTAACCAGCAGCACCCAGCGAGGAGTCAAACAGGCGAACCCACTCGGGATGCGACAGCCAGCACTCCTGCAAGCACACGATTGACGAACCCGTCGCCACTATGGTATCCAGAATTCGCTCGCTTCGCGGAAGCCACAGGTCGCGAACCTCGCTCTCTCTCTGGCCCTGCGTTACGTGCGGGAATCCAGAAGCGGGGGAACGGGAGAAGAAAAAACGAGGGTTCATCGTTTCGTGGTGAGAACGAGGCAGCCATGCTACCACGCACCCACAGCTTCCTAAAGTTGCTCTCTCCTCCACCCAAATCCTTGCATAACCGGGAATAAGAAAAGACGTTAGTTTTGCTTTCTTTCCACGTTCTAGCGGATCGATTTGTTTAAAAGTATCTTTGCCTAGGGGGGCTTAACTCACGCCGAGATTTGCAGATTCTCACGGGTTCATCATATGATATCCCACCGTACCTCTCTGTTGATTCGCTTGAATATAGGCGCGAGCATGTTGAACGTGGTGCACGTCAGCACTACGTCATCCGTAATCCGTTTTCCGTCTTTCTCGCGACCTGTGTCGGCCTCGGTCGGCGAGTCAACGAAAGTCACTGCAGCAGTGCTATCGACAAAAACGTCGTGAGCTAGCGAACCGTTATTCGCGATTCGGTTCCGGCTGTTAATGCTGCTAACTCTGTCAAGTCGCGACTCGTCCACCCTAGTAAGGGTGGCATTCTGTCCATCTGTCGACGGCCTATCATTGGACGCCACGCGTCCGTCGCTTCGCAGCTGATTGGTCGCTTGATGAACGCTTTTTCGTCGCTGTCGTAAGAGCGGTGTCGCGTGCCTGTCGGGTGCAGATAAGGAAAACCGACGGCCAGTTGCGTGACGATCTGAGAGTAAACGCGATGCACACGCGAACGCCAAGTCGGATGCGACGCCAGGGATTCCTGAGAGATGCAGACTGCCGACAACGCGGCTGGTGCTGAGCGCGGATAAAGAGCTTCCTATGAATACTGTCGAACCCATCTTGTATCGAGCACACGACACGGCCCAACCGACAAACGTCGCACAAACGAACGCCGCAGGATGGTGTATCTGAATAAAATAAGTCAGTCAGGAAACGAGTGAAGAATGACGGCAGATGCTACTAAGAATGATTGAGCAAAGCAAAATCCGTCATCCACGACAAGAACCTTGCTTCACGGAAGCCTCCACGGTTGTGTTCCGAACTAGATCTTGTGACCTCCGAATCTCAAAGAAAAGGCTCCAGAATTGCTTCAAACGATTCAACTTCTCCCTCTGGAGAACTTCAGTCTCTCGCAGATATTCCTTGGAGTCTTGTGAGGCAACACCTTGCACCCAGATTACTCCATAACGAGATTCGCGAACACAGCATGAGATGCTGGCTACAGCAGGATGACATGAAAGCTGAAACGTTTCACTTGCAGCGCGTCCTCGAACGCTACCCCAACTAAGAGGTTATATGACGGACGCGAAACGTGGGGCACAGACAAGAAAGCATTTCGATGTCAGGAAAGCGCATATGCTGGGGAAAAAGGCCATGTACACCGTACATTTCTGACCGCGCACGCGGGATCGAGGCTCACTGGTGGTCTCGGAGTTGCCAAGTGTGTGACTGCCCGAAAAGCGGACTGACACAATTGGATGAGTGCCACGTCAAAGCAACGTTTCAGTCGCTGACGACACGATATTCGCTTGAGAGAGGGGGATGCTTTCACCGACTATACATTATTCCATAGTGCATAGATATGCAATAATTGTAGACAAGCGAAAAAGTGGAACATACGGTGAGTAAAATGAGGCGAAGGCGTTTATATCTGCATTATGAAGGCACGAAATCCCCACCCTAAAAATACTAGACATCCCCGGTTTTATTCTCTGCTCTGGTTATAAAACTGTACAATGTGAAAAATGGCCTGCTGCAAACAACAGCAGGAGAAAACATCAGCCAAGTAATTTACTGCAACAATTCGGCTTACATATGCCATGAAGATATACCGTACGGTACCAAGACCAATGAGGCAAAACAAAGGACAGCATACATGACACAGGCAAAACAATCGTTCACTATGTTGAGAATATGTTTGTATGCTTTTATTATAAGTGCATTGTTCGAAGTGTGTTTACAGGGGCTCGCCATAGCGAGGAATTTGAACCTGGTGGCGAGTCAACGGGCCGCAACCGAACACAGCGGTTGCGACCCGCGTGGCAGCTCAAGAGTCGAATCGACAGCAGGAGTCATCGTCAACAGTACGCGAAACTGACCTGTGGGGCGCGGCAGGATACCGCGCCCTTGCCGAAGCTAAAAAATCTCGCCAGCGCGACTGTAACAAGGCAACCCAAGCGACGCAGCGCAACTGTTATACAGTTGCGCCTTGGTAACTGTTTGCCCTATGCGTTTGCTATATAACAGAATGTAATGCCTTGCTCATATTATACAATTCTCAAGCTTGTGTCCGGTCTACCCTCGGCCGCTGCTTTGGCACCACGTTGCAAGCCAGGAGAGCTACCGTATGGCCCCGGATATAGGCGCATATGCGCTTATAATAAAATCATTTTTTTGAGGGGGGGGCGCTTGTAATTGAGTAACGGCCATAAGCGCCGGCGCTTATATAATGACAAATACGAAATTATAATTTTAGAGCACCAAATTGTTCATTTTCTTCTTCCCATTTCAACCGAGTCGAAATGTTTTAGCGTCACAATGCAGAATCTCGCACAAGCGATATTTTGGGTTCACACACAGGCAAAGCCACGTCATTCCAGCACATCCTGACTGGACACGCAGCCAGTCAGGTCTTCACGAGTCGAACGAAGCGAAATTGAAATCTGACTCGCTGCAAAAATGAATTTCGTTACTGTTTTAGGCAAGAATTTAAATTCAAATCGCATATGCGCTTATAATAAGTAAAGGTTTTCTAGGGGGGGCGCTTATAATCGAATTCCGGCCAGAGGCGCCATGCTCCAGATAGAAGCGCCGGCGCCTTTAATCGGACGGCGCCTATATCCGGGGCCATACGGTACCTCTGAGTGACCAATAGCCCCGCCGTAGGGACGTCGTTAATTCCTAGAGCTTCCGCTGCGCTCTAGCGACTTCTTATTTCCAACATGGTATCAGAGCAAGAGTTCCAATCCTTGGAACCTGTGATAATTTTTACAAATGGGCCCACCACCTGAATCATCACCAGGAGCATCTTCAGGAGCAGGTTCGACCTGCCACTTCCCACGGAGCATTACGTAGAGGAAATCTTCAACGCACCGTCGCATCATTTTGGGTGACTCAGCAAGACGAATTTCAAGGAGTTACAGCAAAGTCCCTGGAAATGACTTCACAACTTCAACCCGGCAAGATTGCAGCTCTCCTCGTTTCTACACTTCTAACAGTGGAGGGGGGTGTTGAGAATATGTTTGTATGCTTTTATTATAAGTGCACTGTTCGAAGTGTGTTTACAGGGGCTCGCCATAGCGAGGGATTTGAACCTGGTGGCGAGTCAACGGGCCGCAACCGAACACAGCGGTTGCGACCCGCGTGGCAGCTCAAGAGTCGAATCGACAGCAGGAGTCATCGTTTACAGTACGCGAAACTGACATGTGGGGCGCGGCAGGATACCGCGCCCTTGCCGAAGCTGAAAAGTCTCGCCAGCGCGACTGTAACAAGGCAACCCAAGCGACGCAGCGCAATTGTTATACAGTTGCGCCTTGGTAACTGTTTGCCCTATGCGTTTGCTATATAACAGAATGTAATGCCTTGCTCATATTACACAATTCTCAAGCTTGTGTCCGACCTACCCTCGGCCGCTGCTTTGGCACCACGTTGCAAGCCAGGAGAGCTACCTCTGAGTGACCAATAGCCCCGCCGTAGGGACGTCGTTAATTCCTAGAGCTTCCGCTGCGCTCTAGCGACTTCTAATTTCCAACACACTACATGTCTAACTCTGCCCTCAGTCTCTTTGTTTTCTTGGTTGCAAATTGCTCTGCTCTATTTTACAAGTAACGATACGGTGCAGCCATTAATCATAATGTAGCGTGACTGTAATTGTTGGAGGGGATTGGGAGCTGAACTTTTGCTCGTAGGATTGTAACTTGACTTTCAAGAATAGGTACATACATTTTCTATCGTGCTCCCGCCGAACGCACATCATGGCACATTGGAAGATATAGGGGTAACCCCAGTTTGAGCAGCCATGGCAGCACGAATGGCAGCAGCAGTAGCACCATCCCCACCAGTAGCACCAGCAGCAGCATCAGCAGCACCAACATCAGCGGCAGCAGCAGCAACGGCTGGTCTCTTGGTGTCCTCAATATTGAATATTCTCGCCTTGCGGAGAACCTCTGTGACCACCCAGTGCTTGCGCTTGCTCAGTGGCCGTGATGACTCGATGCGCACCTGTGTGGAGGGTAAGGGAAGCCGGGGGCAAGAGGACGGGGCAGGGCAAGAAGAGGCAGGCAGGACAGCTTAGCACATAAGTTTACTGTGACCACCCAGTGCTTGCGCTGGCTCAGTGGCCGCAGCGACTCGATGCATACCTGGTATGGTGGGGAAGGCAGCATGGCATGAGGTTGGGGGAGGTTTGAGGGCACCAGCTTGGGGTCCAGTCACTGCTACACCACGCCATACTGATGCACATGCTCATACTTCTGCACATGATGTGGTTATGCTCATGCTCATGCTATGTCATGGCTATGCCATCATGCCATGCCCATGCCCATGCCCATGACAAAGCCCATGCCCATGCCCATGCCCATGCCCATGCCCATGCCCACGCCCATGCCCATGCTCATGCCCATGCCCACTCCCGTGCCCATGCCCATGCCCACTCCCGTGCCCATGCCCATGCTCATACCCAGACTCATGCCCATAACTTCATGCCTCTTCAAGCGCGGTTCACCTGGTCGCCCATGACACATGCGTTGTTCTCATCATGACCCATGAACTTCTTGGTGGAATGCACCACCTTGGCTTGGGAGGAACTTGTAGGTGAAACTCCGATCACTGCCCATATTCACACTCATGCTCATGCCCACACAATCATAAGCGCGGCTCACCTGGTCGCCCATGGCGCATTCGTTGCTCTCATCATGCGCCATGAACTTCTTGGTGGAATGCACCACCTTGGGGTACTTTCTGTGCGCCTTGAAGCGATCCACCGCCACCACCACACTCTTCTGCATCTTGCTCGACACCACCTTGCCTATGAAGCTCCGCATTGTGTGTGTGTACGTGTATGCACTGGAGTTTGAAAAGGAGGGTGAACGAAAGAGAAACGGGATGGGGGCATGACTTGAACCGGTCCACCGCCACCACCACGCTCTTCTGCATCCTGTTGGATACCACCTTGCCTATGAAGCTCCGCATTTTGTGTGCGTGTGCTTATGTGTGTGTGGGTGCACTGAAGCATGCGCGGGAGGGGGTTTTGGAAGGTACAAGGGATGTGGACATGACTTGAACCGATCCACCGCCACCACCACGCTCTTCTGCATCCTGTTGGATACCACCTTGCCTATGAAGCTCCTCATGGTGTGCGTGGGTGTGCCACACCGTAGCTGAAATAGGAGGGGGAATAGAAGGGACAAGGGATTGGGGGTCAGGAAAGCGATGGGAGATGGGATGGGCCATGATTTGAACCGATCCACTGCCATCAGTTGTCTATGACGCTCTTAGTTGTGTGTGCGTGTGTGCACTGAAGCTTGGGAGTGAGGGGGAAAAGAGATGGGGAAAGCACTCAGGAAAGGGACGGGAGAAAGGGTAACGGGGAGGAAGATTGGGAGGGGAAAGCGGAGGGAAAATCGTAGAGGAAAGGGGAGGGACAAGGGGGAGGGATAGGGGAGGGAGAGGGGAAAGGGGAGGGAGGGGGGAGCGGAAAGAGGAGGGAACGGGGAGCGGAAATGGGGAGGGGAGAGAGGAAAGAGAGGAGAAAAAGGAAGGAGACGGGAAAGGGGACACGGGAGGGGAAAGATGAGGGCGAATGGGGAGGAAGAAGGGGAAGGGGAAAAAGGAGGGGAAAGGTGAGGGATAAGGGGAGAGAGAAGGGGACGGGGAAAAGGGAGGGGAGAGTCCCAACGGAGAGGGGGGGCGGCGCAAGCAGAGGGTGGGAGTCGCACGGTTGAGAGGGGTCGCAAGGGCTACACGATTTTGCGATAAAGGAGGAACACGGTGACGAGGGGATAGAAGAACGACTTTCCAATCGACTCATATGTCACCTCTTTAAGTCGACTCAAAAGGGGATGGAGGAGCGACGCGTGGGCGTGGCAACGAGAGCAGGGCGAGTGGGGAAGGATGGTGACGGGGGGAAATAGGTTGACGGTTGGGTGTCGATCAGGGCGACGCGGAAACGAATGAGCGGTGAGTAGATCGCGGCAGGGATGAGTACGTGAGGCGGTCGGAGGGTGTGGGGGGGAAGACTACGTTATGAAAAGCCGCAAGGCAACGCCTCGCAGAGTGGCATTCGCACCTGGTGGAAAACCGAAAAGCGTGGGGGTTCAAAATGGCACTATGAGGAGAGCGATGCGATCTTAAACAGCCCGTTTCGGTCAGATCCTGCACCGGCACGCTCGGTCAACTCGTCGTACTTCAGTAAGTGCCGGCACGTCGAACTAACCTATAAATGCTTCGATTTAGGTATTTAGGGAGGTACCAAATGAAAATATAACCTGGAATCATCTCGTTTTTTTCACGTAACTCGCAAGGGAATTGGTCGGAACGTCGCAGGGAGGTCGCGTTCATGCGTTACATGTTGGGAGCAGTCCGTGTCACCCGAGGCCGAATTAGGGTTTTGTTGAGCTCCTCGGTTACAGTCTGCAGCCTTTCGATTCCCGTATATTCGGGTAACAGCATCACATTACCTCTTCGCATGGACGAACATTTGTGGCTACCCTTTTGCATTCTAACAGGTTCGTTTCCCTCCACTTAGTGGTCAGCGACACCAGTGGATATCGCCACCACCTGATCGTACACCCATTTTGGCCGCCATGTCAGCTCAACTGGAAACTGGACGATTTGGCACGCCGATAGGGCGGTTGGGTCACTCGCGGACTGGGGATCTCCGTGACACGAATTCGTAGGAACGCGGATTCAGAAATGAGTGGAGCAAGCCGACGAGCACCCATCTCCTCGCATCATGTCGACTGCAAACTGATAACCAAGATTTTACGCTTCTTGTCATCAGGGCATTTCCTGCTTCTATGTAGTAGATTTGCCTCTCGCTTGTCCTTCATTCCATTGCGCTTCCTTCACGTATCTGACGTCGTACTGTTCCTTCCCATCTCCTCGCATCTCTGCTCGCGTACATCAATCTCTCTCTATTCTATCAATCACGAGTCGCGGAGCAATTCGTGTCGCGATTCGTCCAATCTCCGCCGTTCGAGCCTTTCAGCTACACTTGTTTCACCCACAGTGGTGACAGTCACGCAGCTGTCCTTCATAGTCGAATAGCTGCCGTTTGTATCGGATACCTGTCGTTCACAGTCGCACAGCTACCGTTCGTAGTCGCACAACTCATCGTAGCTACGCGTCGCACAACTATCGTGCATAGCAATCGCATCTGTCGCTTGCCCCATCGCAGCTGTCGCTTACCTCATCGCAGCTGTTGCTACCCCATCGCGGCTGTCGCTTACCGAAATCGCAGCTCAGCTGGTTTGGTAACAATGGCGTTTGGCGAAATCGTGGGCACGTCGTTGGAGGTCCCACGAGTGACGTCGACGCTGCGAGTGCTGGTGCGAGATGGTGGGCGTCCCTTCGACGTGGATCAGCAGCTGCTACAGCGAAAACAGGCTCTCTCGCTGCGAAGGTACGAAAAACGTGGTTACCAGACAGTTTTTGCTTCGTGAGTGACGGACGAGGAAATTCAGGGAGATCAACGAACTGCAGTATGTTGGTGGTATGTGCGAGCGTTACTGATACCTGGTTGCACCTCCGTTTGTTCTTTTCATCCCAAGACTCACGTTGGTTGTTTCGTTTTGTTTCCTTTCTCTTGCACATGTGGATTAACCGATCAACATACTCACCCTTTTGCAGCACAACTGTCGTGCATTTTTCCTTCCCGCACATTCCCATGGCCTTCTTCTTTGTTCTGAAGCAGCTCGGCTGGCGCCATGTCAGCAGAAGCAGGCCACGTGGCACCAGCAGTGGGTGCCACGACACTGGCGCAGCGACTGGTTCCTGAGTGGGAGAAAGGTGAGCCGTTGATGGGAACTATATCCTATTGCTGTGACTGTGGTACTGTTACTGGTGATGGCATGGCGGGATCTGGAAGATCTGGTGAAATTGGTGAAGAATTTCCTTTTCCTTCCCCTTCCATTCTGTTCCCTTCCCCTTCCTTTGTCTTCCCTTACCCTATTTCTACAGCTCCCGCTAGTGTTCGAGAGGCGTACGAGTCGTTCCTAGTGGCCGTCCAATCGCTGCTCGCCACGGAGGTCTCTTCTGCTGATCTGCACGAGGCAGCAGGGGCGGCGTTTGACTGCATTGACCGCCAGCTCAGAGCAAGGCGGGAGAAGCAGGCAGGGGAAGAGGCTGCAGGAGAGGAGGGAGGCCATTCGGATGGTCTTGCCGGGGCCTTGAGCGAGGCCGATTCGCTCTCAGATGCTGATTTGGGCAGCATAAGGTGGGTGGGGTTGCATGTTATGGATGGGTGTGGTTGCATGTTCAGGTGGCCACTCAGATCAGGTTTTGTCTCAGCTCCTGAACCTCAATAGGGAGGTGCAGGGGGGGGGGGGGGGAGATCGGCCGCGGTTGATGTTGTAGGAGATCATCCTTTCATCCTTTCACCCTCCTTGGTCTGACCCCGTTCCCGCTATTGTTGTCCGTGTTGCTTCTGCATCTCCCTTTCGTCCCTTCTCTCCCCCCAAATCTGCTCTCTCTGACCTCCTCGGTCTCATCTCCTCCGACCTTCCCCTCGTCCGCCGAACAGTCTCCCTTACTATTGCTGCTTGCCAGGCTGGCAGCGCACTTAACCTCACCCGGAAATTCCCCCTAAACCAGAAACCCTGTTGACGGTGTTGCTTCTACATCCATGATCCATCCACCCTTATCCCTTGTGGTTTCCCCCAGATCTGCTCTCTCTGACCTCCTCGGTCTTGTCTCCTCCGACCTTCCCCTCATCCGCCGAGCAGCCTCTCTTTTCCTCCAGCTGCTCGCCTGGCAGCGCACCCACCGCTCCCAACCGCACCACCAGCACCAACACCGCTCTGCACCGCACCAAGAACCTTCAGACTCCTTCATGTTCGGTGCGGACGTGCCCTTCCAGGTGCCTGGGGCTGGCCTAGATGGTAACCAGCTGTTACAGCAGTTCTGGGAGGAGGCCAGGGCCCGGACTCAGGCGCAGGCTCAGGTGGATTCTCAGGTGGATTTTCAGGTGCCAGCCCAGGTGCAGGCCCAGGTGCCAGTGCACCGTTCCACATATGAGACAGCTGAGTCAGGTGCTGCTTTTGATGCCTCTGGTGGTCCTTATAGCGCTGCTGATGGTGGTGGCGGAGGTGGTGACCATAAAGAGGGGGAGGAGGGACCGCGTGATCTGAGGTGGCTGCACCAGTCGTGTGTGGAGGCGGCTCAGTGGGGGGGAGGCGCGCAGCTGACTGCTGACGAGCTGTCTCTGGCTGTGCTCAAGCTCATGCAATCCCCGGGGTCTGGAGATGAGGTACGGCTGATGGGAAGGGAAGGGGGTTGAGAGGGGGATGTTGTGTTTTGTTCGTCATGGAGGGAGGCGCGCAACTAACTGTCGCTGCCTGTGCTCAAGCTCATGCAATCCCCGGGGTCTGGAGATGAGGTACGGCTGAGGGGAAGGGAGGGGGAGGGAGAAGGGGTGTTGGAGGGGGTGTGTGTGTCTCTGTGTTCGTCTGCGGTTGCTGAGTCGCCTGCCAATATGGAAGGGAAGGGAGGGGTGTCATGAAACGTGGTTGCTGAGTCGCCTGCCAATATGGAAGGGAAGGGAGGGGTGTCATGAAACGTGGTTGTTGAATTAACTGCTGGCGAGCTGTCTCTGGCTGTGCTCAAGCTCATGCAATCACTGGGGTCCGCGTGTTTGTGTGCGCATGCATGCATGCATGCTTTCATGTGTGTGTGCGCATGCATGCATGCTTTCATGTGTGTGTGCGCATGCATGCATGCTTTCATGTGTGTGTGCGCATGCATGCATGCATGCGTGCTTTCATGTGTGTGTGCGCATGCATGCATGCATGCGTGCTTTCATGTGTGTGTGTGCGTATATGCATGCTTGCCTGTGCCCATCCATGTGCATGTGTCTTGTTGTGCATGTGTGAATGCATGTGCATGAGCGTGTGCGTTTTTGTATGTGTTTGCGTCCAACCAGGTGGCAGGGGAGCTGTTCAACCTGGTGGGCGATCAGGGCTTCGAGTTCATCCAGCAACTGCTGCAGGTACCATTGCATGCTGTGTGTGCTTCATTCATCTGTGCTGCTTCATCTAGGTCGAGGGGGTTTCTGATTTCAGTAGATGAGTGAAGCATGTGCGTGCGTGCACGTGAGCTGTTCAACCTGGTGGGCGATCAGGGCTTCGAGTTCATCCAGCAACTGCTGCAGGTACCATTGCATGCATGCACGCTGATCTGGTACCAAGCTTGCCTGTTGCTACAGTTACCTGCATGTGCCTCGTGTCATCTGCAACTCCTCAGATGTTTGCCATTTGTCAGATTAGCTTGTGCCATTTGCCATTAGATGTTGCCACATGCCGCACCGCCACACCTCGCTACGGTCACCGTGCAGACCAACTCCGAGAAGCAGCTGGAGAAAGCTGGAACGCCCAGCACCTCTGTATCTTCCCTTCTCATCCCCTTTCTCCCCTTCCGTGAAAGAAGGAGTGTTTTGAGACGTCTCAAACCACCCAGCACCTCTGTATCTTCCCTTCTCATCCCCTTTCTCCCCTTCCGCCCCCACTCCCCCCCCCCCCCACCTCTTCACTTCTCCCTTCTTCCACCAGCATCGCAAGGTGCTGGTGTCTGCGGCTCAGTCGGCGTTCTCAGCTTTAAAAGAAGCAGTGGAGGCGGACGCCAGGGGCAGCGCCAGCAGGAACAGCCACATGCGGCACGCACGGCGCTACCGTGACCGTGCAGACCGCGTCAGAGAAGAAAACCCATGTGCCTCTGTGCTTTTCTGTCCCAACCCCTTTCCCTTCCCCAAACCCTCCCCCACACCCCACTCACCAGCATCGCAAGGCGCTGGTGTCTGCAGCTCAGTCGGCCCTTTCAGCCCTGAAGGAAGCTGTGGAGGCGGACACAGCAAGCAGCGGCACCAGCAACAGCCACATGCGGCACGGCGCTACCGTGACCGTGCAGACCGAGTCAGAGAAACAGCTGGAGAAGCTCCGAAAGAAAGAGGACAAGAAAATTGCTCGTGCCGCCGCGAAAACCGGAGGAGGAGGTGGAGTGGGGGGAGGAGCGGGGAGAGGGGGGGTAGAGGGGGAGCTAGCATGGTTGCTAGGCGCAGGGGGGTTTTCAGCACTGGTGGAGGCTGGGGAGAATAAAGTCGGAGGGGTGATTGATGCTCTGATTGGTACAGGGGATGATGCTGTACCTGTGAGGGCGCTGCCTGTGGGGACTAAGAGGAAGGCTTATAAGGGGTATGAGGAGGTGCATGTGCCGCCGGCTGTGGCGGAGGGGGGCGCGGGGAGGGCACAGGAGAAGCTGGTGAGGGTGGGGGAGATGGAGCCCTTCGCTCAGAAGGCGTTTGAGGGGTTTCAGACGCTCAACCGCATCCAGAGCCGCATCTACCAGCGTGCCTTTTACTCCAATGAAAACCTCCTGGTATGTTCTAAGAAGGGGTACAAGGGTGTGCATGTGGGGGGCCACGGGGAGGGCACAGGAGAGGGTGGTGAGAGTGGGGGAGATGGAGCCGTTCACTCAGAAGGTGTTTGAAGGGTTTCAGACACTCAACCGTATTCAGAGCCGCATCTACCAGTGCACCTTTTACTCCAACGAGAACCTCCTGGTAAGGAAAAGGTTTATCAGGGGTATGAGGTGAATGGGATTTCAGACACTCAACCGCATTCAGAGCCGCATCTACCAGCGCGCCTTTTATTCCAACGAGAACCTCCTGGTACGTTCTAAGAGAAAGCCTTATAAGGGGTATCAGGAGGTGCTTGGGTTTTCAGACGCTCAATGGCACCCAGAGCCACATTCGAGGATTAAATTCCTAACCCCGAACCCTAAACCCCTTGTCGGCTTTTCTTTCCTTTTCTACCCCAGAGAATCGTTAAAAAGCCGGTTGCTTCTCACCCGTATTCACAGGTGTGTGTGCCCACCGGAGCAGGGAAGACCAACATTGCGATGATCACTTTTGAGGCGCCTCAAAAGCCGGTTGCTTTGCTTCTCACCCGTATTCACAGGTGTGTGCGCCCACCGGAGCAGGGAAGACCAACATTGCAATGATCACAGTCCTGCATGAGGTGAGGGGATGATTTGCTGGTGTACCGAGGGGTGGTGTGGGGTGGTGTGGTGTGGTGTATGTGGTGGCACTTTTCTGTGCTTTAAATGTGACGTGAAGATTTATGGGGTTTAAGGCTCCACATGTTGAGTTCTTTCACACTGGCTCTATACAAGGTAGCGCTCCTCAGCGGAATACCAGATTTGCTAACTTCAATTCACATTCACTTCACATCACACACCCATGGTGGGTGGGTCACCCAACCATCATTGAACCGAGTGCTTTACTTCAATACTTTACACCACTCACTCATCCATTGTTCGTCCATGGCAGGTGGGAGCCAACTTCAAGAACGGAGTGCTGCAGAAGAACGATTTCAAGATTGTCTATGTGGCCCCCATGAAGGTGGGTGGGTGGATGGTGAGGCAAGAGTAGGCACAGCGGTGAGCAGGCTTTGTTTGCAAAGCTGAGAGCGAGCGCTGCAGAAGAACGACTTCAAGATTGTCTATGTGGCTCCCATGAAGGTGGGTGGGTGGGTGGGTGGGTGGGTGGTGGTACGGCAAGAGTAGGGCACTGTACAAGAGGGTGGTTCATCACTCTTGGCAGGTGGCACGGCTTTAAGATTGTCTATGTGACTCCTAGAAGGTGGGTGGGTGGGTTATAGCTGCAATGCAAAGCTCATCAAAGTTCCTGATCAACTTAGTCCACGGGGATTTTGAGGCGCCTTGTACATCATAGCTATGTTGGAAAAGTCGCGCCCAGCGCATTATACGCAAGCGTATATACGCTTGCGTATAGTACGTTATGCGCTGAGTGAGTGACTTTGAAAGTCGCAAAAAGTACGCTGCCCGGGCAGCAAAAAGTTTTTACCAGGCAGCCGGAAAAAAACCTCGGAAGGGGGGGGGGAGTGGTGGTTTTTCTGAATTTCATATATTGAAAAAACCTGACATTCACAACTACTCTAAGCAAGCAACATGCATCTCCGCCCATGCTACACTACTCTACCCCACCCCCTACTCCCACCCTCTACTTCCCCCGTCCCTTCGTTCCTCCTCTACTTGTACTCATCCTCCAGCTCATCCTCCTCCCCCTCCTCCTCATCCTCCTCCAGAACCTCCTTGTACCTTTCCGGCAGGGGGGCCTCAGGGATGTTCCCCGGGAGAACCGTCACCCCCTCAGCCCCCTTGTGCCAGTTGCGCACAATGTTCCAATTGTGCGCAACATACACGAGGTCCCGACACCTCTCGGACCCCAACCTGTTGCGCTTGGCAGTGTGGATCGATTCCCACACTGCCCAGTTCCTCTCACACGCCGATGCGGACACTGGCTGAGAGAGAACGCGGCAGGCGAGCGTTGTCAGCTCGGGGTGGTCAGTCCCGTGCCACGTCCACTACTGGACGGCCGTCTTCTTACCAGCCTTCACGAGCTCACGGTCAGAGATGGCGTCGGGTAGACCAAAGCTCCCCTGAAGGGTGTTGAATGCCGTCAGGCCGTCCTGGATGACGTGGGATGCACGCAGCTCCTCGCCCTCCTTGCGCGTGACGGTCCGCTCGCAAAGTGACGAGCGACGAACGCTTTGAAGACGCGAGTACACTCCAGGTCGGTCCGGAAGATGCCTTCCTCTTGGTTGACCGGGTTGAGGATCCGGCCAACCACGTGCATGGCACACGCCATGCTATGGTCACAGCGCTTTTGGACGATGTTGGTCACTTCCGTGCGTTCACTGCTGGACAGCACCAATCCCGCCTCCTCCTCCTCCAGCTTCGCATTGATGTCTTCCGTGAGCTGGAGCATCAGATCGTACATCCTGCCCATCATGCCCTTGGCCGTCGAGTCGGTCTTGCGCATGACGACAAAGGGTATCTTCAGGAGGGCAACGAAGAACTCCGCCCCTTTCCACCACACGGCATCCATGATCATGGCTTCGAAGGGCTCGACCGGCGGCTTCCTCCCCTTCGCCCAAGCCTGCCACTCCGGGCTCAGCACCATCTGCGTCAATGCATTCTGCACCTCGCAAAGCCGCTGCACCACGATGAATTGCGTGCCAAATATGGTGCCCGCCGGCTTCAGCACCTGCTTCCCCTTCCCTCCCTTCACCTGTGGGCTTCTCCTGTAACCTTTGGTGAAATGGTGGGCATGCACAAAGGTAATAATCACCCCCGCCTTAGCCACAATGTCCTTCGCCCAATCCATTTTCCCAATGTCCTCCATGAGTAGATCCATGACGTGAGTAGCGCATGGCATATGCTCAATGTGAGGATACTCAAGCATGAGTTCCCTACATGCAGCCGCATAATTGCTGCCCCCATTCATGTAGAAAGCAACTATGTTGGCGGGCCCCACCTTCTCAATGATCGGACGCAAAACAGATGCAATGTAACCTCCCGTCTTCGTCTCCAACTTTCAGTCGATGCTTTCGGCGAACACAGCACCGGAGTCGTTGATGAGCAGGATGTTGGCTTGGGGACGGCCACTTTTGTCCGTCATCATGTCCGAACCTATTGTCACGCCATCCCGCTTCCAGCTCGTAGTGATGGGAGCGAGCCCCTTCTCGATCTTTCCGGGGTAGCGCACAAGGCCGGCGCCACCAACATACCGCCGCTTCGGCGGAACGTAGCCATGGCCCGCGTCCGTGATGCAGCGCACAGCGTTGCGCCAGAGAGGGTGATCGGCGAGATGCTCCGGGAGGTGAAGTGCCGCCCACATGAGGCAGATGGCGTCGTCTGCCGAGTCCTTCGCACACGATGCCCCTTCCCCGTAGAAGTCTTCGATGCACTGCTTCGATCCACCCGCACACGCCTCGATCGCCATCTCCTCCGCCTTCTTCTTCCCTTCCCTGTGGGCGTGTTTGCCTTCGTACAATTCGCGGACGGCGCCGCGGTCAGCAGCAGGGATAGGCGCCTTGCAAAGACGGACGTCCTTCCGTTTCAGCCCTTTCCAACGCGTGATGTGTTGCGCACAACGGAAGGCACCGCTTACGAACTTAAGCTGGCAGTGCCGACATATGCGGAGAGTACGCCCAGGACCATTCGAGGTACCTTCGGTAGAGGTAAGGAAATGCTTAAAAATTAACATGGGTGTTCACAGGAACATCCTCGTCGTCCGCCATGGTCGCGTCATTCGAAACACTAGGAGCCTCACTAGTGGCACTCGCGGGAGTACCTGTAGGAGTCGACATCAAGTGGAGCTGAGCGGGAGTGTTGAGAGAGAATGAACGAGGAGAGAGATACTACAGATGACGGGAATGAGCTTACCTTATAGTCCAAGATGTGGTTGAACCACCTACGCTGGTTGACGACATTCGTGTTTGTGTGTTGGAGTCGCGCGATAGCATAGGGTGCAATGCGGTTCAAATTTTCCCACGTCCCCAAATTTTGACAGGTGTGGGTGACAATGTGTTTGGGACGTGCGTACATTTTGAGTCGCGTCGCACATTCGCAATTCGTGCGCGACCCACGAAATCTGTTTTTTTCTCCGGTCAGCCCGAACATTTCCCAACGAATATACGTACGAATTGCGTACACCGTATATTCGTAAACGACTATACGGTGTGCGCTTATGGTTTCTGGCGACTTTTCCAACATAGCATCATAGCCAATCAGGACATACTATTGGTCACGACTCACATGTTTCCCCTCTTTCTTGAGTTTTGAGTCGACTCAAAACTCGACTTATCACACACGACTCACATGTTTCCCCTCTTTCTTGAGTTTTGAGCCGACTCAAAACTCGACTTATCACACACGACTCACATGTTTCCCCTCTTTCTTGAGCATTCATGTGTGTGTGTGTGTGACCTTCCCTCCCACCAGGCACTAGCGGCAGAAATGGCAGCAGCGTTTGGGAGGCGGCTGGCCTCTCTGGGGCTGTAAAAGCGAGAGCTGACTGGCGACATGCAGCTGACAGAGAGGGACTTTTGAGGTGTCGCAAAAGTGCATCTGTGTGTATGTTTACCCCCTCCTAACAGGCGTTAGCAGCGGAGATGGCAGCAGCATTCGGAAGGCGCCTGGCCCCTCTCGGGCTGTCAGTGCGAGAGCTGACTGGCGACATGCAGCTGACGGAGAGGGACTTTTGAGGTGTCGCAAAAGTGCATCTGTGTGTATGTTTACCCCCTCCTAACAGGCGTTAGCAGCGGAGATGGCAGCAGCATTCGGAAGGCGCCTGGCCCCTCTCGGGCTGTCAGTGCGAGAGCTGACTGGCGACATGCAGCTGACCAAGAGAGAGATGGAAGAAACGCAGGTGAGAGGGGGAGAGGAGTGGGGGCAGTGTGGTTTGAGAGGTGAGGTGACAGATGGCTTGTGCTTGAGCAAAAGAACCTCAGATGATAGTGATGCCGCCGCGGCGCCGTCTAAGAAAATGGCTCTGCCTGCCCCCATCTCCCCTCCTCCCTCCCACCCACTTGCTTCAGATGATCGTGACAACACCTGAGAAATGGGACGTGATAACAAGAAAGAGCTCAGATGCCTCCATGGCGTCGCTGTTGCGCCTGCTGGTGATGGTCAAGGTTCATCTGCTGAGATGCTGTTGCTGCCTGGCCCTCCCCTCTCTCCCACGTGCTTCAGATGATCGTGACGACACCCGAGAAGTGGGATGTGATCACGAGAAAGAGCTCAGATGTGTCGATGGCGTCGCTGGTGCGCCTACTGGTGATCGACGAGGTGCATCTGTTGAATGACGACCGAGGACCCGTGATTGAGACCCTGGTGGCACGCACCTTGAGACAGGTGGGTTTTTGAAATTACTCGAAAGGCTGCTGCTGCCCCTCCAGTTGCGTATGCTCAGATGTGTTGGCTTGCTGGCGCTGCTGGTGCGCCTGCTGGTGATCGACGAGGTGCATCTGTTGAATGACGACCGCGGACCCGTGATTGAGACGCTGGTTGCACGCACGTTGAGACAGGTGGGTGCTAAGCTGACTCGAAAGGCTGCTGCTGCCCCTCCAGTTTCGTATACTGAGATGTGTTGTGTTGCTGGCGCTATTGGTGATCAATGAGGTTAAACTGTTAAATAACGACTGTGGGCCCGCTGGCTGCACGCACGTTGAGGCAGGTGGGTGTTGAGTCGACTCAAAAGGCTGCTTCTTATCCACCAGATACATACAAATGGCTGCTTCTGCTCGGATTGTGCGGCTGTTGAAAACGGATCAAACTCAACCATTTCAAATTGTTAACAAATTGCAAGATGACAACCAGGGCCATTCCCTAGATTCGTCTATCTTACTGTATCTCGTCATCTCCCATCTCCCTGAGAGGATGGTCGATGTGGCTTGGAGATTACTCATAGACTGACGACATGCATGTGCCGTCGTTGTGATTGCTGTGTGTGTGTGTGTGTGTGTGTGTGTGTGTGTGTGTGTGTGTGTGCGTGCGCGTGTGTGTGTGTGTGTGTGTGTGTGTGTGTGTGTGTGCGTGCACGCGCGCACGTGCACATACATTCGTGTGCGTGTGTCTGTTTGATTGTGTGTGCCACAATGGCTGCTGCAGGTAGAGAGCTCTCAAAGCATGATTCGCATCGTGGGCCTCTCTGCAACTCTGCCCAACTACACAGAGGTGAGATTCTGGGGGGATGATGGGTTGATGGCATGATGGGTTAATGATGGGGTGATGGGGTGATGGGCTGATGGGGTGGTGATAGGATAGGGTAATGCGCTGATGGGCATAACAATTGGCTGAACGAGCACAGGTGTATGATATTTCCGTACGGCCTCTCGTCCAATCTTTTTCCTGGGCCCTTGCAGTGACACACTGGCACTTCCCTGCCCCGTTCCCTCCCACCTTCTCCCCCCCCGCGCTTCGCACATGCAGCACAGGTAGCACAATTCTTGCGAGTTAACATTGACAAGGGGGTCTCTATCCTGACGCCCCATGCTGCTCTCCCAGCAACACACTGGCGCTTTCCTATATCTGCCCCCCTCCTCCTTGCTTGAAACCCCCACACCCACAGGTGGCTCAGTTCCTGCGGGTCAACCTTGACACGGGGCTCTTCTATTTCGACGCCTCCTACCGTCCCGTGCCGCTCTCCCAGCAGTACATTGGGGTCTCTGAACCGAATTTTGCCCGCCGCAACACTCTCATGCACGAGATTGCGTATGAGAAGGTGGGTGGGTAAGCACGAAGAGTTATTACATCCGTGCGTGAGAATTTCCACAGTTGATGACTGTAGTTAGTGCTCTTCTGAGTCTTGCTTGCATAGGATTGGAACCCTCGCATCGCGTGCACGAGATTGCATATGAGAAGTATGTTGTTTCTGAGGCGTTCACACCTAGTCTTGATTACTCGAATGCTCAGGTTCTTCACTGCATGCCGGCCTTGAACCGTGTTTTGAGTTGACTCAAATATCGCATCGGGCACGCAATTAACGTGGTTAAGAAGGGGAAGTAACTTTGCTGGGCGAAATTCTGGAAAATGGTTCTGCAATGAGATGGATGAGATGGTTTTTTATCTGCGTGGCTTTGTGTGTGTGTGACTGACTTGTTTGACCCTTATTTCTCCTTGGCAGGCAATGAATGCGGTGAAGAATGGGAAGCAGGCGATGGTGTTTGTGCATTCCCGGAAGGACACGGTTAAGACTGCGAGGATACTGGTGTGTGCTGTGCCGTGCAATCACCACGTGCATTTGAAACTGCGCTATTATCACATCCTGCTGCCATGAGTCGTGTGTTGAGTCGACTCAAAACACCATGCAATCACCACGTGCATTTGAAGCTGTGCTATTATCGCATCCTGCTGCCCTGCCATGAGCATCACTGCTGGGAACGTGTGAGCTTCCTTGCTCATCCCTCTCATTTCAAGTCATAACCTGATCGCACCATCCGTCACCACCCATCACCACCCATCACCATCTGTCACCAATTGTCACCACCCTGTCCCTTCAGATGGAAACGGCGCAGAGGAACGGGGAGTCGGAGCTGTTCAACCCGCAGGAGCAACCACAGTACAAACTCATGGAGGTGTGGTGTGGCAGGGATGTATTTTCTAGGCCCTGGAAAGAAATGGTACAGCAGTACCATCTCTTTCCGCAGTACAAACTCATGGAGGTGCGGTGTGGCAGAGATGGTACAGCAGAGATGTGCAGTGCTGCTCTGTGGTGGTGCGGTGACTGTGTTTGAAGATTGGTGCAGAGGAACGGCGAGGTAGAGTGGAGCTGTTCGACCCGCAAGAGCAGCCACATACAAACTCATGGAGGTATGGTACTGTAGATATGGTACGGTGGCAGCTGCAGTGCAAGCAAGCTCATGGAGAAGATAAGGATTAGGGGGATGTGATGTGTTCGTGCAATAGGGAGATGGCGAAGCTCTCTTGACCGTCCCCTTACCCCTTTGCTTTCTCCCACTTCTCTCACCCTTCTGTCCCCCTTCTCTCCCACTTCTCCCACCTGAGCAGGAGGAGGTGATGAGGTCGCGCAACAGGGAGATGGGGAGCTCTTCCTTGCGGCCATGCTCCACTCACTCTCTCACTCACTCACTCACTCACTCACTCACGTCCTCACTCTCTCACTCACTCACTTACTCACTCACCCATACCCTTGCACACCCTCCCCTCCCCGCTCCACTTCTCTCCCCTTTTCCCTCACTTTCCACACCAACAGAAGGACGTGATGAGGTCGCGCAACAGGGAGACGGGGGATCCTTCAGGCTGGATTCGGCATCCACCATGCCGGCATGCTGCTCTCTGCTGTGCTCATCCCCGTCTCTGCTTTGCTGTTTCTCCCCCTCGCCCCCACCAACTCAAGCAGAAGGATGTGATGAGGTCGCGCAACAGGGAGATGGGGGAGCTCTTCCAGGCGGGCTTTGGCATCCACCATGCCGGCATGCTGCGCCCCGACCGCTCTCTCACGGAGAAGCTCTTCAGCATGGGGCTCATCAAGGTATGATGGGAGATGGGAGGGTGTGCGTGTGTAGGAATAGCATCGAGGTCGTAGGCTGCGTATCTGCCTATGTGCAAAGAGCATCCACCATGCTGGCATGCTGCGCCCCGACCGCTCGCTCACTGAAAATCTCTTCAGCATGGGGCTCATCAAGGTGCGATGAGAGGGCATGTGTGAGATGGGTATGGGTAGTAGCAGCATCAAGGTCATAGGTGAGCGTATATGCGTACATAGTGAGTGGGAGGGAGCTCGATGCCCTTGTGGGGATGCTGTGCATGGACCCCTCTCTCACAGAGAAGCTCTTCAGCATGGGGTTCATCAAGGTGATTGTGTGAGATGGTGGAATTTGTGTGTGTAAGAATGGCATCGAGGTCGTAGGCTAGTGAGAGTATGCGCATCTGCCTAGGTGCAAAGTGCATCCACCATGCTGGCATGCTGCGCCCCGACCGCTCGCTCACAGAGAAGCTCTTCAGCATGGGGCTCATCAAGGTGCGGGTGGGAGGGAGGGGTTGTGTGGTTGAGATCAAGTGCATGCTCACCGCACTTACACAAAGGGCACACAGCGAGCATCCACCATGCAGGCATGCTGCACCCCGACCGCTCGCTCACAGAGAAGCTCTTCAGCATGGGGCTCATCAAGGTGAGGCTGGGATTGAGGGCATGTGGCGTGTAGGGTTGAGCAAAAACACGAACACCTGTTCGGTTCGCCTCGAACACGTTCGAGGCGAACCGAACAGGTATTTTTTTTTGGCTTAAAATGTTCGCCGAACAGTGTTCGATGTTCGCCCGAACACGTTCGTGTTCGGGCCGCTGCTGCAATTTGCCCGCGACGAACACGAACAGTGTTCGAGGTTCACAGGCGAACGGCGAACACCATTTTTTGCTCAAAGTGTTCGCCGAACCGAACAGTGTTCGCCGAACCGAACAGTGTTCGGTTCGGAAAACGAAGGTGTTCGTGTAGGGGCGAACACGAACACGTTCGTGTTCGCCACTTGCTCATCCCTAGTGGCGTGTTCATATACACGTGCATGCATAAGGTGGTGCACAGCTAGCATGAGACATTTGACATGCTGTGCCCCGACCGCTCGCTCATTGTGAAGCTCTTCAGCATGGGACTCATCAAGGTGAGATGTATCAGTTGTATGATGAGCATCAAGGTTGCCAGGAGGCCGTGGCCTGGCTCGTTCCGCCTTATTTAGCCTCATCATCTCGTCAAACCCACCCAATTCCTCCTGCTTGCTATCTCCACTCAAGAATTTCAACAATGCTTCATTGGCGTTGACTGTCACCATCTTACAGTTCCTCCATTGAAGATCAATATTCAGATCATGGAGAGAAGTTAGGAATTCAACAAGAAGGTCTATGAATATTCTGCTTGAGTCCCTCTAGGTGGGTGTTTTGATAAGAGCAATCTTTAGATGTTGTATGTCATGTTGACAACTTTTTTCTTGTAGTGACGGAGTTGCTCCAGCCTTTTGTGGAAGAACATTGTCATTCTTTATCCTACGTTTTTTACAAAAGATTTCATTGGGAGACTAGTCGTTTCTCCACGTCGTTTGAAATTCGGCTTCCTCCTAAGCTTGACTATCCGGGTGGCATTTTGAATCAGCAACCTAGTGCTCCTCTTCCGAGCCAAGGCATGCGGAAGGTGGAGCCGCTACGGGACAGCGATTTCGTCAATGTTCCGATCAGGACCAGGACCAGCACATACACCTCTGAGGAGTACAACAAGGCATGGGGTCTTGGAAAGCTTTTACCTGCTGAGAGAGCTTCTGGGTCCGAGAAAATTTCCGTACCGAGAGGCAGACATGCTTATTTGGATTACCTGTAAGAAAAGCAATGTGATGAAGCTGGGAAAAATGCAACTCAGAGAAAATTAGCGAGAATGTTCACACTAGAGCTGTTAGCTTGTTGTTTCAGTACACATTATGGGCCTACGTAAACATAATGTTACGCGTAACATTATGTTTACGTTCACGTACACGTAAATACGCGTAACTTGTATCCGGGCAGGTAAAAAAAATGTCGGAAAAAAAATAGGGAAGAGCTAAATTTGACCGGCTTGGCCCTGGAGAGAAATGTCGCTGCAGAACCGTTCAAGGCAGCGCATAGTATGGTGATTGAGATCTGAATATCGTAGCTAGCCCTACATGGTAAATTTAGGAAGGCGGATTAGGTCGTCGATCTTAGCCTTCTGGGTCCCGCGTACGTCATGGGACGGGACTAGAACACAAGGGGGTGGTTGGGAGATCGAAGTAGCATAGTGGGGAGAGGCGGGGGACTCACGCGATATCGCGTGAAATCGGGGGGCAGAGCTCGAGCTGGTTTTGTACACCTCGCAAAAGTAACATGCGTCACTTTGTGACGCCAAATAATTTTGTGCTTAGAGATGATCATATATGGTGGTTATATTGCCATATTCAAACCCCCTGATTTTTTTGTGCAAGCCGGGCAGCTAAGCAAAAAAAAAAATCTGCCCGTAAACGTAAACTCATTTTAGACCCTCGGGCGTAACGTAAAACGTACGTAAATGTAAACGTAAAACGTACGTAAACGTAAGCGTAATATCCAACTTAGGTACGCATGGATTGAGACAGGCCGCTCTCCTCAACTCTCGTTTCTTTCCAGTGCTGTTTAATCCGCCCGTGAACCACTTCTCATCCTCTCTCGCTCACTTGCTCCTCCTTTGTTGTTCTCTCAATGGCTCTCTGTCACGGGCTGCAAGTCCATTGAGATGTATACTCAACGCGCTCTTGCTCTCCTCCCCATCCGTTCGCCTATCCCATCCCATCGCAGGTGCTTGTGTGCACAGCCACGTTGGCATGGGGAGTTAACCTGCCGGCCCACACTGTCATTATCAAGGTGTGTCTTTCAATAGTGGCGGCTACTAAGTAGCCCATTGAAGGAATTAACCGGTAGGGGGTTTTCTTTCTAAAAAAATATCAAATCTAACGTTCCGGCTTGCATATTCATTATCAAAGTGCGTCTCTAATCTGTAGCCAGGTAGCCCTTTTGAAAGTTACACATGGATGGTTTCGGTTCGCAGCAAGCCACGAGTCTCTTTCTAACCTCTTCCATTCTCAAAAGTGACACATCCACAATTTGTATCTAAAATCTTATGGAGCCCCCTCTCCTTTCTCCCCTCGTCCCCCCTCTCCCTCCCTCCCTGCCAACAGGGCACTCAACTGTACGATGCCAAGGTTGGCGGTTTCCGGGAGCTGGGGATGCTCGATGTGATGCAGGTGAGATGAGTTTCTGCGAGGTGCAATGCGGTGCTGTGTGGCGCAGTGAGCATGCTGGATGTGATGTGATGCAGGTTGGGGAGATGAGATGATGAGGTGTGCAGTGCAGTGCTGTGTGGTGCAGCAGAAGGAAGGATACAGGCATGGGCATGCGTCGTTTATGCAAGCTGTTTCATCGCCCTTAGACGTGGCATGGGCCCACGTTTGCATCATGTTTTGCTGCCTTCCCTTTCGCCGAGCACTCAACTCAGTCACTCAGAGGTTTCAAGCCGTGCCTTTTTATTTGTGTTCTCTCACAGATCTTCGGCAGGGCTGGTCGGCCACAGTTTGAGTTGAGTGGGGAGGGCATAATCGTCACAAACTGTGGTTTGTTCTCTCACAACCAGCTCGCTCACTGCCTCCGCACCTAAGTCCTCTCTCTCAACGCCCCCCTTGTGCAACCATCCGTTTCCATCCCCCCACGTGCAGATCTTCGGTCGAGCAGGGCGGCCGCAGTTTGACTCAAGTGGGGAGGGCATCATCATCACGGCCCACAACCAGCTTGCACACTATCTCCGCCTCATGACCCACCAACTGCCCATCGAGTCGCAGGTGAGTAGAGACTCAGCTCAGGTGTAGCATCAGGTTGTTTTGAATCTCAGGTGATTACAACGGGTCTCAGGAGATTAGAGGCGCAGTCCTGTGAGCTCTGGTGGTTTTGAATCTCAGATACATACGACAAGTCTCAGATAATCACAAGTCTCAGATAATCACAAGTCTCAGATAATCACAAGTCTCAGATAATCACAAGTCTCAGATAATCACAAGTCTCAGATAATCACAAGTCTCAGATAATCACAAGTCTCAGGTACCCCGTACACGTACCTGGGGTACACCGTACATATACCTGGGGTACACCGTACACGTACCTGGGGTACACCGTACACGTACCTGGGGTACACCGTACACGTACCTGGGGTACACCGTACACGTACCTGGGGTACACCGTACACGTACCTGGGGTACACCGTACACGTACCTGGGGTACACCGTACACGTACCTGGGGTACACCGTACACGTACCTGGGGTACACCGTACACGTACCTGGGGTACCCCGTACACGTACCTGGGGTACACGTATCTGTTCGTGCGCATGCAGGCCAACCCAAGTCGTGGGGCGCCTCAAAACAGGTTACGCTGGGGATGGCACTCCCTATCCTCTTCTTTCTGTGATACACCTCTCAACGTTCTCGTTACTCCCCATCTCTATCCCCTCCATCTCAGTTCGTGGCGATGCTGAAGGACAATCTGAACGCGGAGGTGGTGCTGGGGACGGTGACTAACGTAAAGGAGGCGTCGGCCTGGCTGGGGTACACGTACCTCTTCGTACGCATGCAGGCGAATCCGCTAGCGTACGGGATGACATGGCAAGATGTGAGTGTTAGGGGTTAACGGGTTGTTGTGCTGTCTGGGGCGTCGGCCTGGCTGGGATACACATACCTCTTCGTGCGCATGCAGGCCAACCCTCTGGCATACGGCATGACATGGCAGGGTGTGAGTGGTAGGGTCATGGGGTTGTGCTGGGAGCAGGGTGCCAGTCTGGCTGGGATACACGCACCTCTTCGTGTGCATGCAGGCCAACCCGCTGGCCTATAGAATGATGTGGCAAGATGTTTTGTTTTTATGATGGGTGTGTGGGTTGAATCAATAGACGAGAGACCAGGTGGCTGGGGTACACGTACCTGTTCTGTTTGTGCGCATGCAGGCCAACCCGCTGGCCTATGGCATGACATGGCAGGATGTGAATGCATGTGCCTTTAAGTTGATGTCATGTCAGTGCAGCGGTCTAAGGGACAGTGCATGCATGTAGGTGTGTTGATTGATACGCCAAAGCAAAAATCTGCATTATTGAGCCAGCCACCCATGTGCTCACCGTGTATCCCTTCACCCTCTCAGGTAGCTATGGATCCGGGCCTGGTGGCTCGGCGCCAGGCCTTGATCACCGAAGCTGCTCGGTCTCTGGACCGAGCCAAGATGATGAGGTTCGACGAGCGCAGCGGGCAGCTGTATGTGACTGAGCTGGGGCGCGTGGCGAGTCACTTCTACATACGATACTCGTCTGTGGAGACCTATAACGAGCTGCTGAGGCGACACATGAGCGAGAGCGAGGTGAGAGAGAGGGGGGGAGGGAGGGCAGGGCACGGGAAGGTGGGAGGGAGCGAAGGGAAGTAGTAGGGATCTGGACCGAGCCAAGATGATTTTTAAGACGCCTCAAAACTCAAAGAGTAATAGGGCTATGGACCGAGCCAAGATGATGAGGTTCGACGAGCGCAGCGGGCAGCTGTATGTGACTGAGCTGGGGCGCGTGGCGAGTCACTTCTACATCCTGAAGAAAGTGGATCGGTGAACTTAGGGCACGATAGGAAGAAGAAATCTCCTTAACAAGAATATGGTACAAGTCTTAAAGACTAGAGCAAGGTCCTTGTCAAGGATAATCCCTAGTGAAGTGGGAAGCCACATATATGTGGCTGAACTCTTGAGGCTAGCTGCAGCACCTCAATGCTGAGGGCTAGGCTAGCCAACCTTGCCAAGCTAGCAAGTGAGGCCACATGTTGCACATGTGGGCCAGGCTGGAACAACAGCCCACATGACAGCATATGGCACACCATAGAGGCCAGCAAGGTGAGTGTGGGATGAGTGGACAGGTGGCAATGCCAGCTGTGACCACACTTCACTGTGGTGGAGTGTGGTAGAGTGTGGACATGTAATGTGGAGCATAATGAGAAGGGAACCTGCAGCTACTGAGAATTGAACCCACAACCTCTAAGACCACAGGTGAGAATCTACCATCCGGGACATATTTGCTGCACAACACCCCCCCTCAAGGATGTCCCCGGGGTAGGGTTCTTCAAGCGGAGACATGGGTGAGACCGAGAAGACCACGGATGCGTAGAAAAGGGTCACGGGGCAAAGGTTTGGTGCCAATGTCAGCGAGGTTGTCTTGAGTAGGAACATAGTGAAGGGTGACGGAGTGGTCGGCGACATGATCACGAATGAAATGGTGCTTGATGTCGATGTGTTTGGCCTTGGGATGAAAGACGCCGTCGTCCTTGGCCAGAATGATGGCGGCGCTGTTGTCACACGAGATGCGGGTGGGGCCGGGTGGGGGAAGTCCAAGTGCAGTAAGGAGGGATCGAAGCCATAAGGCCTCATGCACCGCGGCGCCCAGAGAATAGTATTCAGCTTCACATGAGGAGGTAGCGACGATAGGGATGAGCAATATGACGAACACCTGTTCGGTTCGCCTCGAACACGTTCGAGGCGAACCGAACAATATTTTTTTTTGGCCTAAATTGTTCGGGGCGAACGTGTTCGGTGTTCGCCCGAACACGTTCGCCGTTCGCCCGGCTCAGCTGGCCGAGGCGCGACGAACACGAACGTGTTCGTGATCGACACGGGCCTTCGACGAACGCCAATGTGTTCATCGACGAATAGGCCCGCGACCAATTTTTAGGGCGCGGGCCTTGGTGTTTGGGCTCAGATCAAGGCCTTTTGCCGCTGCTTAAGTGCGGATCAAGGCCTTTTGCCGTTGCTTAAGTGCGGATCAAGGCATTTCGCCGCTGCTTAAGCTCAGATCTAGCATTTCGCCGTTGCTTAAGCGTAGATCTAGCATTTCGCCGTTGCTTAAGCGTAGATCTAGCATTTCGCTGTTGCTTAAGTGCGGATCAAGCATTTCGCCGTTGCTTAAGCTCAGATCTAGCATTTCGCCGTTGCTTAAGCTCAGATCTAGCATTTCGCCGTTGTTTAAGCGTAGATCTAGCATTTCGCCGTTGCTTAAGCGTAGATCTAGCATGGGCGGTTCTAGCAGGGCGGGACTGGCTTGCAGGGTGGGGGGAGGGAATGTGAAACATTTGGATTTCACTCTACTTGGATCTGAGAAGGTCCTTTAAGGCGAACGCGAACATGTTCTGGGCGAACGTGTTCGTGTTCGCCAAAACGTACGAAATGTTCGCCTCTCTTGGCGAACTTCGAACACCCTTTATGGTGTAAAGTGTTCGGCGAACCGAACAGTGTTCGGTTCGCCAAACAGCCATGTTCGAGCCCAGGCGAACACGAACATGTTCGTGTTCGCCATTTGCTCATCCCTAAGCGACGACAGCTTGACGTTTGGACTGCCAAGAGATGAGTGACGGACCGAGGAAGAACAAGTAGCACGTAACGGAGTGTCGGAGCTCGCCCTCCGGTCCCCAAGAGGCGTCACACCACCCATGGAGTTCAAGGGTGTTGGGAATGCCGCCAAGGAGAAGCCCGAGTGAGGTAGTCCCTTTCAAGTAGCGAGCAACGCGTTTGGCAGCCGAGACGTGAGGAGTAGACCAATCATGAAGGTGACGAGCAAGAACTCCAGCGCTATATGCGAGGTCGGGACGGGAACCCACCATGGCATACATGATGGATCCGACAAACGAGGTGTAAGGAAAGGAGGAGGAGTGTGGTGAGGAAGTCACGGGCGGCTGAAACTTGGTGTCCATGGGGGTGGCAGCAGGGTTAAGTGGTGTGAATGAGTAGGTGTCTAAGATGGAGGTGATGAATTTGGATTGATGAAGGTGGAGAGTGCGTGAGGTCCGATCACGAGTGATGTGAAAGCCAAGGTAGTAGGAAAGAGGACCGAGGTCACGAAGCTTGAAGCGAGATGAAAGGGCACGCTTGAATGAGGAGAGAAGAGAAGAGGAGGAGGAAAGAATGATGAGGTCGTCAACATAGACGAGAAGCATGAAGAAAGATGCAGCTGTAGGCCGATAAGGAGATTGTGGAGTAGCAATGAAGAGGCCGGGGTCCGCACAAGCAGCAAAAAGGTGAAATGCAGCAAGCTCTTCACGAAGTTTGCGGTACCAGCACCGCGGCGCTTGCTTCAACCCGTACAACGGTTTGTGCAAGAGACAAACTTGCTCAACACCATGGACCGCCGGAAGCTCATAACCGGGAGGCTGCATCATGTAGAGAATTTCATCAAGAGTGCCGTTGAGGAAGGCGTTGGAAATGTCCAGCTGATGGACTTCCAGGTCGAAAGCGGCAGCAATGGTGAAGAAGAGGCGGAGGGTGGCGAAGCGAACGCTAGGAGCAAAGGTGTCATGGAAATCAACACCGTCGCGTTGTTTGAAACCTTTGACAACAAGGCGGGCCTTGCGGCGTTCAATAGAACCATCAGCATGCTCCTTGACCTTAAAAATCCATTTGCATGGAATCGGTTTGCACTTGGGTGGTCGAGGAACAACGCTGTAAGTGTCATTAGCGTGCAGGGCAGCGAGTTCCGCATCAGCAGCCTTGATCCATTCAGCAGCATCAGGGCCGGTGCGGGCCTCATGAATGTTTTGAGGTTCGTAATGATGATGAAGGGCGGCATTAGCAGAGGGCTTGGAAAGAGGAGGAAGGGTGAAGTCAATGGGTTCAGAAGGAGAGGGTAGGACCTTGAGCAGTGAGAAAAGTGAAGGATTGGAAGGAGCTGAAGGGGATGGTGGTGAAGAACTAGAGGTGCAAGGGGGAGGACGAGCTGAAGAAGGAGAGGAGAGGGATGGAAGGCGGAAGTCTTGCGGCGTCGAGGGCAGAGGAAGATTGGAAAACAAAGGAGGAGAAGAGGTTGCTGGTGCTGGCAGATTTGGAGATGGGGGGAGGAGGGTGGTGGAAGAGGTCATGGGAGGTGAACGAGAGGGAGGGGAGGTTGGGTCTGAGAGGGAAGGGGGTGGAGGAGGAGGCGGAGAGGATGATATGGGTGGTGGAGATGACGATGGAGGTTCCCGAGGGTCATCCGAAGGTGGCGAAGAGGGCTCCATGAAGATGACATCACGAGAAAGTGTGACACGGTGCTGAGTTGGGATATAGATGCGATAAGCTTTGGTGCCGTCAAGATGACCATACCCAACCATGACGCCGGCCGTGCTTCGGTCGTCGAGTTTGGAGCGGCGTTGCGGAGGAACGAGGACTGAAACGGGTGAACCGAAGATGCGGAGGTGGGATACGTCCGGACGTGCACCGGTCCATAGTTCTATGGGAGTCTTGGAAGCTGAACCACCCCGACTAATAGCATGATTTCGGAGATAGGCAGCAGTGAGAGCGGCTTCACCCCACCATCCTCTGTCCATGTGTGCGTCATGAAGCATGGAACGGACCATCTCAAGTATAGTCCGATTGGCGCGTTCAGCAACTCCATTTTGTTCGGGTGTGTATGGCGTAGAGCGGTGTCGAGCGATGCCATGAGCATTAAGGAATGAAGTGAAGGCCTCGGAATTGAACTCCAAGGCACCATCGGAGCGAAACGCTTTGATGGTCCTTGGGGAATGCATATTGTGCACCCGAGTGATGTACGCTTTGAAGCACGACAATGCCTCTGAACGATGGCGTAGTAGATACACGGTAATGTGGCGGGAATAGTCGTCGATGAAGGTGAGAAGGTAGCGAGCGCCTCCAATGGTAGTTCCATATGAAAGGGGTCCAGCAATATCCGAATGAATGAGTTGGAGCGGTGCGGTAGTGCGAGAATGGGACACACCAAATGGTTGACGCGTTTGTTTCCCACGATAGCACGAGATGCATTGAGGAATTGAGGAGGAGGAGAGGTTAAGACCGGAGACCAGCTGCTGCCGATGAAGTGTTGACAAGTCCCGCATGTTAAGATGCCCGAAACGGTGATGCCAAAGGTATGAGGAGGAGGTGGTGGAGACTGGACATGCCGATGGGTTGATGGGGGGGGCGGCACTCTTTCCATGATGCAGCTGAAGATAGAACAGATTGTTGCGAGTAAAGCCCTCGCCAATAAGAGCCTCATCAGTCTTGAGCTCAACCCGCCCAGCAATGGGGAAGGAAACGGTAATGCCGGCAGCTCCAAGTGCACGAACTGAGAGCAGATTGTGAACCGATGAAGGGAGAAACAGAACGTTGTCTAGCTGGATGGTGGTTTCCGAGGTTTGGGAACGAAGAGTAGCCACCACCGTGCCGACTCCCAAGACCTTGTAAGTCTCTCCGCCACCAAAGCGAACGATAATATCATCAGTTGGCTGCTGGAGAGATGAAAACAGCGAGCGATCGGAGCAGATATGGGAGGATGCGCCGCTGTCCACCAGCCAGGAAGACGTCCGGACCAGGTTTGATGAAGAGGCCGTGAATGCCGATGCATAGGGAGCACCATAAGGGAAGAGGAGGAGGAGGAGGAGGAGGAGGAGGATGGTGAAGATGAAGAGAGTAGCGACGAGAGGAGTCCAGGTGGGCAGGATGGAGCCGTGGCTGGTGCTGAAAGCAATGTCAACGTACCGGGAATCAGGTACGGACTGAGAGGCTGATGGGGCAGTAGGTGTTGTGGAGGTCGAAGGGATGTCGGCGGAGGAGCTTGTTGACACATGCACCGAAGGCTGGATGACAGATTTCTCCCGTCGAGAGCTTTCTTCGATCTCTTTCTTCTTCTTCAACTTGAAGCATTCGTCAATAGTGTGTCCGGTTTTCTTGCAGTAGCGGCAAGTAGGGGACTGGCGGGAACCGGAGCGAATAGGGTGGGAGGGCTGGGAATGGAGGTTGTATGCACCTTCCATGTTGCGGCTTGTACCAGATTGTGACCGCTCCCAATCGGCATCGAGTAGACGTGACTGCAGGTATTCAACCGTCATAGACTTGATGTCTTTCACGGTGCAAATAGTTTCTGTGAGAGTCTTGAAGGAGTCCGGCAGATTGAGAATGATGGAGATTACCACCACCCAAGATGGTAACTCGAAGCCGGCAGATTTGAGTTGGTGCGTAAGATTTCCAACTCGATCGAAGTAGGAGCGAAGACTCATTGTTGGGTCCATCCGTGTAGTGATGAGATCTCGGAGGAGAGCCACTTGTGCATGGTTACCCATGCAGTCAAACCGCGCCATGATGCATCCCCACATGTCCTTCGTCGTGTTGGCTTGAGCAAGTGTGAGCGAGAGCTGAGGATGGACGGCTGACATGAGAAGATAGTACGCATGCTCCTCTTTTTCTTCATAAGACCACAGGTGAGAATCTACCATCCGGGACATATTTGCCGCACAACACATCCGATACTCGTCTGTGGAGACCTATAACGAGCTGCTGAGGCGACACATGAGCGAGAGCGAGGTGAACGGGAGGGGAGAGGGAGGGGGAGATGAGGGAGAAGGTGTGGGAAAAGGGTTGGGGGAAGCGTTGCAGCTGCATGTAAGTCACGGAGATAGACCTTGCATATCCCCCATATTTCCTTGCTTCATTTTCCTTATCCTTTCTCTTGCCTCCTTACATCAGATGGTGGATTTAATACTAACAGCATGGTCATCTGAGTTTGAGAACATAGTTGTGTGCGAGGAGGAGATGAATGAGCTCTTCACCCATCCTTCCACCCCGTCTTGTCGCTGTCGCTCTCCCACCTCTTCTCCCCCCAATCGCAGATTGTGGATGTGACAGCACAGTCGTTTGAATTCGAGAACATAGTGGTGCGAGCGCGGGAGGAGGAGATGTCCGAGCTCTTCACCCATCCTTCATCTTTACTCTTCTCCTCCATGTCCCAGATCGTTGATCTCATAGCGCGGTCATCCGAGTTTGAGAACATAGTGGTGAGGGAGGAGGAGATGCCGGAGCGCTTCACTCTTCCCTGCCCCACTTCACACACACATTCCCTCTTTCCTGTCACTCCCACCAACCCCAGATCGTTGATCTCATAGCGCGGTCATCCGAGTTTGAGAACATAGTGGTGAGGGAGGAGGAGATGCCGGAGCTCTTCACCCTTCCCTCTCCCACGCCTCCCTTGCGTCCCTCTCGTTTTTTCCGCAACCATCCTGTCCGAGTGGGCCCCAATTAGGTGCCATGACTTTACGTGGCAGCAATTAGGTGCCATGATTTTACGTGGCAGCAATTAGGTGCCATGACTTTACGTGGCAGCAATTAGGTGCCATGACTTTATGTGGCAGCAATTAGGTGCCATGATTTTTACCATCCTGTCCGAGATCGTTGACCTCATAGCGCGGTCATCTGAGTTCGAGAACATAGTGGTGCGAGGGGAGGAGACGCCGGAGCGCTTCACTCTTCCCTGCCCCACTTCACACACACATTCCCTCTTTCCTGTCACTCCCACCAACCCCAGATCGTTGATCTCATAGCGCGGTCATCCGAGTTCGAGAACATAGTGGTGAGGGAGGAGGAGATGCCAGAGCTCTTCACTCTGCGATCCAAGTTCTGCCCTCTGGATGTGAAAGGCGGGCCGGAGGACAAGATCGGGAAGATCAACATTCTCATCCAGGCGAGTGTAGGAGGAGGGTTTGTAGTGTCTATTATGTAAGGACAAGCAACAGCCGAGGTTGTGATTCTTGCCAAGTTCTGCCCTCTGGACGTGAAGGGCGGGCCGGAGGACAAGATCGGGAAGATCAACATTCTCATCCAGGCGAGTCCAGGAGGAAAGTACTCTCTGCAGTCAGGGTGAATGAGCGGGGACAGAGCATGCCCTCTCTGTAGGCACAAGCAATTGGCAAATGTCTCCATTCTTGCAAGTTCTGCCCGCTGGATGTGAAGGGCGGGCCGGAGGACAAGATCGGGAAGATCAGCATTCTCATCCAGGCGAGTGAAGGCGGATAGTCTCGTATCTCTTATGTAAGGGCAATCAGCAAGCGAACATTGTCATCATCAAAAGTAAGTAGACGACTTTTGAGACGTCTCAAAAGTTGAAGGCGGATAGTCTCGTATCTCTTATGTAAGGGCAATCAGCAAGCGAACATTGTCATCATCAAAAGTAAGTAGACGACTTTTGAGACGTCTCAAAAGTTGAAGGCGGATAGTCTCGTATCTCTTATGTAAGGGCAATCAGCAAGCGAACATTGTCATCATCAAAAGTGCCGCCCGCTGGACGTGAAGGGCGGGCCGGAGGACAAGATTGGGACGATCAACATTCTTTTGAGACGTCTCAAAACTCTGGATGTAAGGGCGGGCCAGAGGACAAGATTGGGAAGATCAACATTCTCATTCAGGCGAGTGTAGGCGGCGAGTTGCTGACACTGAGAATATCACCCCCACCCTCCGTCAGCCACAATTGAATGTTCTCTCTCTGTCCTTTCATTCCTCCGTCAGCCACAATTGAATGTTCTCTCTCTGTCCTTTCATTCCTCCGTCAGCCACAATTGAATGTTCTCTCTCTGTCCTTTCATTCCTCCGTCAGCCACAATTGAATGTTCTCTCTCTGTCCTTTCATTCCTCCGTCAGCCACAATTGAATGTTCTCTCTCTGTCCTTTCATTCCTCCGTCAGCCACAATTGAATGTTCTCTCTCTGTCCTTTCATTCCTCCGTCAGCCACAATTGAATGTTCTCTCTCTGTCCTTTCATTCCTTCGTCCCCCTGCCTGCCCTCTTTCCGCTCACTTCCTCCCTCCCCCGTCTTGCAGGTGTACCTATCTCGCGGCTACCTCGATTCCTTCTCACTCATAGCTGACACCGCCTATGTATCCGCCTCGCTGGGCCGCATCACACGTGCGCTCTTCGAAATCGCTCTAAAACGAGGATGGTGCTCCCTGGCGGCCTCCCTGCTGGAGATGGCCAAGGCGGTGGATCAGCGCATCTGGCCACACCAGCACCCCTTGAGGCAGTTCGAGTCTGTGATTTCACAGGAGGTGAGATCAGGTCGCAACACCCCCCTTGACTGGCAGCTTCTCTGCTGGAGATGGCCAAGGCGGTGGATCGGCGCATCTGGCCGCACCAGCACCCTTTGAGGCAGTTTGAGTCCGTGATTTCACAGGAGGTAGGTAATTCAGCCCCTTTTGGTCCACTTAGGTGGTGCTCCCTGGCGGCCTCCCTGCTGGAGATGGCCAAGGCGGTGGATCAGCGCATCTGGCCGCACCAGCATCCTCTAAGGCAGTTTGAGTCCGTGATTTCACAGGAGGTAATCACTTCCTCTCTCGCAGAAACAAAGACAAAAGCCTGGCGGCCTCACTGCCGGAGATGGCCAAGCCATGCATCAGCACATCTGTCTGCATCAGCACATCTGTCTGCATCAGCACATCTGTCTGCATCAGCACATCTGTCTGCATCAGCACATCTGTCTTCATCAGCACATCTGTCTTCATCAGCACATCTGTCTGCATCAGCACATCTGTCTGCATCAGCACATCTGTCTGCATCAGCATCCTGTCAGGCAGTTTGAATCTGTATTCTCTCAAGAGGTTGGTCTTTTGAGGCGTCTCAAAGGGATCTGTGCCCTGCCCACCCCTCCGCCTCATGAGGCACAGGAAGGTAAGAGGTAATCCACCTCTCTTTGGTGAAGTGGATGGTTGCCTCCTTGCTGGATATGACGTTGCCCATGCGCTCTCCCCGACATGCATGGATGGCTTATAGTATCCATCCATGCATGTGCTCTCTCTCTTTCTCTTGCTGTTCTCTCGCTCTTTGCCTTTTCTCGTTGTGTGTGCATGCACCAAGTGTTGTTCAAGCTGGAGGATCGAGTGGGCTGGATCTCGTCTGGCTGTGTGGCATGCTTGGCTAAGAACGCCTCAAATCTATGCCTATGCCTGTGCTGCGATTTGCCTGTGCGAGTGCGCCCCTTCCTCTGCACCAGGTGAAAAAAGGAGTGTTTTGAGACGTCTCAAAACACTCCTTTTTTGAGACGGCTAAGAACGCCTCAAATCTATGCCTATGCCTGTGCTGTGGTCTGCCTGTGCGCCCCTTCCTCTGCACCAGGTACTGTTCAAGCTGGAGGACCGGGGGCTGGATCTGGATCGCCTGTGTGACATGGACGACAGTGAGATTGCTGCCATCATCCGCTCGCCCTATGCTGCCAAGGTGAGCTGGCCTATGCTGCCAAGGTGAGCTGGCCTATGCTGCCAAGGTGAGCTGGCCTATGCTGCCAAGGTGAGCTGGCCTATGCTGCCAAGGTGAGCTGGCCTATGCTGCCAAGGTGAGCTGGCCTATGCTGCCAAGGTGGGCTGGCCTATGCTGCCAAGGTGGGTTGGCCTGCTGGGCTGGCCTGATGGGCGGTGCTGCTGCTGCCAAGGTAGGAATTATAGGTACTGGTCAAGCCAGAAGAGTGAGGCCTAGATTGGATCTGGATCGCCTGTGTGACATGGACGACAGTGACATTGCTGCCATCATCCGCTCGCCCCACGCTGCTAAGGTGGGCTGGCCTGCTGGGCTGTGGTGGTGCTGCTGCCAAGGTAGGACTTTCAGGTACTGTTCAAGCTAGAGGACCGAGGGCTGCATCTAGATCGGCTGTGTGACATGGACGACAGTGACATTGCTGCCATCATCCGCTCGCCCCACGCTGCTAAGGTGGGCTGGCCTGTTGCAGTTCATTAAGCGACACCGTCTCTGTCTGTTCTGATTCTTCTCCGACTCGAGTCTTTCTGTTAGCCCGTATGAAGTATCGACGTCTTGCATTCTTTTGAGACGTATTCATGTCTCAAGAGTCGTATGAAGTATCCACGTCTTGCATTCTTTTGAGACGTATTCATGTCTCAAGAGTCGTATGAAGTATCCACGTCTTGCATTCTTTTGAGACGTATTCATGTCTCAAGAGTCGTATGAAGTATCCACGTCTTGCATTCTTTTGAGACGTATTCATGTCTCAAGAGTCGTATGAAGTATCGACGTCTTGCATTCTTTTGAGACGTATTCATGTCTCAAGAGTCGTATGAAGTATCCACGTCTTGCATTCTTTTGAGACGTATTCATGTCTCAAGAGTCGTATGAAGTATCCACGTCTTGCATTCTTTTGAGACGTATTCATGTCTCAAGAGTCGTATGAAGTATCCACGTCTTGCATTCTTTTGAGACGTATTCATGTCTCAAGAGTCGTATGAAGTATCCACGTCTTGCATTCTTTTGAGACATATTCATGTCTCAAGAGTCGTATGAAGTATCCACGTCTTGCATTCTTTTGAGACGTATTCATGTCTCAAGAGTCGTATGAAGTATCCACGTCTTGCATTCTTTTGAGACGTATTCATGTCTCAAGAGTCGTATGAAGTATCCACGTCTTGCATTCTTTTGAGACGTATTCATGTCTCAAGAGTCGTATGAAGTATCCACGTCTTGCATTCTTTTGAGACGTATTCATGTCTCAAGAGTCGTATGAAGTATCCACGTCTTGCATTCTTTTGAGACGTATTCATGTCTCAAGGGTCGTATGATGTATCCATGTCTTGTATTCTTGCTGCAGCAGTCATTGTATCCTGGGTTTCGGGTCTAGCTGGAGTATTGTATCCTCTTCCCTTTCCTGTTTGCAAGCCTCAGCTTGTGCTTTCATTATCACTATTGTGGGATGACCCTCTTACGCACTGACCCTCGGCTTTAATTTCTTCCCCCCTCTCTTCTCTCCTCTTCCTCTCTCCTGTCCTCCCCTTTCCCCTCGCATCCCTCAGTTGGTGTCACAGTGTGTCTCCCAGTTCCCCTATCTGGAGCTCGACGCGCACATCAGCCCCATCACCCGAACCGTGTTACAGGTGCCACTTCCCTTTTGAGTCGACTCAAAAGTGATCACCCGCACCGTGTTACAGGTGCCACTTCCCTTTTGAGTCGACTCAAAAGTGATCACCCGCACCGTGTTACAGGTGCCACTTCCCTTTTTTTGAGTCGACTCAAAAATCAACCGTGTTACAGGTATGCCTTCCCTTTCTCAATGCTTGTGTTCTCTCGGGATACTTTGTTCGCCCCTCCACACCACATCCATCCGCCACCACCTCCCTTTCTTCAAGCGTGACCACTGCACACTTACACACCTGCGGCACCGTGCTTTGTCTGTCCCTCTTTTCCGAATGCTCTCGTTCCTCTATGTGACCCTCTACTCTATGTCTAGAGGGTCACCTGACAGGCAGGTGGCACTCTGTGTGACGCAACGCCCACCCCACCTTTCAGTGGAAAGATGCTTGTAAGAGAATTCTCAGAAGCACTCTCCACCCACCCTCTTCCCCTTCAACCCTGGCAGGTGACTCTTTATGTGACGCCCACCTTCCAGTGGAAAGAACGATTTCACGGCAATGCCCAGCGCTGGTGGATATGGGTGGAGGTGAGCGGTGGATATATGGGTAGAGAGTGGTGATTATGGGTGGAATGGAGGTCAGCGGGTGGTCGGGATGGAATGGCAACTTGGCAAGGGGTTGTATGTGTGCTGATGGGATCGTGGAGGTGTGTTGTTGGATATGTGCTCTGCAGGTATCTGGGATGGTCGTTGAGTTGGTTGATTTTCACCCCTCTCCACTCCACCCCTCTCTTTCCCCTTCTACCTCTCTGCACCTCGCTCCACCCCTCTCCACCGCTCTCTACCTGGCAGGGCAGCGAGATCGAGCACATCTACCACACGGAGTACTTCATTCTGTCCAAGAGGATGATGGCGCAGGGCACACACACGCTCACCTTCACCATCCCGTTCTCCACTCTCTAAGCCCCTCTCCACCCCTCTCCACCCCTCCCTACCCCACTCCACTCCTCTCCACCGCTTTCCACCGCGCTTGACCTTGGCAGGATAGTGAGAACGAGCACATCTACCACACGGAGTACTTCATTCTGTCCAAGAAGATGATGGCACAGGGCACGCACACGCTCACCTTCACCATCCCCATCTTTGAGCCGCTACCCCCTCAATACTACGTGAAGGCCATCTCAGACAACTGGCTCTCCTCCTCCTCCACCCACACCATCTCCTTCCGCCGCCTCATCCTGCCCGAGGTAACTTTCATCCTGCCCTGGGTTAATTTCCCCGAATAACTCTCATCCTGCCCCGGGGTAACTGCCCCTAATAACTCTCTTCCTGCCCTGGGGTGAATCTCATGCTGCCCAGCGCAACCCTCATCCTGTCTGGAATGCAGCCTTTCAACTCTGCTACTTCTGCGTTGATCTATTCATTCGCAACCCTCTGTTCCTCTTGCTGCTTTCCCCCTTCCGCCTTCCCCTCTCCCCAGCGCCACCCGGCCCACACAGAACTCCTGAAATTAAGCCTGCTGCTTCCAATCACAGCCTTCGGGGATCCCCAGGCCATCGGGTTGTACGGCTTTTCGCAATTCAACCCCATTTAGACTCAGGCCTTCCACTCGCTGTACCACTCCGACCACAGCGTGCTGCTCGGTGCTCCCACTGCCTACCACTGCCTTTGCTGCTTCAATCTTCTCATCTCCTTCCCTCCCCTTTGTTTCTCTCGCTTTTCCCCCTTCCGCCGTCCCCACACATCCCTCCCCTTTGTTTCTCCCCAGCGCCACCCGCCCCACACAGAGCTCCTGAATCTGCGCCCGCTCCCAGTGACAGCCCTCGGGGATCCCCAGGCCATCGGGTTGTACGGCTTTTCGCACTTCAACCCCATTCAGACTCAGGCCTTCCACTCGCTGTACCACTCCGACCACAGCGTGCTGCTCGGTGCCCCCACCGGCAGTGGCAAGACCATCTCGGCTGAGCTTGCCATGCTCAGGCTTTTCCGCACGCAGCCAGGCATGAAGGTAGGAGAGGGAAGGGTACATTGAGATACAGGTGAATGTGCTGCATCTCTCGCCGGCAGAGAGATACAGGTGAATGTGAATGTGCTGCTGGGTGCGAGCTCCCACCGGCACTGGCAAGGCCATTTTGGCCGAGCTTGCGGTGCTCAGGCTGTTCTGCACACAGGCAGGCATGACGGTAGGGGAACTAGGGATTTTAGAGAGATAGGTATGCATGGGTGAGTGAGCTGTTGGGTACACTCACCAGCAGTAGCACGACTATCTCATCTCGGCCGAAATTGCCATGCTCAGGATGTTCCTCACACAGCCCGGCATGAAGGTGAGGGACTCGGGGTGAGAGGCATGGAGGTGAGGGACTCGGGGTGAGAGGCATGAAGGTGAGGGACTCGGGGTGAGAGGCATGAAGGTGAGGGACTCGGGGTGAGAGGCATGAAGGTGAGGGACTCGGGGTGAGAGGCATGAAGGTGAGGGACTCGGGGTGAGAGGCATGAAGGTGAGGGACTCGGGGTGAGAGGCATGAAGGTGAGGGACTCGGGGTGAGAGGCATGAAGGTGAGGGACTCGGGGTGAGAGGCATGAAGGTGAGGGACTCGGGGTGAGAGGCATGAAGGTGAGGGACTCGGGGTGAGAGGCATGAAGGTGAGGGACTCGGGGTGAGAGGCATGAAGGTGAGGGACTCGGGGTGAGAGGCATGAAGGTGAGGGACTCGGGGTGAGAGGCATGAAGGTGAGGGACTCGGGGTGAGAGGCATGAAGGTGAGGGACTCGGGGTGAGAGGCATGAAGGTGAGGGACTCGGGGTGAGAGGCAAAGACAATACAGTCTCGGCTAAGCTTGCAGTGCTAGTCAGATTGCAAACCTTATAGAAAAAGGGGATTAAACCCTAAACCCTAAACCCTAAACCCTTAACCCTGACCCTCGACCGTTGACCTTCTGGCCCGTCTTTTGCCCACCCTTTCTGCACGTGCTGGCAGGTGATTTACATAGCGCCACTTAAAGCTCTGGTGCGAGAGAGGATGGAGGACTGGGGCAAGAACTTCATGCCAAAGCTCGGCAAGTGCATGGTGAGTAGGAAAGCCCAAGCCGTAACTGGTTTTTTTTAAGGTTACGTCGTATTTGCTTGTCCACTCTAAATCTTAACGCACCACTTCCTTAGCCTCCTTTGAGTAGTTGGATGGAATGGAAACGGCAGATGTTGCGGTGATGCAAGGTCAACATGAAGCTGTTGCTGTTGGCCTTCATTGATTGAACCATTGCCCTCTCGATACCCCCTGTGTTCCTCGCCCTATTCCGACCACATTGCACTGCAGGTGGAGCTGACTGGAGATCTTACTCCGGGTATGAGGCTGCTGGTGGCGGCTGATGTGATCGCCTCACCCACTCAGATAACAAGTCTCATTCCCTCTTCCTGTCTGCCCTTCCTCTCCAGGTGGGGCTAAACAAGCCATCTCACTCCGGACATGAAGCTGTTGATGGCGGCTGGCAGAATTACCTCACCCACCCACCCACCACCCACTCCATTGCATTCCTCTCTTATCTTTTCTCTTCATCCTCTCCTTCTCCCTGTCTTCCCTTTATCTTCAGGTGGAGCTGACTGGCGATCTCACGCCAGACATGAAGCTGCTGGTGGCGGCCGACATCAATGCCACACCCTCTGTGTGCTCCTCTCTTTCGTGTTCTCCCCTCTTTCCTTCATCTCCAGGTGGAACTAACAGGGGATCTCACACCAGACATGAAGCTGCTGGTGGCGGCTGATGTGATCGTGGCAACTCCAGAGAAGTGGGACGGCATCACTCGCAGCTGGCACAACCGATCATATGCGCAGACGGTGAGAGAAACTGGGGCGTAAGGGGGGGTTGGGTTAGGGGAATTGGGTGTGGTGCGCACGTGTGTGCATGTATGTGCATGTATGTGCATGTATGTGCTGTGCATATGTGTGCATGTATGTGCATGTATGTGCATGTATGTGCATGTATGTGCTGTGCATGTGTGTGCATGTATGTGCATGTATGTGCTGTGCATGTGTGTGCATGTGTGTGCATGTATGTGCATGTATGTGCATGTATGTGCATGTATGTGCTGTGCATATGTGTGCATGTATGTGCATGTATGTGCATGTATGTGCTGTGCATGTGTGTGCATGTATGTGCACGTATGTGCGTGTATGTGCATGTATGTGCATGTATGTGCATGTATGTGCATGTATGTGCTGTGCATATGTGTGCATGTATGTGCATGTATGTGCTGTGCATGTGTGTGCATGTATGTGCATGTATGTGCATGTATGTGCATGTATGTGCTGTGCATGTGTGTGCTGTGCATGTATGTGCATGTATGTGCTGTGCATGTGTGGTGAGTTAAACCCACCCCTGTTTGCGTCTGAAATGCAATGTCTTGCCAGTGGGGCTGATGGCAATAGGACGAGATTCGCCTACAGAGTCAGTGGTCGCAATGCTGGTATCGCCTCGATCGAGGATGTAGCATGTCAGTGTCAGACTGTTCAGTGGGGCGTTTTTTTAGGCACCTCAAAAATCGCCTCGCTACACGCGGATGTAGCATGTCAGTGTCCAACTGTTCAACCGTACACCCTTCTTACACCTCTTCCCCTTACTTTATGCAACGCCCTCTGCCTTCCATCCCATGCAGGTGGGGTTGATGGTGATGGACGAGATTCACCTGCTGGGGCAGGACAGAGGGCCAGTACTGGAGGTGATTGTATCGAGGATGAGATACATCTCTGCCCGCACCGCCCGCCCCATCCGCTTCCTCGGCCTCTCCACTGCTCTCGCCAATGCCAGGTAAGGACCATGAGGTCCTGGGCTGGGGTAGCCCATGAGTAGATTCACCTGCTGGGGGCAGGTGAGATGCATGCTACATACCTCTCGTTTGGGGCACCAGACTAGATCCATGAGCTTATTCCAATGAGGAGAGAGAAGGTGGTGTTTGTGACGCCGCCCACTCTCCTATCACGCCTATCTCCTATTAGGCTTTTGAGAATTCTCAAAAGCCTGGGAAAGTTCTACTGTCGTCTTCACTCCTTTTTCATCCTCTCTTCGCCTCCCTCTTTCATTCCGCTCCACTCCTTTTCTCTTTTTCAGGGACCTGGCTGACTGGCTGGGGATTGAGAGAGTCGGTCTCTTCAACTTCAAGCCCAGCGTGCGCCCCGTGCCGCTGGACGTGCACATCCAAGGCTACCCGGGCAAGTTCTACTGCCCGCGCATGAACGCCATGAACAAGCCGCTCTATGCCGCCATCCTCTCGCACTCGCCTGTGAAGCCTGTGCTCGTTTTCGTCTCGTCCCGGCGCCAGACCCGGCTGACAGCGCTCGATCTCATTCAAGTGAGTGATTCTTCAAGATTGCTTCGGGGGCTATCTGGGCAAGCTCTACTAAAGCTGCTCTACTGCCCGCTCATGAACGCCATGAACAAGCCGCTCTACGCCGCCATCCTCACCCACTCGCCTGTGAAGCCCGTGCTCGTGTTCGTCTCCTCAAGGCGCCAGACAGACCCGCCTCACTGCACTTGATCTCATTCAGGTGAGGAATGATTCGACATTGTAAGAAAGGCTACACAGGTCACGTGTGGTCTGGTTTCAAATGAGCACATGAACGCCATGAACAAGCCGCTCTACGCCGCCATCCTCACCCACTCGCCTGTGAAGCCCGTGCTCGTTTTCGTGTCGTCGCAACGGCAGACCTGGCTCACAGCGCTCGATCTCATCAAGTGAGAATCAAACTTCATAGTTTGGTCAGAGATAACGCGGAATTGGGCTTGAGATGGCACCAAGAGAGGGGCTACTGCACGGGGCATGAACTGGGATTCAGGGCTACCCGGGCAAGTTCTACTGCCCGCGCATGAACTCCATGAACAAGCCACTCTACGCCTCCATTCTCACCCCCTCGCCCGTCAAGCCCGTGCTCGTGCACGCTCATCAACCGTTCCTGTTCGTTCGTGTCGTTGCGAAGGCAGACTCGTTTGAAAACGGTTGATCTCATTTTGTCTTTCTTCATGTCTCCCTTTTCCCCGCCGATCAGTACGCAGCAGCAGACGAGCGGCCGCGGCAGTTTGTGCACGCGAGTGAGGAGGAGATGGAGGCGCATGTATCCATGGCATCGTCAGCAGAGCTGAAGCACACGTTGCAGTTTGGCATAGGGCTGCACCACGCTGGGCTCACCCAGGGGGACCGATCGCTGGTGGAGACCCTCTTTGCCGAGAGGAAGATCCAGGTAAAGTGTGTGGTAACCATGTGGTAACCATGTGTGTTTCACTGGCATTAGAATGAGGTGGGGCGCTGAAGCACACGCTGCAGTTTGGCGTCGGGCTGCACCACGCTGGGCTTACTCAGGGGGACCGGTCGCTCGTGGAGACACTCTTTGCTGAGAGGAAGATTCAGGGTGATTGCGTGATCATTGCATCGTAGTTGTATGGTAACCGCATGGTAACCATGTGGCAGTGGGATGAAAGTGAGATGCAGCTGAAGCACACGCTACAGTTTGGCATCAGGCTGCACCACGCTGGGCTCACTCAGGGGGACCGATCGCTGGTGGAGACGCTCTTTGCTGAGAGGAAGATTCAAGTAAGCCCTATGTGACTGTCTCCTGTCTCCTATATGACTGTATGGTAATCCCCAATCCCTCACCTCTCCTGCCCTCCGCTGCCCATCTGCATTCCCCTCCCTCTTGCATCCGCTGCTGCTTTTCTTCCCATTCTTCTTTTTCATTCGTTCTCCTCCAGGTGCTCGTGTGTACATCCACACTAGCTTGGGGTGTGAATTTACCAGCCCATCTAGTGGTGGTGAAGGGAACGGAGTATTTCGATGGGAAGCAGAAGCGGTATGTGGAGATGCCAATCACAGACGTGCTGCAGATGATGGGGCGCGCGGGGCGGCCGCAGTTCGACAACGAAGCTAAGGCGGTGATTCTCGTGCACGAGCCCAAGAAGAGCTTCTATAAGAAGGTGCGACATAATGGGAAGGAGGGTTGCGAGAGGAAGTAGGAGAGAAATAGTACGATCATACGAGAGCAGGTAGCCGTTTGATAACAAAGCCAAGGCGGTGATCCTCGTGCACGAGCGAGCCCAAGAAGAGCTTTCATAAGTTGGTGAGAGACAAGAGGGGGGAGAGGAGAGGAGTGGTGTCTTTTTGCACCTCGTGCTGCATGACGTTCTTCATAACCCTCTCGTGCCCTTTCAAGTTTAAACTCTTCTCCACATCTCCCCTCCACTGCAGTTTCTATATGAGCCGTTCCCAGTGGAATCCTCGCTCCACCTCGTGCTGCATGCTTCATGAAGCCGCCCATGCCCCTCATTCTGGTTTTCTCCTCCCCACATCTCCCCTCCACCGCAGTTCCTGTACGAGCCGTTCCCAGTGGAGTCATCGCTGCACCTGGTGCTGCACGACCATCTCAACGCGGAGGTGGCGGGGGGCAGCATAGCCTACCTCACCTGGACCTTCTTCCTCTCTTGCTCGCTCTTCAACCCCTCAAATTACTCTTCCTCAACTCCCTTCCTCCGTCCCTCTGTCCCTCCGTCCCCCCTCCTCCCCTCTCCTCTCTACCCCCCCACAACCCCCCCAACACCGCAGTTCCTGTACGAGCCGTTCCCAGTGGAGTCCTCGCTGCACCTGGTGCTGCACGACCATCTGAACGCGGAGGTGGCGGGGGGCAGCATAGCCAGCGTGCAGGATGCCATGGACTACCTCACCTGGACCTTCTTCTTCCGCCGCCTCCTCTGCAACCCCTCCTTCTACGGTCTTTCCGACACCAGCGCTGAGTCTGTCAACGTTTTCCTCTCAGAGTAAGCTTCTCCTGTGTTGTACTTTTGGGTTTAGTGAAAGCCTGGACCTTCTTCTCTTCTATGGCCTTTCCGACACTAGCGCTGAGCCTGTCAACGTTTTCCTCTCAGAGTAAGCTTCTCCTGTGTTTTTATTTTGGTTGATCATCTCACCCAGACCTGCTATTTCGCCACCTCTTCTGCAACCTACCTATCCTACTATGGCCTTTCTGACAACAGTGCAGGATCGGTCGATGTACTCCTTTCAGAGTAAGCTTCTGGCTTTGAGGCAACGCCTTGCTTCTCCAAGTGTTTTTGAGAATTCTCAAAAACACCCTGCGACACCAGTGCAGGATCGGTCAATGTACTCCTTTTGAGACGTCTCAAAAGTCAATGTACTCCTTTCAGAGTAGGCTTCTGGGGTTGAGAGGCAACGCCTTGCTTCGCCAAGTCACTCCTCTGCATCGCCAGCCAGCGTGCAGCACGCGTGGACTATCTCACCTTAACCTTCTTCCGCAGCCTCCTCTGCAACCCCTCCCCTCCTTCTACTGCCTCTCTGACACCAGTGCAGAGTCTGTCAACGACTTTTGAGGCGCCTCAAAATTTGTCTAAGTTCACGCGGTTTTTGAGGCGCCTCAAAACTCGTCTAAGTTCACGCGGTTTTTGAGGCGCCTCAAAACTCGTCTAAGTTCACGCGATTTTTGAGGCGCCTCAAAATTCGTCTAAGTTCACGCGATTTTTTAGGCGCCTCAAAACTCGTCTAAGTTCACGCGGTTTTTGAGGCGCCTCAAAACTCGTCTAAGTTCACGCGGTTTTTGAGGCGCCTCAAAACTCATCTAAGTTCACGCGGTTTTTGAGGCGCCTCAAAACTCGTCTAAGTTCACGCGATTTTTGAGGCGCCTCAAAACTCGTCTAAGTTCACGCGGTTTTTGAAACGCCTCAAAACTCTGCAGCCCCTCCCCTCCTACTGCCTCTCTGACACCAGTGCAGAGTCTGTCAACGTTTTTCTTTCAGAGTAGGAAACTGGACCTTCTACGCGCAACGTGCCTCTCCCATTGGTTTGCCTTCTCCCTGCCTGCAGTCTCGTCAGCCGCACTCTCTCCGACCTGGATGCAGCAGGCTGATTCGCCCTGCATGAGGACAGCAGTGTGGATCCGCTGCTGCTTCATGAGAGGATTCACCGCGTGCATCGTATGAAGAAGTGTCTTTTGAGTCGACTCAAAAGTCACCTCAGTGTGGATCCTCTGCTGCTTCATGAGAGGATTCACCGCGTGTATCGTATGAAGTGTTTTGAGACGTCTCAAAACACTTCTTCATACACGTGGCGATTCGCCCTGCATGAGGACAGCAGTGTGGATCCGCTGCTGCTTCATGAGAGGATTCACCGCCACACCCTTACCTTGCTTGGCCACTCCCCACGTATCCTCCACTTTTTCCCTACTCATCTCCCACTCGTCCATGCCCCTCCAGTCTCGTCAGCCGCACTCTCTCTGACCTGGATGCAGCCGGCTGCATCGCCCTGCATGAGTACGGCAGTGTGGATCCTCCTCCCTTATTCATTCCCCACTCGCTCTTTACACTCTCATCCCGCCTTCCCTACTGGCAGTCTCGTCAGCCGCACTCTCTCCGACCTCGATGCTGCCGGCTGCATCGCCCTGCATGAGAACGGCAGTGTGGATCCTCTGCCGCTCCTCACCAAAGTCACACTCTTGCGTCTAAAATCTCACATCATTTCTTCCCTTCTGAAAACCCACTCGCCCCTCTCCAGTCTCGTCAGCCGCACTCTCTCTGACCTGGATGCTGCTGGCTGCATTGCACTGCATGAGGACGGCAGTGTGGATCCGCTGCCGCCCGGCCTGATTGCGTCGCAGTACTACCTGCACTTCACCACCGCCGCACTGTTCACCGCCAATCTCACTTCGCCGCCCGCTGTGGCGGCAGTGACACTAGAGACGGTGCTGCATGTGCTGTGTGGGGCGGCAGAGTTCGACGAGCTGCCAGTCAGGCACAATGAGGTGAGTACGGCATGATAAGGGTGCAGTGCGGTGCGGTGCGGTTCAGTGCGGTTCTGGAGGTTCCTTGATCATAGTCATGGTGCCACGGCGGTGACTCTAGAGACGGTGCTGCACATGCTGTGTGGGGCGGCAGAGTTCGACGAGCTGCCAGTCAGGCACAATGAGGAGAGTAAAGCTTCATGATTTGAGAGGGGTGATGTGCGGTTCAGTGCAGTGACTTGCAACCAGGCGTGGTGCCCAGGGGGACTTGCTGTGTGGACAACACACGACTCTTTTTTTCCTTGTTTCACTTCCCATTTCTCTAACCATTTCTCTGCTCCTTGCTCTGCCCATTTCTCTCTGCTCTTGGCTGATACAGGAGTTTGTGAACGCAGAGCTGGCAAAGCATGTGCGCTGGAAGGTGGACCATCGCACCTACGACGACCCGCACACCAAGACCAACTTGCTGCTCCAGGTGAATTTAGTTAGCCCTCAGGTGAGGTCGGCCCTCAGGTGAGGTCAGCCCTCAGGTGAGGTCAGCCCTCAGGTGAATCTAGTTAGCCTGCGCAATGTATTCTCCGAAATTCTCAATGACCATCGCACCTACGACGACCCGCACACCAAGACCAACCTGTTGCTCCAGGTGAGATCAGCCTTCAGGTGAGATCAGCCTTCAGGTGATATCAGCCTTCAGGTGATATCAGCCGGCTGTCAATGCCAATGAGAGACTTCGAGACGGACCTTAAGAGTGTGCTGGATCAAACGATGCGCGTGCCACAGGCCATGATCGACACGGCTGCTGCAGCCACCCGCTCAGCTACATCCTACGTTCCCCTCCCACCGTCTCTTGCTCCTCTCCCCTGCCATTTCCGTCCCCTTTCTCCATATTTTCTCCTCCCTCTGCTGTCCACTCCTCCATCTCTCCTCCCCCCCCCTCCCAGGCGCACTTCTCCCGCCTGGCCATGCCAATGAGTGACTACGAGACGGATCTCAAGAGTGTGCTGGATCAAACCATGCGAGTGCTGCAGGCCATGATTGACACCGCTGCTACAGCCGGCCAGCTACAGCCTGCTCTGCTCACCATGCGCCTCACACAGATGGTCATCCAGGTGGGTGGGATGCGGTGCAGGTGATTATGAATCAAACGATCGTGCGAATGATGGTCCAGAGGTGGTTTCCGTGAAGCGCATTGATGATCCTGCTGTCTGTGCTCAGCTCACCATGCGCATCAACCAGATGAGGCGATTTTTGAGTCGACTCAAAAATCGCCTCATCACCTGCTCTCTGTGCTCACCTCACCATGCACCTCACGCAACGTGAAAAAAGGAGTGTTTTGAGACGTCTCAAAACATTTTTGAGTCGACTCAAAAATCGCCTCATCACCTGCTCTCTGTGCTCACCTCACCATGCACCTCACCCAGATGGTCCACCCAAAGGCCGTTTTTGAGGCGCCTCAAAATCCACCCAAAGGCAGGCACCTCCTCTTACCTCCCCGTACTTCCCTTTCCTCCCTCCCACAGGCTGTCTGGTGCGACCTTGGCTCGCCCATAGCCATGCTGCCACATGTCACGTCCTCATTGGAGGACGCCCTGACAGCTGCCAGGCTGGCATCGCTATCCGCCCTGCTGTCCGCCTCGCCACATCACCTCCGCCAGCTCCTCTCCTCCCACCTCTCGCCTGCCGCTCGTGCCGACCTCATTCAGGTATGCTTGAATTTCATACGTAATTACACCAGACATTGAGTTCTTATATGATGGGAAACTAATTAACACCAGACATTGAGTTCTTATATGATGGGAAACTAATTAACACCAGACATTGAGTTCTTGTATGATGGGAAACTAATTAACACCAGACATTGAGTTCTTATATGATAGGCAACACTTTAACACCAGACATTGAGTTCTTATATGATGGGAAACTAATTAACACCAGACATTGAGTTCTTATATGATAGGCAACACTTTAACACCAGACATTGAGTTCTTATATGATGGGAAACTAATTAACACCAGACATTGAGTTCTTATATGATGGGAAACTAATTAACACCAGAAACTGAGTTCTTGTATGATAGGAAACGCATCAAACGGAGCTCTATCCCCTAGCTGCCCTCCATGCTCCTCTTGTCCCTTCTCCCCTGGTTGGTTACTAGTTGTACATGCTAACAATGGTTGGCTGGACCTTTAGCGGCACGTACATTAGCAAGCATCTCACACTTACAACTTCTTGGGTCGACTAAAAAAGCATCTCTCACTTGCATCTGCTTTTCCATCTGCAGCTGCTAACTCAGAATGCTTCTAGTCATTGAATGCATTGTTTGTACCGACTTACTTGAAGTGCTGTTTTCTCTCCCTCTAGCTTGTTCTCTGCATTTATTTCTTTTATGCCATTGGTTTCTTGGTATTCGCATTGTCTTACACCTCAACAATTTCTCACTTCATTTGCTCTCCCCTCTTCTACTCCCCCTGCCCCTACCTTCCCTTCTTTTGTCTCTTCCTTCCCTCCCCAACCTGCACTCTTTCTCCTTCTCTCTCTTGTCCCCCCCTCTCCTCTCACCCCCTTGCCCTTGTATCTCCCAGGCTCTGGGGATGCTGCCTCGAGTGTCCATGTCAGTGCGAGTGCTCTCCACGGGCACAGCGGATGGGGAGAAGACACCTGCAAAGTCCGCAGCTGCAGCAACAGCAGCAGTGGTGGTGGAGGTATCGCTTCGCCGCGCGCGGCCGCACCAGCCACACTCTCTGCGTGCCTACACGCCCTTCTTCCCCAAGGTGTGTTCAAGCAGATATGATGCATATTCCTTGGATGCACGCTGGTCCTTCTTTTGCAATTTTTTTTTAAAATGCCCAAAATAAGTGCTCAAAATAATAGCTCAGATTGTGCTACCATCACTTGCCTACTCACCCGCTTTCTCCACCATCACTTGCACACCGACTCGCTCTCTCTGCCGTCACGTGCTTACTCGCTCGCTCACGTGCCTACTCTACCATTCGTCATGACGTATCTATCGGTTTACAGGTGAAGGAGGAGGGGTGGTGGGTGGTGGTAGCAGCAGCAGACTCCCCCACCCTGCTCGCTCTCAAACGTGTCTCCTTCACACACCGACTCACCACCCGCCTGCACGTGCCCGAGCTGCAATCGTCAGTGAAGCAGGTATGTGCGTGTGTCCTAGCCAGTTTCAGGTGTAATAAAGCTCCAAGCTCTGTTTCACACACCGACTCACCACCCGCCTGCACGTGCCTGAGCTGCACTCGTCAGTGACGCATGTGCGTGTGTCCTGACCACTTTCAGGTGTACGCACTGAGTGTTTGAAAGCAACACACATACAATCATGATACACGTGCAATCCCACCCTTTCACCTCCTTTTTCTCTTCCACCCCGTCCAGCTGGCGGTCCATCTCATCTCTGACTGCTATGTCAGCCTGGATCAGCAAGTGACCGTGCCAACAAATGCTGGTGCTGTTACTGCGCAAGGGACAATCGGGAAGTATGTGATCGAGAATGTGGGGTTTGTTACAGCGGCAGCTGCTGCTGCTGGGGGGGGGAAGAAGGGGAATGGGCTGGGAGGAGGTGAAGGCGTGATTGAAGGCCGTCAGGATGGGGTAAACTCATCTGGAGGGGCAGGAGAAGGTGCTGATGGGGTGGGAAGCAGTGAGGGGGGTGTTGCTGAGGAGGAGGAAGATGAGTTCTTTGAAGCAGAAGGATAGCTTTGGTTCACTCTCAAAAGCTGAGACTCTAGAGGTGAATGGCCGAATTCATGTGACTTGGGAACAACTGTAATGGAGTTTGTACACAGTGGATGTAGTGTCTCGTGCAACCAACACTGTTCAAAGAAAAGGACGCTAACTTCCTCATGGGTGTCTTGCAAAATTTAGTGAGCCTTCCAGAATGGCATGAACTCCCCTCAACATTTAGCGAAATCTCTTTGGCGAGGTACAAACTGGTTGGACAAAGCACCAAACGGTCGGTCGCTCTGCATTGCAGTGGGGTTCAGTGTGGTACCGCCTCGCCGGTCTCGAAAGCGGGAACTCGGGACGTACGGTGGAGCCTGAGCGCTGATGTGGCACAATCACCGCCGTTTCTCCCTGACGAAGGGGCTCGAGTCGATGGACGAAAAATTACTGGCGTCAGTTCGTCCTAAACTCGCGGCTCGGTCGGTCAGCCCCTAAGGTAATCTCGATAACTTCCCTGTGCCTTCGCTGCTTATATCTGGAGTGGTGCTCATTTTACCTGGCATTCATTTTATTTTTGCTCCAGCAAAAACTTGTAGCAGGGAAGAGCAGGCTAGTGAGAGAACGCGCTTTGATCTTGCTCGTGAATTCTAAAACGCGTTGCTACTGTTGCGAGATTTTACAAGTCCGCGACCCAATCTCAACACGCTGTGGTCGTGATCGCGTCACGTCGACCTAGTTACCGTTAGCCACGGGAAACTCCCTTTTCCGACCGTTATCAACTAAACGATATAATCAATGGCGCTTCGCAGCTGTAGAGAACGGGTCCTTCAGTCCCTCCAAGCAGGCTCCGTAGTGCGACGATTAACGAGCGTGAAACAGATCCATTCCTCCACCAGCAGTCAACGGTGTAGCTTACCGTTGCCATCGCCACAATCACACTTACCCGTAAAAGACGGGAGTTCGTCATTCCTGGACGGGTTTGTAAGACGGATCAACTCGAGTAGTAAATCCGCGTCGCAGCCGCAGATCGGCGTAGAGCAGATCGCGGAACGGATCCATGGATCGGAGAGTCACGCGCGGGTGAACGGGTTCGTGCAGTGGTACCTGAAATGCCTCGACTCCCGGCCCGTGATCACTAAGAGCATCACCGCAGCGATCATATTCGGCGCTGCTGACGTCACATCACAGGCACGTATGTCGGATTTTTCTTCGCTTCTCGCTTGCCCTACTTTTCTCCCCTTATCCCTCCCCCGTTCCTATGGATAAGGTTGGAGATCTTTCATATCTTCCTTGCTTCCAACTACCACCACTGGGCAGCCTAGCCTTACAATTAAATCGATTGCCAATTGGCGGATCGTAATATATCAAACGTAACCATGTTACTCAACCATCGCTGCTAACCCTCCCCTTGATTCTCATCATTTCTACACCCTTGGCCCCCTTTCTCCTTCTTTCTCCTCTCTTCTCCTTGATCATCCTGCTTCCTTCCTCCATTCTTCCTCCTTCCTTCTTCGGCTGCAGAAGCTCTCTCACTCCATTCTTGACCCACCCGCCACGTCACCACTCGACGACAACCCAGACCAACCGCCACGTCAGGAGATGCAGTGGGACGCGTTCCGCACAGCGCGCATGGCAGGCGCAGGTCTCTTGCTGTCCGGACCCACTCTTCACTTGTGGTTCACGCGCCTCGCCAAGTTCATCCCAGGCACGGACGTGCCTCGCGTGCTGCTCAAGATAGCCATGGGACAGCTGCTGTACAGCCCTGTCTTCAACTCCGTGTTCTTCTCCATCAACGCTGCTCTGCAAGGTGAGGATTCGAGGAACTGTGTCTGAATTGCGAGGGTCATCCCAGGCATGGACGTGCCTCGCGTGCTGCTCAAGATAGCCATGGGACAGCTTCTGTACAGCCCTATCTTCAACTCCGTGTTCTTCTCCATCAACGCTGCTCTGCAAGGTGAGGATTCGAGGAACTGTGTCTGAATTGCGAGGGTCATCCCAGGCACGAACGTGCCTCGCGTGCTGCTCAAGATAGCCATGGGACAGCTGCTGTACAGCCCTGTCTTCAACTCCGTGTTCTTCTCCATCAACGCTGCTCTGCAAGGTAAGGTTACAAGCGGTTGTTTGTAAGGACGTATTAAAAAATGGGGCAGCTGCTGTACGACCCTGTGTTTAACTCTGTGTTCTCCTCAGTCAACGCTGCCCTTCAAGGTGAGGGAACGAGCGGCTGTTCATAAGGTCGTCTCAAAACTGGGACAGATGTCTGTTGTACGGCCCTCACTTCAACTCCGTTTTCTTCTCCGTTAACACTGCTCTGCAAGGTGAGAACATGAGGGATTATTTCTTAGGATCCCGCACACTGCACCTTTTATTCACCTCCATCTTAAATATCTGTGCAGGCAAGAACAGGGAGCAGATCATTGCTCGTTTGCAGCGAGACCTGCTACCAACGCTCATCAGCGGTGCCTGCTATTGGCCTATCTGTGACGTCCTCATACATCTGTTCATGTTTTTCCACTTTCTCCCATGCCCTGTTGTGCAAGCGAGAACATGGAGCAAATCATCGCTCACTTGCGATGAGACCTGCTACCCACGCTCATGTCTGTGACTGCATCATACATAACTGCAATGCTATTCCACTTTCGTCCATGCCTTATGTTACAGGGGAAAACAAGGAGCAAATCATTGCTCGCCTGAGACGAGACTTGATACCCACCCTCATCAGCGGCGCCTGCTACTGGCCTGTCTGTGACTTCATCACGTTCCGATACGTCCCCGTGAGACTGCAGGTGGGTGGAACTCATGTTAGACCTGAAACTGAAAGCTTGAATACGGGGTGCAGATCATTGCGCGCTTGAAACGAGTCCTGCTACCAACCCGCATTAGCAGCGCGTGCTACTGGCCTGTCTGTGACTTCATCAAAATCCGATACGCCCCCGTAAGACAGCAGGTGAGTAGTTGACTTCACTGGAAGAATACCGCTGATCAGAGCGCATATAGCTAGGCTTTGTGTCTCAGAGTCATCTGGACTAACCTTGTGAGGCACATGTGTGGTACTAGAGGAGAAGATTCTTAAACGCGTTTCATCTGGAATCAGCGTTTAAGGTAAGGTGGATGTGTGTTCTAAACTAATATAGAGGCACCAACACCTGACGAGGCAGGGAACGCAAGTGCTGCCCTGGGCTGCAAAAAGGTGTCTTTTGACATGCTTTTGTGCTTCTGGCTGGACCGTAACTCCCCAAGATTGTTGATTTCCACTGGTCTGAAGAGTCGAGCATAGATAGGAATACATAGTATCTTTGAAATTACACATGCCATGTCATGTCATGCCATGCCATGCCATGCCGTACCATGCCATTTTATTCCATCCCATGCCACATGCCTTTCTCTTTCCCCCGGTGCACACCCATGCATCAATCCCCGTTCTTGGTGGTTTTTGCATGTGCAGGTACTAACGAGCAACACTGCAGCTTTCTTCTGGACCATCTACGTCACTTACAAAGCGAGCCTGGCTCCTGCTGCTGCTGCGACCGCTGATGCTGATGCTGATGATGATGCGACTCCACCGAATGACAGCAAGGAAGAATAGGATGGCTCAGCCTCACAGTTCTGCCTCGGCTGCTAGTACTGCTGCCTGGGCTGCTAGTACTGCTGCCTGGGCTGCTAGTACTGCTGCCTGGGCTGCTACTGCTGCCACTGCTCAAAGTCGCTGTGAGATTCCATAGCTTGATTTGAAACCAACATGTAAATGGTTTCTCGATGTCCCACAAGGAGGAGCCTAAACAAGGCTGGAAAGGAGATTCTGGCAGCCGCAAGGAGCAGAGAGGGCTTGCTTGCAGTGCTGGCTGCTACACCACTGTACAATGTACACCGTACTTCGTCAGTGCATTGCCAAGTACTGTACCACATTGTGGTGATGCACTCAAAAGAACATGAAAGCGTAGTGAGTCCGAAAGCTTACGTTAGAGGGATTGTTCACACCCCGTCTGTGGGCCGTGCACTAAGAATCGTATGAGAGGCTGTGGGTGGGAGTGAGACTGTCAAACTGCCCTTCAGGAGCCGAGAAGGTGAGACTGCCCTGTTGCTCTCCTTGGGGGAGGGGAGAGGTACTGGCTGCGCGCGGTATGTGCTGTTGAGTACCGTATGAGCTGTGAGGGGCCATATGTGCTCTCCACCACCACCACCCCACCCCAGCACAACAACATACGGTACAGTAGTAATAAGAACCTCTGCTGCACTGGTAACAGTAAACATTCTCATGCCGGGGTATTGTCTCTAAAGCATCAGAAGAACCATCATCAGATCACTACTTTGTGCACTAGGAAACAGGGTTTATGAGAGTACGATTGGCCTCCTGCTGCCCTGCTGGTGGTGCTGTGAGAGTGACACCGCCCTGCTGCTGCTCCCCTTGGCACGTGGGGCTGGGAGGGAAGAGCTGTACTGGCTGCGGGCGGTATGTGCCGTTGAGAATGAGCTGTGAGGGGCCGTACGCTCGCAGCACCACTTCACTCCTTGTCTGTGGGAGGACAGGGAAGAAGGGGAAGGGGAAAGGGAAAGGGAAGGGAGGGAGGGAAGAGCTGCACTGGCTGCGGGCGGTACGTGCCGTTGAGGATGAGCTGTGAGGGGCCATACGCCCTCAGGACCACTGCACTCCTTGTCTGGAGGAGAAAGGAAAAGAGAAAAGGAAAGGAAAAGGAAGAACGACAGTGGAGAGGGAAAAGAAAGCATGGAACAGATAAGGAGATAAGCAAGGAGATAGAGGGAAGAAGGGTGTGTTTCTGTCGCTTCTGAGACTTCTCAAAGGAGGGAAGGCAGAGAACCAATAGGTAGATGGAGACAAGGGAGAGAGGAATAGCCGCATGTAACGAGACATGGGGTACCAGGGTTACAGTACCGAGTTAACAGTAGGAATCCAGTTGACTCCGAGCGATTGGCCGGGCGAAGTGGGTTGAATGTAGATGGTGAGAGTGCCATCTGGGTTGTACTGCCGTGAGGGGAGCAGTAGAGCAGGAGTGGATGCACACGAACAATTTGGGGAAGGCAAGGGAATCTGGTGTGTTAAAAGTCGACTTGACAATGTAGATGGTGAAAGTCCTGTCTGGGTTGTACTGCCGTGAGGGGGGCAACAGCGGAGGTTTGGTTGCACAGAGGTTTGTTGGGGGAGGGAGATGAGAGAATGGCTTTTGAAAATTCTCAAAGTGATTTTCACAGAGGTTGGTTGGGGCAGATGCGAAGGCGCTGAGTTAACAGTGGTGATCCAATCGGCTTGAGTGATCGAGGGGAGGAGTGGCTTGGTGATGCAGCAGGCCTGGCGTGCGCGTGAGGTAATTGCTGGCTCACTCCAGGATGCTGCAGGGTGTTTTTGAGAATTCTCAAAAACACCCTGCGTGCGCGTGAGGTATTTGCTGGCTCACTCCAGGACAGAGGGAGTCGACCGGGAAGGAGTGAGGAAGATGCAGTGTGCTGAGTGACAGACCAGACCAGAGGGAATCGAGCGGAGGGCTAGGGAAGCAAGAGACACTCACAATCAATCCTGGCGTGCAGTCTCCTACACCATACTTGCTGACTCCCTCCAAGAGGTTCAAAGAGGTGCTGTGCTGTTGTGAAGGATGATGGAGCAGTCGGCCAGGGGAGGGGTGATGTGAAAGAAAGCAGGGGACTCACCAGGAGGCCCGGAGTTCTATCACCCACGCCATACTTGGTGACTCCCTCCAGGAGGTTTAGAGAGGTGCTGTTGTAAACCGTGACCGACCAGAAGGAGTCGACCGGAGGAGGGGTGAGGCGCAGGCGGAAGCAGAGGGGGCCTTCGAGGGGGACGAAGGGGGGGAAGCGGCGGAAGGGAGGCAGCGAGGGGAGGCTGGGAGGTTCGGGAGAAGTCTGGGTGGTGTTGAATGGTGTGGTGGTGTTGGATGGAGTGGTGGTGTTGAGAGGGGTTGACAAGGGTGATCCTGACAAGGGAGTTGGTGTTGCTGGGTTGCCAGGAAACAGGCCTTGCAGCGTTGGAACGGCCTGGAGACGTTGGGGAGGATGGAGGGAGAGAGGGGCAGAGAAGAAGAGAAAAAATAAGAAAAGGATTGTCGAATGAAGGGAGATGAGATCAGCAAAGGAAGTGCTTCGAGCTGCTTCACGGTACTCTGCGGTGCTTTGAGGTACTCTGCGGTGCTTTGAGGTGCCTTGAGGTGCTTTGAAGTGGTATTCATCCCACAAGGAAGACCAGGGAGCCTCAAAGAAGACCTGGGAAAAAGACCGAGGCTCAGCAGCAGATATTCGGTGAAGGAAGCTTTCCTCACCTGGGCGAGGGGGGTGGGGAGGAACTCACAATCAAAGTCGTGACCGACGTTCCTGCTCTACTGAAAATCTTCCGGGCTGATTGTAAAAAGAGAAAGAGGAAGCTTCCTGACCTGGGCGAGGAAGGTGAGAAAGTAGACGACCTCGGTGGCAAGAAGTGCGCCGATACCCCCAGCAGAGGTGAAGGTGGTGCGATAACAGAACTCGCAGTCATAGTTGTGGTGATAAGCGGGCCAACACCACACTGGGCCAGAGGATGAGAGAGGGGCTGGGATGAGAGGGACCTTTTGCTGACCTGGGCGAGGAAGGTGAGGAAGTAGACGACTTCAGTGGCGGGCAGTGCGCCAATGCCCCCAGCAGAGGTGAAGGTGGCGCGATAGAAGAACTCGCGATCATAGTCGTGACCCAGCCAGTTGAGTGATGAGGACCAGAAATCGTCCCTGGTGTGTGCAAGTGCAAGCATGTACGGCGGGAAAGGAAGGAAGGAAGGAAGGAAGGAAGGAAGGAAGGAAGGAAGGAAGGAAGGAAGGAAGGAAGGAAGGAAGAGTGACATTGCACAAATCGGGAAAGGGATGGGATAGGTGCCGCCAAGGAGCACAACTCGCAGGGGAGGAGATTGTATGCTTGAAAAATACAAATTTATGGTAGATCTGTGATGTGAGAAAATCGAGTTAGGTGGCACACTCACGACTGAATGAGCGATTCGTTGATCTGAATGATTTGATTGGCGGTGCTCAGTGCCTGGTCTGTCACCACTCTCGCTGCCTCTAGTGCTGCTGCCTGCTGCTGTGTAACGCTGTAGGGGTCGAAACCGTGCTGCTGGGTGACGTTGATGGAGGCGAGCTGAGAGGAGGGGGGAGGGAGGGTGGAAGGGAGGGAGGGAGGGAGGGACGGAGGGAGGGAGGGTGGAGGGATGTGGGCATAGATGAGATGAGCAGGTGTGCCACTGGAAATGTCAAAGCTGTACCACCTGCTCAAAGATGGGTGAGGTTGACGGATGCACAACGCCCTGCCAGCAATGCGCACGGCGCGGTTGCTGGTACTGTTATTGGCAGGCGGGTCAGCAACCTGCACTGCACTGCACTGCACTGCACTTGTCTCTCCACCATGTCCCTTCTCCTGACAATGTGCTTTGAGGCACATCAGAAGGTGCTCTGCTCTACTGTATCCCCTCGCCATACTATATCATATCCACGTCAGCATGCTACACCACCTGCCATGCGCACGACTTTTGAGTCGACTCAAAAGTCAGCGCGGTTGTTGGCGCTAGTATTGACGGGCGGGTCGGGTATGCTATGCTGCACTCCGCTACCATTGCCTCTATCCATACTATACCATGTCCACATCATCATGCTGCCCCCGCTTGTCTCACCATGCGCACGACGCGGTTGTTGGCGCTGTTATTGGCAGGTGGGTCCCGCTGAAGGCCCTCACCAATAAGAGTCATGCGCTGCACGGGCGGGTAGGAGGAGAAAGGGTGATGGGATTGAGATTGATGGGAGAGACGGTGATGGGAGGAATGAGGATAACAGCGAGGGAAATGGGAGGGAGGAAGGGGGTTGGGTGGAACGGAGGTGGGAAGGAGGGAGATGGGCACTGCCACCTGGAGGAAGGGGGTTGGGTGCAATCGAGCGACTGTTCATCTACACGGCCGCTTACCTATTACAGCCCCGCTACCCAATTACAGGACCACTGCTCAAAACCATGGGGCACAAGGGAGGACATTGCTCACCTGGAGGGCACTGCCATCTGCAGGGCACTGCCATCTGGAGGGCACTGCCATCTGGAGGGCACTGCCATCTGGAGGGCACTGCCATCTGGAGGGCACTGCCACCTGGAGGGCACTGCCATCTGGAGGGCACTGCCATTTGGAGGGCACTGCCACCTGGAGGGCACTGCCACCTGGAGGGCACTGCTGTTAGTGTTAGCCCTCAATCTCACACTTTGTACTTTGTATTTTCTATATCCTAGAGTAGTGTAGTTTGCACTTTGTGTTTGGTTGGGTGTACACCTACATCCCAACCAAACCCAAATGTAATCTCCAAGCAATCTCCAACCCACCAATTGGAGATTGCCTTGGGATTACCCCCAATCCCTAGGGATTTCCCCCGATTCCCTTTCCCATCCATTCCCTACCCTTCTTGGATGTACTTAAAGAGCTTCAAGCTCATTACTAATTCATCGCTTCTAAGCCTAAGTTCTGACATGGTATCAGAGCTCTTCAACCGCACACGCGGATCGTGATCCTCTTAACTCTGCGGATGCTCGTCCCGCAAACCTCGGCATAACCACCTTCAATCTCGTCGCCGGTGATTCGCAACATTCGTGGGCGGAAATTCTCCCGCACCACTTTCCCGTCACTTTCGACGACATCTACTACTTCACTGGTAAGCGCATCGTCAGCGCTATAACCTATCGCTCGTTTTCGTCGAACCTCGTCGCGTCATTTCTTCTCGTCGGGCCGCCGCTCGTCGCCCCGCAGCTTCTCGTCGGGCCGCCACCCGTCGCCCTGCAGCGTCACCTTCGGGCTGCCGTCCGTCGCTCCGCATCTGCACTCCTACCCCCATCCCCCCTTCCCGTAGCTGAACAGGTGCAGCAGCGCAGCTGAGCAGCAGCGTAGCCGCGAAGCCTAGCAGCCATGTAGCCGCGAAGCCGAGCAGCAGCGTAGCCGCGAAGCTGAGGGTGGTGTGTGGAGGGGTGTGTGGGAATAGGATTAGCAGGTAGTTGACACTAAATTGGCGTTTCTGTCAAATTCTCCTTCAGAAACCCTAAAATTCAAGATTCTCTTTCGTAAACCCTAAACTTGGGCTCTTCAAAATCTCCTTCGGAAACCCCAAACCTCAAGTTCCTATCGGTGACTCAAGATCGGTGCTCTGCGCGAGACACTAAGAGCTCCTCATCATGGCATTTGCCTCATCCACCATGGCCAACCCCATCACCCCACTCCGCCTTTAAGCCGATGGCTCTAGCTCCAACTTCAAGGCATGGAGCTATGGGGTTGACAAGCACCTCTTGAGTCGTGACGTGCAAGGATTGGACCTCAAGGACGTCCTCCTCAATCGTGGCAAAGGAAAACAGCCCCCAACCCCCCGTGAGTGAGCCGACGGAATCCGCTAGTGATACTGACATGAGGGCATACGAGGAAGCTGTTGAAAAGTACTGGAAGTGGGAGAAGACCGATGCTGCTATCATCAGCGTCTTCATTGCCTCCACCCCTCCCGAACTTGTCTACACGCAACTACCCTACCTCCAACGCCATCTGGAAGTACCTCCAGGATCGGTTCATGAACAAAATTGCGGTCAGAGTTGCCATCCTCATCCCCAGCATGTTCCAGGTCCGCCTTGAAGATTGCTCAGGAATGGCTGACTACATCGCCAAGGTGCAGACTATCCATGGCGAACTTAAGGAGCTGGGTATAGTCTTCCCTGAACAAGCCCCTGCAGCCGCCCTTCTAGTTGGTCTCACTTCGGCGTATGAAGTCACGAGGAAGATGCTCCTCACGCTCTCAGCGGAAGACCTCACCTTTGCCAAAGTCTCTACCGCCCTCTTCTCTGCCGAGAAAGACTCCACGGCTCAGGCAAAGGCTTACGCCATCCGCGCTCCCATGCCGCAAGCAAGTGTCGCATCGGCCCTCGCCTCGGCGCCATTCCAGCGCAACCGCTTCTCTCCGTGCACCTATGTCGTCAAGTATGGCAACCGCAAGGGACAAGTGTGTGGTGGCATTAACCACCCCCTTGCTACGTGCTTCAAGAAGAAAGACGACGAATGGTATGTCATTCACGGAGTGGACAAGAAGCCGCCAAACTGGATGCGCCCTCGTAGTGCTAGTGATAGTGCTCCTGCTGATGTGCGTATCAACCTGTTGTTTCTTGGCACTGTCATGATTAATGAAGCTACCTCCCAGTACATCGGCTCATCACAGGCACCACAATACATAGAGTTCACACTCGACAGCAGGGCCACCCACACTGTGCTCAAGGAGACACTCTCCTTCAAACCCTACGCAACACCCATTCCTCTCTTGGGAGCTGACTCAAGCTTCACCACTCTTGCCAAGGGTACATCCACAGTCCTGTGCCCCGCCTTCCCATCTGGCACTGTCACTGGCATGTGCGTGCCTTCACTACGCCACAATCTAGTGGCTCAAACGGAAATTCAGGATGCAGGACTACGCACCATCTTCTCGGAGAACGAGGACCATTGCGACATCATCGATCCACTCACCAACAAATCTTGGCCCGCTTCACCCTCAATAGCAGTGGCCTCTACACGCTACGCGTACCTCTCCCGCAGGTGTCAACCACCCAAGCACAAGCTACTATCACACCATGCTCATGTCGCAGCCTCTCCAACCCAACCATCCTTTACCACCATCGGCTCGGGCACCCGAACTTCCGCACACTTGCTAGTAGCCTAAGTTCTGACAAATGCCACCTAGAGGGCACTGCCACCTGGAGGGCACTGCCACCTGGAGGGCACTGCTCACCTGGAGGGCACTGCCACCTGGAGGGCACTGCCATCTGGAGGGCACTGCCACCTGGAGGGCACTGCCATCTGGAGGGCACTGCCATCTGGAGGGCACTGCCATCTGGAGGGCACTGCCATCTGGAGGGCACTGCCATCTGGAGGGCACTGCCATCTGGAGGGCACTGCCATCTGGAGGGCACTGCCATTTGGAGGGCACTGCCATCTGGAGGGCACTGCCATCTGGAGGGCACTGCCATCTGGAGGGCACTGCCATATGGAGGGCACTGCCACGTGGAGGGGCACTGCCACCTGGATGGCACTGCCACCTGGAGGGGCACTGCCACCTGGAGGGCACTGCCATTTGGAGGGGCACTGCCACCTGGAGGGCACTGCCACCTGGAGGGGCACTGATTGAAACGAGGGAGCACAAGGGCCACTATTCACTCACCTGGAGGGCTTCGGAGAGGTTGGAGCTGGGGAGGGGCGGATTGGGGAGGGGCGCAACTGCAGGCCCGCCTAGCGCCTCTGAGAGTGACTGTAGCGAGACTTGACTGTAGAGGTCGAGCACTGTAGCAAGGTCGTTGGAGACATTTGCGGACACGACCACTCGCATCAGCAGGAGAGCGTCATTGGTGGGCGACTGTGGGACGGGAAGGGGGAAAGGCAACAGTGAACAGGTCGGAAGCATGGGTGCAAGTGTTTAGGGAACCACCTATGCCCTTATTGGAAATATTCTTCTCACATGTATGACGGTGGGGGGGCCTAGGGTGCATGGTACATATTTAGAGAACTACCTATGCCTGTATTGATGGGATTCTCACCTGAATGACTGTGGGTGCGAGGTCAGTTGGGAGCTCCCCTGCCGGGGCCCGACAACTATAAACGTGTTGGGAGAGCATGGGTGCACGTAGTTAGGAAACTACCTATGCACGCATTAAAAGAATTCTCACCCGTATGGCGGTGGGTGCGAGGTCAGCAGGCTGCTCCCCAGCCCAGTCGGGCCCAACAACAGTGAACGTGTTGGGGGATTGGTTACACGTGTGTAGGAAGGTAGCTATGCATGTATTGACAATAGATGGACTACTCCCCACCCGTATGACGGTAGGTGCGAGGTCAGCAGGCAGCTCTCCGGCCCAGTTGGGCCCGACTAGAGTGAACGTGTTGGGAGCATTAGTCAATGAAACGACGCCGTTATTGGAAATACTGGTAATCGCACTCACCCGTATGACTGTAGGTGCAAGGTCACCAGGCAGCTCTCCGGCCCAGTTGGGCCCGACTAGAGTGAACGTGTTGGGGCCTGGCCCGTTGGCTCGGCTGCCGTTCACACTGAAATCCGAGTAATAGGTCTGGAAGAACCCGACGCTGCCATTTAAAGGATGGAGGAAGGAAAGGGTTAGATGAGAGAGAGTGGGTTGGATTGGACCCATCACCAAAATGAAATCCGAGTAGTCAGTCTGGAAGAATCCGACACCGCCGAACAGATGGGGGCCAAGAGGGATTGGTTTAGAGGGGAAATGGTTTGGGGGGAGGCGATTCACACTAGAGACGCGTTGGGTCCTGGTCCTTTGGCTCGGCTGCCATTCACACTGGAAGAGCCTGATACAAGGGAGGAGGAGAGGGTGGGATTGGAGGCGAGTGGTTTATAAAGACTATAAGCAGATTAAATCAGATATGCAAGCAATCCAGTATTCGAGCAAATACTCGAATAAGGTACCGAGTTTCAAGCTTCAATTAGCACCTGTAGTAGCGCTATTTGCACACTCCTCCTCACCTGTAGCAGCGCTATTTGAACACTCCTCCTCACCTGTAATAACGGCCTTGGCCCATGTAGGGGGTTCTCAGCACCATCGGTTGGTCTCGCAGGTAGAGGAAGGCCCCTCCATACACCGTGTCCACATTGGGGAGAGCCACATCTGGAGGGGTGGGGGGAAACGGTAAGAGATTGGGAAGGCGTGCAGTGGGAGGTGGTTTCCTGAACCTTGGAAGGAAGGGGGAAGGCTCCTCCATTCACCGTGTCTACATTGGGGAGAGGACAGCCACATGGGGATGAATTAGCGAGTTGACTTTTGAGTCGACTCAAAAGTCAATTGGGGAGAGGACAGCCACATGGGGATGAATTAGCGAGTTGACTTTTGAGTCGACTCAAAAGTCAATTGGGGAGAGGACAGCCACATGGGGATGAATTAGCGAGTTGACTTTTGAGTCGACTCAAAAGTCAATTGGGGAGAGGACAGCCACATGGGGATGAATTAGGAGGGAGAGGGGATGAGAATATGAAGGTCTGCAGTGCAACGGTGGGTCCCAGTCCTCTGGAGGAAGAGGTAGGGGACGAGAGGGAAGGGGACGGGAAAGGGGACGAGATGGAAGGGGACGGGAAAGGGGACGAGGACGGATGCAACGTCTCATGGTAGGTCCCTGTCCGCACAGTGCTTATCGGGGAAAGCCACAGCTAGTTTTGAGGCGCCTCAAAACGAGGAAGGATGCACTGACTCATGGTGGGACCCTGACTGTACTGGGCATCGTGGGGAAAGCCACGTGTTGGGGGTGAGAGATTGGGGGACGGAATGAGAGTAACGCACAAGCGGAAGATTCTGGAGCAAGAAGAAGAGGAAGGCAGGACTTTACAGCACAAGCGGCCTTGTGGTGCTCTCGTGATCAAAAGTGTATTTTTGAGATGATCAAAAGTGTATTTTTGAGTCATCTCAAGAAGACTCTTCTGTCAGCGTCCATGGAGGGCTTTACTGCACAAGCTACTTGTGTGACGCTCTCGGTTACTGGGGGCGCATGCGCCTGCTTTTCAAAATAACGCATCCACCGAAGGATCCACCGAAGGACGCACTAGCATAAAATGCACAGCTCACTGTGGTGCTGACTGGCAGCAGCAGTGGTGTTGGCGTACGAGACAGTCGCATAAAATATTGGATCATGAGAAAGATGCAATCATCATCAGGAGACAGATGCACCGGTGGTACCAACAACGGCAGTGTTGTTGGTGAAGGAGAGGAGATTCCACTAGTGTGCATCAGAGGTATACATCAGAATGGCGCACCACTGTTGTCGGTACCACCACCGAGAAGCAAGCATGACTCACTGGTGGTACCGACAACAGTGGTGGTCTTGTTGATGAAGGAGAAGAAATTGATCGGTTTGTGCATCAGAGGACAACCACCCATCAGAATGACGCATCGAAAAACCAAGCATGACTCACTGCTAGTACCGACAACGAAAGCTGTACAAAGCTCGCACATGCTGCTTGTGCTCTCAACTCATTGGTGGTGCCAACGACGGCAGTCGTGTTGGCATCAAAAGATCCTAACAAGTGCATCGAAAGGGGATTGCAACTCACTGGTGGTGCCGACAACAGCGGTGGTGTTGGCGTAGGAGAAGGCGTTGAGGGCAGCACGGGTGGCCTGCTGGCGGAAGAAGGTGACGAGAGGAGAACCCCACACGAACGCCTCCTGCCCCACCGTGAAGTACCGCACCGCACCCCCCTCCGTGCCATGGCCAGCAGCCCCAGTGACGTTCTGCAACACCCCCCCCTCCGTGCCATTGCTAGCAGCACTGCTGTTCCCCCCAGGCGTTGTGCTGCTGCTGGGAGCTGTGGCGTTACTGGTTCTAGTAAAGTTACCAGCTCCAGTGCTGTTACGAGCTCCAGTGCTGTTACCAGCTCCAGTGCTGTTAACACCTCCAGTGCTGTTACCAGCAACAGCGCTATTGCCTGCAGGCGTGATGCTGGTGCGTCCCCTGGTATTACCAGCTCCTGTGTTGCTGCCATCAGGACTAATAATACTGGTTTCCGCAGTACTGCTGCTGCCATCACCCCTTGAATCGTTACCAGCGCTAGTGCTGGTAGCAGCACCCTCAGGCCGATCAGGGTTACCAGCAGGATACAAGTTACTGCTGTTGCTGCTGCTGCTGCTGCTGGTAGCACCGGCGTTTGACTCGTCTCCCATGCCCGAGCCACCCAACGGCTCCTGAAGCCCCCGCCTCCCAGCTCTCCCCGTTTCCAAGAGACCACGTACCACCATCCCAGCAACTCGTGCCACCCCATGCTGCTGCGTTGACCCCATGCCCCTCTGTGTAGGCCCGAATGGCTGTAGAGATGCAGAGGAGGAGACGCTGACAGCAATCACCATCATCACCAGCAGCAGTGAGACAGCAAGCATAGAGCCCAGAAGCAGTTGCGACTTGGCCCGAAGATTGGCCCAGGCTGGATGGTTCACAGTGGAGGGGTTTTCTCGCTGACCGTTCACGTTCTCGCTCGATGATTCTTCTCGCCACGCCTGCACAAGTCCCTCTAACGTTTCCTCACATGTGGTTGTCATTTTGGGTGACATCTCGCTGCTGGCGTCGCCAGCTCCTGTTGAAGGGGAGCTACTTGATACGAGAGTGGGAAGCGACAGAGGAGCCGTTGTCCTGGGGAGCTAAAGCACCAGAGGTCTACGCGTCCGCTTAGAATCACTTCACCACGACTTAGCAACACGGTCAGCAGTAGCTGGCGCTGCTGGTGCTTCAAAACGTCTCAGAAAACGCGAGGGAACCGCGTCGGGCGCCCGTCCCGCTGGTGCTTCTGGCGTGCAAGCTTGTCTATTGACCTTGCAGGGTGTGCTCGAGAATTCTCAAAAACACGCAGTGGAAGGTGGAAGCCAGGTCCGTGACTGGCGCAAGATGTTAGGGTTTGAGCTGTTCCTCCTCCTAAGAAGAATGACCTGTGACCTGTGACTCGTGCGGAATACTACTTGGTACACGAGCCCACTTCAAGTGAGCAGCAGCACCGCGCAGCAGTAACTCACAGAATTACTCCTTGGAATTTTTGAAACGTCTCATTACTAAAAAAAAACTCTCCTAGGAATGGTCCGTCAACCGTGAGCAGCAGCACCGCGGAAGGTGGTTTCGTTGATTGTCGCAGTGCGATGGCGGAATGACAACGAATGTTGTTGCATCGGTGTGTCGCCGTGACACTGGTGAGAGCGTGGCGTGGGTTGTAACGTGCACGCTGTCTGCGCGCTGCAGAGAGCTGATCGCCGTGAGATGGTGGAGCAATGGCGACACGTCGAAAGCTGACGATATCTGTCGCAGTGAGTCTGACGTTGACGCATTCCGAGCGTCCTGTGACAACGGTCGCCATAACTGCGATCACCATATCAGGAAGAAAAAGAAGGGCACGCGATCGTTCCTGCTCGTCACCCTAAATTGCTTTCAGATGCTGACGCCAGCTCAGTGTCTTCGATTGTGCCGCCCGCTGCGGTTCGAGGCGTGATGGCGAGCATTACAAGGTATCCGACAGACTGGGCTGCTGCGGACAAATCTAGGCCAAGCACTGCCTGGCGTGCCTGTGACGAGAAAAGCCGGACTGGCGACTATTATGCTCCTAACAACCTTACGAACCGTTCTGATACGTTAACGTCAACCTAAAAAACGAACATAAGTTCACTGAACCGTACAGAAGTTCTACTTCTCACACCTGGTTGTGAAGTTTCTTTCTTCCGAGGGGCGTGTTCGGATTGACGGTGAGCACAGCTGACTTCCAGTTAAGTAATATCGTCGGGTTACTTGTTAAATACGCCCTATCAATGCTAAGCGTGACCTCTACGGTTTTACGTCCCACGTTCTTCACACAATTCCTGTCTTTGCTGAAGTCATTAACTGTAGAAAAACGTGACGATGTAACACCATCGAGACACTTAGCTAGTGCACACTTCTTTGGTCATAATATTCCGCATCCTTCGTCTTGAGGGTCCAAGACTGGGGTTTCACGACTTAGTTATGTTCCGTCCGAAAATACTGATGAGCCCTTCACGCGATGAGGATTTTGTGTTGCACGGCTGACTAGCAGAGCACTGTCGTGTGCGCAAGGAAGCTTGATTATTTTCCGCGCAGGAAAATCGTAATTGAAACAAAAAAAAACAAGAATAAAATAGCAATAAGACGAGCAGACGGTTTACGGGTATGGCGTCTGGACGCACGTCAATGGGTCTAGGAGGTAGGAGAGATGCGAGCAAATTAACTAAGGACGGTAAAGACGGCTCGGGTAGTAAAGCAGCCGCCGACGTCAGAATCTTGACAACAGAAGCTATACCTCCCGCTAAGCGCAAGAAGTATAAGGAGAGAGTGAAAGGACCGAACGCGTCTTTAAAAACCGGCGACGGCTTTTCGGCGATCTTGGCTCCCGAGTCGGCTATGCTTACGCGGCTCCAGGCCGAGGAGCGACAGATGGATATCGTGCTATCGCGTGTGAAGGTGGAGCTTTCCGAGTCCATCCACGTCATGCCACGTGTCACGCGAAACCTCCGGCTTTACGTCTTTAATACCCACTCGTTCCAGGATCGCGCAGTGCAGAGCGGAATAAAATCGGATGTAGATGGGTTGATCGTAGCCGATGATGTGCCTCGCTGGACTTTAAGAGTCGTAGCTCGAATGGTGGGAGAAGACGAGGAGCAATTCGGTACTCAGACAGGTGATTCCCAAGGAGAAAGGACTCCCCTGAGCACTAAGCGCGTCGGAAGCACCGATAAGGAGCGTTCTTCAGCAATTTCCGCGATATTAGCAGATGCAGAGTCTCGCGGATCGGATTCAGGCGTTGGAGAATCAGGCTTGAGCCAGGCTTTGCTAGGCTCAGGAGTTTTCAAGGTTCGGGATGCCGTGGCTGGACCATTGGCTCGGCACGTCCAGCGGATCGAGGCTCGGCTCGACCCGAAGCTGTTCCCGCCACCCAACAACGCGGTGACCCTGTGGGACGCTGACAAGGACGGGATCCTCCGACCAGATGCATCAACGGTGGAGATGCAGCGAGAGGGGACCAGTGAATCTCTGGTGGAGCTTCGTGTGGAGCTGAAGCAGGGGGAGGAAGTGTACAGTGTGGAAGAACGGTTAGGGGCGGTGGTGGGGATGAGAGTGGCGACCAGGCTGCAAGTCTTGGAGGGCCTTTGGAATCATATCAGGGCTAACAAGCTACAGGTGAGTAGTTTTATTTTCTGTAACAGCTCTTATTCCATATCCTGTGTTGCTTAGCAGCTCTTTCAGAGTTGATCCTAGCAAGTTTCTCGATTCCTCCTCCTTCCATCTACTGCTGATGTAGGGTCTGGTTCCCCACATTCTTCTGTTGTTTCTCCCTTGCCATCTACATTCCTCATTTTGCTGTTATTTATCCCTTACCATCCCCATCCCCCCGTTGTACTGTTGTTTCTCTCTTACTACCAAGCTCATCGCCCCGATTTGCTGCTCTTTCTCCAACAGGACCCCTCGGATCCTTCCTCTTTCACCTGTGATTCTACCCTCCAAGCCCTCTTCAAGCAAGACAAGCTCAGAATCTCCTCCCTCCCTATCCACATCTCCCCATTCCTCTCTCCACCACCGCCTCTCACCATCACCCACCGCATCTCCCTCGCCACCTGCCCCACACACTCCGCCACACTCCCTTCTTTAGATCCTCCCTTTCATCCACTGGGCCCACCCACCACCCTCCCTTCGTATGAGACCCTCCCTCCTGTTTCAGCAGACACCTGTGTGGATGTGACTGTAACAGAAGCTCCTGCTCTCGCAGCGGAGACAGCCCGTGTGATTGCAGCGATGGGTCAGCAGCCAGAGATTGATGCTATTGATGCAGCCATGGCAAAAGATGCTGAGCTTTTAGCTAAGCACCGGCGGCGTCGCGCCTTTTTCCTAGCGTTTTCACACTCTCCTGGGGAGTTTATCAGGGACTTGATGGTTTCACAGCAAAGAGATCTGGATCAGATGCAGCAGGGAGGAGTGGAAGGTGCTGGAGGTGCACAGGCATTTGGTCCTGAGACTGCAGACCAAGATGCAGAGTTTTATGCTCTCCCGTGGTGGGTACTCTCTGCTGGAACAAATGTTGATTTGTTTTCTTCCATTGGCCAGTGTGTGGTGTGGTGCCTCACTGCTTTGCGGGTGCTTCTCTCACTCACTGCTATGGAGGTTCTGGAAAATCTGCTCGCTTACTCAAACTTGTGTGCCAATTTGTGTTTTCTTGGCTGCTTTCCTGTGTGCAGGGTGGATGATGCCCTTCTGAGGTACCTGAATCGCCATGCCATGGGTACTGAAGGCTTTGCGTTGTAAGGTTGACGGTTCCTTTCCGACACCTCAATGCATCGCATCTCCATGTGACGTTTAGCAGTTGTGTGTGGGTGGGACCTTGTATTCATGCTCAGCCAAATAGGTGTTCCCCCACCCTATACATAATTGTATCAAAGTCAATGGAGCCATCTCATCAAAAATACTGTTTTTTCTTTGCTGTTGTGTCCTGGCCACGTACCAGGCCCCCAGAAGTCAGAGTCTTATGTCTGATGTGCTTGTTTTACGGTGGTCTGAGATTTCAGATTTTTTTTAGGGTGAACTCTGTAAAAATCATATTTCCGTAATACCCCGGATAGAAGCGCACCTGCGCTTATAATAAAACATTGTTTTTTGGGGGGGTGCGCTTATACCGTATCGCCCCGGATATAGGCGCCGTCCGATTAAAGGCGCCGGCGCTTCTATCTGGAGCATGGCGCTTATGGCCGGAATTCGATTATAAGCGCCCCCCCTGAAAATGCTTTACTTATTATAAGCGCACGCCTAAATTTATTTTTCATTCCTGATTAAAACGGTAACGAACTTCATATTTCTAGCGAGTCACATCACATTTTCACTTTGTTTGACTTTCGCGGACCTCACTGGTTGCGCGTCCAGTCAGTATGAGCTGGCACGCGGGCAAAATGACGCGCCAAAGCTCAGTGCACCGTCAGAAATTCGCCCTCGCGCGATTCTGATTCTGGACGCTGTAAAGTTTTAATTCGGTTCAACTTACGAGACTGAACTGTACATGTTGGTGCGTTTGAATTGTATTTCTGTATTTGTCTTTATATAAGCGCCGGCGCTTATGGCCATTATTCAATTACAAGCGCCACCCTTAAAAAAATCGATTTTATTATAAGCGCCATGGCGCTTATATCCGGGGTGATACGGTAATTGAGTCAGATTTATAAGCGCATGCGCTTGTATAAAGGGAAAAATGAAAATCAATTTTGAACACACCATTGTGAAGCTCTCAATAAGGCGAATTCAACCGACCATGCACCAAGTGGGATCGTGCATGGTTTTCAGGCAGAAACCGCAGCGGTTCGGTTTACCACCGCACAATGTTGTCTGGAAACATAGAATGTGACAGCCGTGACGATGATGTTGTCGTGCGGCCCAATCAGAGCCGCATGCGCTGCGAGGCATGTGCATTCGGGCAGAACCATCTCGAAGGTTCGGCAAGATTCTCTGCCAGCGCAGCGTAGATGCTGCCACGCAGGCGCCTCTACGGGAGTGGGCGGGGGTTTCCTGCCTGTCATCGACGAGGAACCCGAGCCGTCACACAGCAGGGGTCACCGTCGTTGCCCATTTCTTCACCCTCTTCTCTGATTTTTTCATTCAGTTCCTTGTCAACCCCGCCTGGCAGGCGAAGCCATGGCGGAATTTAGTGGGACGAGCATCCTCTTCAAGAAAAAGCCACGCCGCACATGGCGACTTACCGAAGACGGGTGGTATACCCGTGAGCCACCAGCGCCTCCAGTGCCACCGGATCCCCCTGCACCCCCTGCTCCTCCTGCTCCCCCTGCACCCCCTGCTCCACCCGCTCCTCCCGCACCTCCCGCTCCTCCGAATCCGCCTGCTTTTGCCACGGCAGGTGCTCACCAACGGCCCGTGCTCCAACTGTATTTACCAGCCACGTTCGACGAATGGTTGGCTGAAGCGGACACACCGAAGGCCCGCGATGCACGCATCCAAGCTCCAGCGACTGCACCACGGTGGGGACAACCAGAATCCTGCGCGTGGGATGAGTCGGCTGTGGGCGCCGACGATGATGTGGCTACCGATAAACATGACAGCGGCGCCGGCGAAGCTGGAGGCGACGGTGAAGCTGGTGGCGACGGTGCAGCGGGCGACGAGGAAGACGTGTTCCCCGACCGTGACGAGGACGAGGACGGTGTGGAGTCCTGGTGGCGCGACGCACCACGCGCGAAGATGCCGGTACCGACATATCCGCCCCTTAATAAAAAACGCCCCCACCCGTCTACCGAGAATCGAGATGCCCGCCCCCCCTCCCCCAGGCACAAGCTGAATCAACATAAGCGGCAGTCCTACACCGCCCAGGAGAAGTTGAGGTGGCTCGTGCGGCTCGAGCTTGCGGCTTCGGTGAGCGAAGTGGCGCGGGAGTCAGGCATTCACCGAAAATGTCTGACAGAATGGAAAGCCCAAGCGGATGCGCTCAAGGCTGCACACGGAGCACGGATGCGACTTCACGGGCGCGGGAGGTCGTCTTGGTACCGCCCCATGGAGTTAAAGGTGTACGCGCAACTCCTCGACTGGCGACGCCGCGGAGTTGCGGTTTCGGTCGGCCGGCTGCAAGAGTGGTCCAAAGAAGTGATGAAGGTTCTATACCCGGACGTCAAGTGGAAAGCCAGTCAGCGGTGGACGGAGCGGTTCCGCAGGCGGTGGAACCTCAGCGTGCGCATGAAAACAAAGGTGGCACAGAAAACACAGGAGCGTAAGTGGGTCGTTTACTGCTGATTTTGGTGGGTACCCGATTGCGCTTAGTTTTTTTCGCATGTCTCCTATGCGTCATACTAATTTGGTTTACTGTATGTACCTTTCTCCCTGTTCTGCAGACGTGGCTGAGCAGTGCAATGATTTTTGGCAGTACGTACGTGACGCCCGTCACGAATACGACATTGACAACCGCTACATCATCAACGCCGACCAGACACCGCTGTGGTTAGAGATGCCGGCGACGACCACCGTGGAGCAGACGGGCGTGAGGTCGGTGCCCATTCGCAGCGGTGGGTACCAGAAGGAGAGAGTGACCGTCATGCTTGCGTGCACGGCGACGGGCGAGAAGCTGAAGCCGTGGGTGTTTTTCAAGCGCAAGACACTCCCCAAGGGTGACTTCCCGAACGGTAAGTGATCGTCCACCGTGTTTATTCCCGTTACTACCTGAGTCGTTAACTGTTCTTTTTCGTTGCGTGCAGATGTTGTGGTCGGCTGCCAAGCCAACGGGTGGATGGAGGCCGCAGGCGTCATCGAGTGGCTCAACACGGGCGTGGTGCCGTTCCTGAAGCCGAAATTCGGCCTGCAGAGTCGTAGCGCCATGCTGGTGCTCGACTCGTATCGCGGTCACCTGACACCAGAAGTCAAGGCGAGATTCGCGGCGCTCAACATCGTGCCTGCTATCATTCCGGCGGGTTGCACGGCAGACCTGCAGCCCCTCGATGTGTCGATCAACAAAAGCTTCAAAGCAAGCATTCGTCAGCAGTACCAAAATTGGTTTGAGGAGGACGGCATGAACGTCCTGACCCCGGCAGGTGAGTGACGGCATGTGCTCCCGTCTGCAAATCTTGAGCTTGAATGCATGTTTACTTGTCTCATGTTTTCCCCGCCCCACTCCGTGTGATGCAGGGAACATCAAGAAACCACCTCCGGAGGTGGTGCTCAAGTGGATTTCACGGGCCTGGAAGGCGGTGCCCGCCGACCTCATCAAGAAAGCCTTCCTCACTTGCGGCATCAGCAACGCCCTTGATGGGAGCGAAGACAAACTGGTGCTAGCGCACCGAAGGTGCCAGTTGTCCCATGAGGTGGAGGTGGACGACGACATCCAGGCAGATGGGTTCTGGGGCAACAACTCCACGGAGCCTGAGTCGGACGAGGAGGAAGAAAAGGCAGTAGGGTAGACTAGGCAGGTTGAAAGGTGTAGTGCAGGACAGCAGAGACCACCCTTGTATGTGATAGTCATTCTTAATGGAAAGTTTAGAACATGTAGGCTAGGTAGGTTAAAAAAAATGAAATTCTTTTTTTTTTTTTAACTAAACGAGTGCGCTTATAATAAGTCAAGAATTCCAAAGGGGTGCGCTTATAATTGAGGATCGGCCATAAGCGCATTGCTCCAGATACAAGCGCATGCGCTTAACATAGGCCTGCGCTTCTATCCGGGGCCATACGGTTTCTTTTGCTTCTAACTCTGAAAATCTGATTTTTTTATACATAGGCTGACTCTGACGTTTCAGAGTTTTTCGGGAGTGTACTCTGATGAGTTCAGTGTTAGAATCTAGCAGCAGGAAATGATTGAATTATGGAAGAGTTGGGTACAAATATGAAACCCTTAAGTGGGTTGTACCCCATATTGGCTACCCCACTACAGCCTAAACATATATAGCAGATATAACGTTTGACACACCCCCATAGGCAAAGTGGGGGAGAACAAGGGGTCACAAGACCAGTCAACAGAAGCAAAGCAAGCTCAGGGTGGATCACTGTTAACGGGAATGGAGTGTTGGCCCCGCCCTCGCTTGGGCAACGCCGACAACTTGGTCGGATGTACGGGAGTAGCAGCCGACCGCTCACAGTGGGATAGCTGCTCGACAGGTTACGACGAGCTGCAGCGGACCGCTGTGGTGTTGCTGTCGACCAGGATGCTCGACAGCTGCAATTGACTGGCCTGGGCGATGGGTGAGCCGTCCGGGAGGTCGACGAAGCAGTCTGTCGACCTACAGTTCGACGGGGAGGTCTATGCAGCATCCCATCGAACTGCAGCTCGACCGGGAGGTCAACGGAGCATCCCGTCGAACTGCAGTTCGACCGGGAGGTCGACGGAGCAGTTCTGGTCGACGGAAGGGGTCCGTCGACCAAGGGGTAGCTTGACGGGAGGTGTGGTCGACCAGGAGCGCCCGGTGGTCGACCAGATGGACCCAGTGGTCGACGGGAGGCACCTGGGAGTCGACCAGAGCACCAGGGGTCGACCAGGTCGACCGGGTAACCTGCTCGACGAGTTCTGCGGAGGCATGCGAACGTTGTCGAGATCGCGATGGCGCAGGCGACTTCGGGCTGGTATCCCGAAGTCGATGTGGCTCGTCAGGCGCAGACAACAGCCGACGGATGCCCAACAAGGCAAGTCCGGCCAATCGTCTGCGCGCATCTGCGATTGCGCGCACAGCTGTGTTCTACGGGGCAACGCTGGACAGCCGCTCTGCTGCAATGTTGGCATGCCGTCGACCTGCTCTGTTGGCAGGTCATCTTTCCACAGTGCTGGCGCAGCTCCTCTGCGCAACGCTGGCAGGCGGTCGACCGAGCTGTGCTGGCAGTCGACCAGGCTAGCAGCAGGGTTGAACGGTGCCTGATGTAGTCATTGTTGTAATTTTGCTTGTGCTATCATTCTGGTATTCCAACTTTGCTAGTGGAAACTCTTGCCAAATTCTTCCGTGAATGTGCAAACACTAAGGAACCAAGCAAAGCTAAGATCACCTCTAGTAGTTCGTGCCAACCCCTGTAGTCTAGCTCACTACCGTTGTAGAGTTTATCTCCGCAATCACAACGTCACCAAACACACTGAGCACAAGCAGAGGGCCACAAGGCCATTTCACATGCAGAGGTATATATGCAACAATAACAGCATAGTGATTTCTACCTATCAGAGCAAGCATGCAGGTATATATATAGATCACAATACAAAAAAAGTCTATAGCAAGTGAGGAAACGTGGACACAAGGCCTAACAAAGTGCAGAAACACCCATGATCACCAGACGGAAGTGCCTTGGTGAATATATCAGCAGTGTTGGCCCGAGTGGCCAAGATCTGAAAGTACTCAACTCCCTGCCGCTGACTGAAGCCACGAGCCACGTACCGCGCCTTGAAGACAGGTGGAGAACCGGGCGGCCGCTTCACCCTGAAGATCCACATGCCATTGACGATGTTCGCCCCAGGTGGGGGAACCGCGTCAACGTAGGTGCCTGTGGACTTCCAGGAAGCCATCTCTGCATCCATAGCTGCCTGCCATTGACAGGAGTAGGGACCCTCTACAGCCTCCGCGTAAGAGCGCAGAGTCGGGATGTCAAGTGCATCCGGGTCTCCCTCAGGGGTAAGCAGTACAGACACGAGATGAGGTGAAGCAGCACCCAGACACTGGAACTCCTCCTGCCTGTCCTCAAGGATGTCAGTGCCAAGAGCACACTCACCCCCCACGGACGGAGGACGGACAGACGCAGACTCAGCAACAAGACTAGCAGCGTAGTCTAGACAACAGCGAGCAGCAAAGTCGACGAGCTCAGCAACAAGAGCAGACGCAATAGTGGACTCAAAGGAGGGGTCAGTGACGACAGTAGCAAAGAGACGCGTGAGAGTAGGACTGGCAGCATGAAGAGAGTCCGACTCTGGGTCGGCAAGTGCAGGAAGAGAGGACTCAGGAGGAGTAGGCAAAGGGGCACGAAGAGGAGCTGTGGACGGACGCAGAGACATCCGGTGCGTGCCAGGGACAGGAGGAGGACGCTGACGCGAACCGTGACCACTAGTGCGAGCAGCACGAACAGGCGACGCGGGACGAGACGCAGGCTCACGACGCTCAGCAAGACCTCCAGTAGGACCAGTGTAGGTAGAAGGAGCGGGCAGGGGGGAGGCCGGCGGTAACTGTGACTGTGACTAGACAGGCGGTGGACACTCTAAGGGAGGAGGAAGACCAAGAACCTGCTAAAGGAGCAGAACAATGTACGGCCGAGGCCGCGCGGCTACTCCAGACACAGTAGGGACACCACCAGCACCCCCAGCGGCAGCACTAGCGCCAACAGCACCTCCAGCTGCAGTACCTCCAGCAGCACCAGCAGCACCCACAGCAGGACCGCCGCCAGGACTAACAGCAGTAGCCTCAGTGCCAACACCCTCAGCAGCTCCGGCTCTAGTCGCACTCGCAGGCCCAGCAGCTCTAGCACTCCCACGACGAGCACCTCCGGGACCGGCGGCACCAGCACCCTCAGCAGCCAAAGAAGCACTAGCTCCAGCAGTACGCCTCCAGCACCGGGCAAACCACACGCGCAGCTCCTGTGGAGAGAGTGGCTCCCGCCGAGACGAAGCAACCGGAGAACCTCCAGGCCCAGCACCGCCAGAAGCCACACGAGCAGGTCCAGCGGCCGTTGGCTCCGCACCCCTTGGCTCAGCAGCTCCAGACGTGGCACCCCCAGGCTCAGCAGCTCCTGACGTAGCACCCCCAGTCGCAGTACCCCCAGGCGAAGGACTCCCAGGCTCAGCACCCCCAGTCTCAGCACCCCTAGGCTCAGCACCCCCAGTCGCAGCACCCCAAGGCTCAGTACCCCCAGGCTCAGCACCCACTCGCGCAGCACCCCCAGAGTCAGCACCCCTAGGCTCAGCACCCGCAGCAGTACCAGAGTCACCAGCAACCTCGACCGGCTCGACCGCGTCTACCTGGGACACACCTGAGGGGGGAGGGGGTCTACCGGGGGGGGGACCTGGCACAAGGAAGAGCGGAGGCGGGGGGAGGGAAGGAGTGCGGTAGGGGAAGAGACTGTAGTAGGGGACCGACTCGTCAAACGTGACAACCTGGGAGGACAGAACAGGACGAGAGGAGGGGTGGTAGAACTGCCACCCTGGCGCGTCAGGGGGGAAGCCAAGGAAGACACAAGGAGCAGCAAGAGGGGACAGCTTGTCTGCACACAAGTCGCGGACAGACGCCCGAGATCCCCAGACACGGAACGCAGACGCATCGCCTACCTTCCCCGTCCACAGCAAAGCTGGGGAGGTCTCCGGCATGGAGTCTCGTGAGACAGGAGGCGACACGAGCAGGGGGCAGACTCAGGACCAGACCTGGACGCAGCAGCAAATACCTGACCCGACGCAGCTACCTGGCCAGACGCAGGGACAGGAGGAGACTCAGTGGTCAAGGTGTAGAGGCTCGACCCCGGACGACGCGTAAACGTGGCCAGGTGCCTGCCAGTGCGAGCGTCCGAGCAGTGGATCACCCGCTGAGTCGCAGGAGTAAACTGGTGAACCCCCGCATCCTGTAGGTCAGCATCACTCACCAAGTTCGTAGAGAACGAGGGGATGTAAAGACCAGACAAGGTGCCAGAGGGGGCAGCCGGACACGGGAGGACAGTAGAGAAGTGTGAGAGGACAGGACTCCCAGAGGGGTCGGCAAGGGAGACTGCAACCGGCCGACCAAGCGGCGTGGTGCGAGGCCGCAAGGTAGGCGGCGGGGCCGCAGCGAGAGGGGCGGCGGGGCCGCAGAAAAGGGCGGCGGGGCCGCAAGGTAGGCAGCGGGGCCGCAGCGAGAGGGACGGCGGGGCCGTAGCGAAGGGCGGCGGGGCCGCAGAGAAGGGCGGCGGGGCCGCAGCGAAGTGCAGCGGGGCCGCAGCGAAGGGCGGCGGGGCCGCAGCGAAGGGTGGCGGGGCCGCAGCGAAGGGCGGCGGGGCCTTAGTGAAGGGCGGCGGGGCCGTAGGGAAGGGCGGCGGGGCCGCAGCGAAGGGCGGCGGGGCCGCAGCGAAGGGCGGCGGGGCCGGGACAGGGCGGCGCCGGGGCTGTAGGGCGGCGCAAGGGAGGCCGCTAGGGGCAACGCGACGTGGCCGTTAGGGCGGCTCGACGAAGGCAGAGAAGGGAGCGCCACTCGGGGGGCGCGCTCCGGGCAGGAAAAAAAATTCGATGTGGTGGGCCCTAGGCACAGTTCCCACGAGGGAACCTGCTCGATACCATGAGAAAGTTAGAACGAGAATGAAATTACTAAGTGAAAGTTGGGTACAAATACAACCCTAGAAAGCTGTACCACATATGTGCTAGCCCACTATAGCCTACAACAGCTGTGTCATACAAATCCGACAAAGTCTTGTGCCTACTTGGCCTCACTTGCTTACCTCTTGATTTCGCTTGTACTGTGATCTATATATACCTGCACCTGCTTGCTTACACTTGCTCGGTTGAGATAACTGTCTTGCTTGTTCACATAGATTTATAATATTGCATGCATGTAAACTAGCCTTGTGGCCTTGTACTTGTGCTCAGAATGCGTGGTGACGTGATGATCCACCCTCAGCTTGTCCTTGCCTTGTTCTCGTGCTTGTCCACCACTTTGCCTATGGGGGTGTGTAAGAACTATATTGTAGGCTGTAGTGGGGCACTCCTTACGGGGTACAGCATTGTTAGGTTTTGCCTATACAAACCTTGTACTGCCATGTTTCTATTCATTCTCGTTTCATACCTTCTGACGGACTGAAGTGAACGATAGTGAGAAAACCAAGAGAGTACCTACACCTAATATTATTTCGTAGGCCTTCACCCTTTTAGTAACTGCATCTGCCATAGTCAGTTACGTTAGCTGTTTTTCCATCCCATTTTGTTAATAATCATATCAGAGGATCCTATATGTAAGTTAGAGTAGCTACGTTGTTCCAGTTACGAGACGCGCCATTTCTCCGCGTCGTGCTCTCCAGATTGTCCATGCAACATGCGCCTCGACAACATCACAATTATTGGAGTGCACCTGTGGAATTGCTGGAACAATTTCTGCTCGCCATCAACTAGTCAATCCAGACAACACCCTCCCCCAAAATTCACCCACCTTTTCCGTCGAAACATCTTCAGTACCAACCTGACGCCCACATGCCATGACGTCTTTAGCTACAGAAGACTTTATAAACAACCCCAGCACCTACCCACGACGTCTTTCGAGGCGCATGAGCACAGAGACGGCAGGGAACGACCCATCCGCAAGCCATGTATAATAACTCGCTCGTCATTCCGTATCTCAACGTACCCTACAAGCACCAACGTGCTTACATTTTGACCCGCCAGTTCTCACGCTAAAACCGTGGAAAAATCGTGAAATATACGAATATCATACTACTAAAGTTAGCATCACCATCGCCCTTGCTTAGCTCGCAAGTGACATAATTCGCTGGGCGTGAATCACCGTCAACGGCATGATGCGTACCGCAAATTTCCTCCTCCTCGCCCTGTCGCTCCTCGCTGCCACGTGTCAATGCCTCTCTGTCCGGCGTAAGTACGGACGCATCAGTTTGACGCATAGGCAGCCGTACCGAACCGCAATGTGCACATGAAACACGGGTGAGTATCATTCGATAACTGACTTCGTTCGCTCCATGTTCCTTTTCCCCCCACCTACAGTTGTCCAAACTAGAAATGGGCCGAGCGGCAGTGGCGGCGGCGGTGGTGGCGGCAGCGGTGGTGACGGCAATGGTGGCGGCAGCGACGGCGGCAGCGGTCTCTATATCGTGCGCCTCCACTCCGCGCTCCCCCTCGCCGCGTATCGCGGAGCCGTCTCCAGCTTCTCCGGCTGGGCGGACGACAACGATGACGACGAGAGTAGCGACAGCGCCGCCCGCCCGGCAGGGCTGATGGCGACGGCAGAGGCGGTGGACGAAGAGGTGACGGCGACGGGCGGCAGGGTGCCGCGCCGTGCGCGGCTCAGCAAGAACAACCCGCAGGTTAAGGCGTACGCGCAGATGCTGCAGACGCAGCAGGCGCAGATCGCGTCGGAAGTGGGCGTGGCTTCGGACAAGATGGCGTACAGGTGAGCAACCAACGCGTTTACGAGGTAGCGCGCGGATGTGAGATTCTAGACTCAGCCTTTTACTGACTTCTGGCTATCGCACAGATGCGTGGCGCTGAGCAAGATGGCGTGCCGGTAAGTAACAAACGTGTTGGAAGCAGCCCAGTATATCATAATACGCGAGTAGGATCTTGGTTTCTTACTTCCGATTTGCTTTTGAAGATGCCGGTGCTAACCGCCGGTGCTCACACTGCCACATAGCGGCCCCATTTCTCCGCCACCTTTTTGTTTTACTCCACACGTCCCGCCTCCTCCACCCCACCTCCCAACTCCTGTCCCCACACCCCGTCCCCCTCGGGCAGCTACATTAGTCCTCCAACCTGATGGCACCTATCATGCTCGCACTTAAAGTAGCCGACACCTCGTTCCTCTTAACCTGTGCCCTCTTCCCCACATCCGCCCCTGTTCTCCCGCCTTTGCGCCTCACGTTCTTCCCCGCGCAGCTACAAGTACTCGTCCAACGGCTTCTCGGCGGAGCTGACGGCGGAGCAGCTGCGGCGGCTGAAGCGCCACCCCGCCGTGGCGTCCGTGCGCCCGAGCGCGCGCAAGCGCCTCTTCACGACCGAGTCGCCCACCTTCCTCGGGATGAACAGCGCCGGGTCGCTCTGGCCCGCGAATGGCGGGCAGGCGAAGGCGGGCGACGGTACGGTAATTGCCATCGTCGACACGGGGATCTGGCCGGAGCACCCGTCGTTTAGCGACACGGGGTTCTCCTCGTCGCGGCCTGCTGGGTGGTCGGGGAAGTGCGACACCACGAAGGATTTTAAGTGCAATAACAAGCTCATCGGTGCGCGCGCGTTTTATAAAGCGTATAAAAGCGCCAACGGGCTGGATCTCTCCGGGGATTGGCTGTCTCCGCGCGACGCCAACGGCCACGGCACGTGGTGTGCGGGGTGAGTCGGCTCGCTGACTTTCACTGTGCGCATCGTGTCATACAGATGTCTGCCCATGTTCTCATTCCGAACTCTTCGCAATCCTTTCCCCAATATTCCCTCTATTCATGTATCCACAATGCATCCCCCTCCATGCGTCCCCTCGTATGCGGTCCCCCTCCTTCCATCCCGCCTTCCACGCATCCCCCACCTCCCCTACCCTTCGCAGAGCGGCAGCGGGAAACTAGGGAGTGCCCATGGCGGGCGGCAAGGCGAGCGGCATGGCGCCAGCAGCGCGCCTCGTGGCATACAAGGTCTTCTGGTCGTCCAGCGATGGGATGTGGGCGGAGGAGGCAGACATCATCGCAGCCGTAAATCAGGGCGTGGCGGACGGCGTGGATGTGATCTCGCTCTCCCTGGGCGCCGTGAACCCCGAAGATACCTACTTTGATGACATCGCCTTCCTCAACGCTAACTTGGTGTGACTCTCTCAGCTCTCGTCTGTGCCCCTCTCCCTGCTCCTCTCCTTGCTCCTCTCCCTGCTCCTCTCCCTGCTCCTCTCCTTGCTCCTCTCCCTGCTCCTCTCCCTGCTCCTCTCCTTGCTCCTCTCCGTGAACCCCACCCACCGACACCTACTTTGACGACATCGCCTTCCTCAACGCCAATTTTGTGCGCTGCTCTCCCCTCCTTCATCCCCTGTTCTCTCTCCACGCTCTACGTGCCGAACTCTTTGTGCCGCCCTCTGTGTGCCGCCCTCTGTGTGCCGCCCTCTGTGTGCCGCCCTCTGTGTGCCGCCCTCTATGTGCCATGCGCCCACCTCTCCTCACATCACACCTACTTTGACGACATCGCATTCCTCAACGCCAGCCTGGTGTGCCTCTCGCCACCTTGCTCTCCTCATACGCTCGCCTGTGCCTCTCGCCACCTTGCTCTCCTCATACGCTCGCCTGTGCCTCTCGCCGCCTAGCTCTCCTCATACGCTCGCCTGTGCCTCTCGCCGCCTAGCTCTCCTCATACGCTCGCCTGTGCCTCTCGCCGCCTTGCTCTCCTCATACGCTCGCCTGTGCCGCTTTCCCTGTGCCGCTTTCCCTTCCTTGCTCCCTTTCCTGCCCACCTTCCTGCTTCCCGCCTTGCTCCCTTTTTTTCTCTCCTCTCTGCTCGGTGTCGCGCACTCTCCTCGCATCTCGCCTGCTTCCACATCGCACTCCTCATCGTCAACGTGCTTCCGCTCCCTCGCCCAATTGTCCCCCGCTGCTCGTTTGTCAACGTGGTGCTGCTCGTTTGTCAGCGTGGTGCTGCTCCCTCTCCTAAACCCTCGCTGTGCAGCACACCAGCATTACTATGCTCGGCTTATCTGCTGCTCTCCTCTCTTCTCATTTCCTCTCCTCTCCCTTCTTCCCTCCTTCCCAATGGTCAGGCGGGGGTGGTCGTGACCTTTGCTGCGGGCAACGACGGTCCCCCCCAGGGATACCGCTCGCTCGACAACTATGCACCCTTCTACCTTACAGTGGGCGCCAGGTGAGCCAAGCCAGCTGCCTCACAGTGGGCGCCAGGTGAGCCAAGCCAGCTGCCTCACAGTCTGACTCACAGAGCCTGCTGCCTCGCTCCCTCTACCTCCATCATCACACTTTCTTCTTGTTTGACTGTGATGCGGGTTTGCCAAGCACAGATTTCGGGACGTTTCGTTGCTTCCCTCCCTCAACTCCTCTAGCTTCCCTTATTACTACCACCATCCTCACCCCATTTCCCCACAACGTCCCCGCATCTCCATGTCCCACCCCCCACTCCTCCCCTCCCCCAGCACCATCGCCCGAGGCGGCCTCACTCTCGCCAGCTCAGCGGGCGCATCCAGGTCAGCAGCAGCATCCACCAATCTGACGTCATCCTCCGCCACACCCTCCGCCAAGCCCTCAGCCGGCGATTCCGCGCCCAACGTGGCCGATTTCTCCTCCACGGGTCCCCTCATCTTCCCCGACATCGGCACCGGTGGTGGCCTGGCCACCGACTCAATCTTAAAGCCCGACATTGTCGGCCCGGGAGTGGACCTCTACGCTGCTGCCCCGGGCACGCGCATGGGTGACAAGGGCGGGTCGGCAGGGATGTCCGGGACGTCCATGGCGACGCCTCACCTGGCGGGGATCGCTGCGCTGGTGATGCAGAAGTACCCTTCTTGGAGCCCCGCGCAGGTCATGTCTGCCATCATGACCACAGCTACAACCAAGGACGTCAACGGCGCTGCCATCTCTAGTGCTGCCTCAGGGCAAGCTGCCACGCCGTGGGATATGGGCAACGGGCATGTGTTCCCACCCAAGGTTCTCGACCCCGGGCTCACGTATGACGCCCGGAAAAGCGCTTATCTGAATTTCCTGGCCGGGCTGGACATGCAGAGGACCCGGTCAGAGTACCCGAATGAGAGGCTCACCTCTGTGCCTCCCAGAGAGCTCAACCGCCCCACCATCGCACTTGCCAGTCTCAAAGGCAAGATAAAAGTCACACGCACTGTCACCTGTGTCGCTGACTCTGCCTCCACTTACACTGCCAAGATTCAGAAGCCTAATGGGGTGGATGTTACTGTGAAGCCCAGCAGCTTTGCCATCTCGCCTGGTCAGAAGGTCAGCTTTGTGGTGACCTTCAAGGTTACTAAAACCTCAAAAAGCTTTCAGTATGGGAGCCTCACTTGGGTGGACGAAAAGGGTCACTCTGTTCGGTCGGCGATTGCTGTCAAGCCTGTCAGGAAGTGAGTGAGCAGCATGGTTGGGAGTACATGGTTTTGGGAATAATGATGGACCAACCAGGAATTGGTGGTACATACGAGCTTGCTTAATAAATATGCAGTCTCTGAGATTTGCTTGAATGTTATTAGATATGTTAGTTTCAAATATTATTAGATTTCTTTTCTTTTTGAGGCACATGTGATCTCTATCCACCTGAATGGCTAGTAATGGAAGGACGTCCCTAGTTTTGCTGAACCATGAATTTGTACAAACCCAAGGCCCGCTCAGGATTGCGCTTGCGTTATTCATCTGCCCAACCAGCATATTTCAGCATTTCTGTCAGAGTAAGTGACCACCTGAACCACTATGTCTGAAGGAAAACTATCGCGGTTCGTCGGATCATACGGTATCGGGCCGCATAGCTCTGAACCGACACTTTCCCCTCCCAGGCTTCATGTTTGGCTCAGTCAGTGCCGTGCTTAAAAAAGGGCATGTGTCTTTTGGTGTAGACGTTCGGAAAAAAGGTCGACCTTTTGCTGGTAACCGGCTTCGTTAATTTAGCTTAACACTGTTTGCGACGTTTGTGTGTCCATGTAAAATGTTTGAGAAAACAGGACACTGAACTGGGGTCGACCTCGCTTTCGATTTTTTCGTCCACGTTTTTCCAATCGTGTGTTCCACTGCTCACGGACGAAGCAGCAGCGAGAATTGCGACGTACACGAACTGCTTCGTAGCGAGTTACCGAAGTCGGATTCGGTCACGAACGCCTTTTTATAGACAAGGTAACCTACGAAATTTAGGCGCAACTCGGGATTTAATGTATAAATTCGACCTTCGACAGTTGTACTTTGTTGGTTAATGTGCTTGATGTGAAAAAGGAAAGAAAAAATGAGAAGGGTTTTGGGTTTAGGATAGTCGACAACAGTTAGACCAAGGTTCAAATGCATTAAGTTGCAAAAGAACATGAACTTTACAATACACTCCAAAAGACACACGCCCTAAAAGGCCATATATTACTCAAGATTGTCAAGACTTCAATTCGTGTTAGAATCTAGCAGAAGTAATGAATCAACTATGAAACAGTTGGGTACAAGTATGAAACCCTAAAAGGGGCTGTACCCCATATTGGCTACCCCACTACACCCTACACATATATAACATGCATATACTTCGACACACCCCCATAGGCGAAGTGGGGGAGAGCAAGGGGTCACAAGACAACTCAAGCGAAGCAAAGCAAGCTCAGGGTGGATCACAACGTCACCACACACACTGAGCACAAGCAAAGGGCCACAAGGCCAGTTCACATGCAGAGGTATATATGCAACACCATCAGCACAGTGATCTCTACCTAGCAGAGCAAGCATGCAGGTATATATATAGATCACAGAACAAGCAAAGTCTACAGCAAGTGAAGAAAAGTGGGCACAAGGCCTAAAAAAGTGCACAAACTCTGATGATCACCAGACTGAATTGCCTTGGTGAATATATCAGCAGTGAGCAAAACGAAGCTGCCCACGCTGCTGCAACTGTCGTGCCAGGAAGTAACGTAGAGCGACGTGTTTCCTTTTGTGTTCCAGTCTGTGCTCCTAACACAAGGCAATGGCGGCCTTGTTGTCGACGTACAACACTGGAGGAGAATGAGGCCGCTCTCCCAAGTCGATCAGCAGTTAGGTGAGCCAGCGTAACTCATATGCAGCCATGGCTGTGGCGTAGATCTCTGTGAAGAAATGAGGAATGAATGAACTAGCAAGCAGATGGGTACAAGTAGGAAATCCTAAAAGTGAGTTTGACAATCTCAGCCTAACAACTGGAGTTGAGAACAGAAGACGAGCGTGTAGAACGCCAAGAAACTGAACCAGAGCCAAGGTTGAAGGTGTAAGCCTCTGAGGACCGCTACGTAGCCTGGTCGTCAACCCCAAGAAGCGTCTGAGTGCCTAATAAGGACAACTGGGCTCCGCCCTCCAAGCACGAGCCCCATGCCCGATGTACCCCAGAAGTAGTGCAATACCCTCTTCGTAGCATCCATCTGCACCTTTTGGTGCCGACCAGGAGCCACGTAGCGAGCCAGGAGGCCAAGAGGGTACGCAAGGTCAGGTCAAGTGCAGGTCATCAAGTACATCAGGCAGCCCACTAGCTCTGGGTACGGGCCACTCGGCTCTACGGACTCGTCCGAAGGTGGAGCTTAGAGCGAGTGGCCTGTAGCCACAGGAGTGTGCTGTGGCGAGGACCAGGTAAAGCCGAAGCGCTGAAGGACCTGCTGCACCATGTGTGACTGAGTCAGTGTGATGGTGCAGTGTGCTCTGTCCCAGGTGATCTGCAAGCCAAGGTAGCTGCGCAGTTCACCCATGTCTGTGCACGTTTGTCTCTTCTGCAGCTTCGACTTCACCAACGCGAGAGCCTCAGTATCAGCAGTGGCAAAGACCAAGTCGTCGACGTACACAAGAATGTACAACGGCGGCAGCAACGTGTTAGTGCGCAGAAACAGCGACGGGTCAGCAGTCGACGGAGCTAACCCAAGAGCCGCAAGTGTAGTCCTCAGTATGTCGTGCCACTCACGTGGTGCCTGGCGGAGACCGTAGACCGGCCACCGGAGGCTCCACTGGGTACCAGGAGGGAATGACCCAGTGAAGCCAGGAGGGCGGCAGAGCCGAATCTCCTCGTGCATGCTGCCCTGTAAGAAAGCTGTGCTGAAGTCAAGAGAGTGAAGCTTGTAGTCACGCTGAGCGAGAACGTTTAGCAGCACCCAAAGAGTTGTCATCTTTGGGGTGGGGGAGAAGGTCTGGAAGAAGTCCACTCCCTCTTGCTGACTGAAACCTCGAGCAACATAACGAGCCTTGAAGACAGGCTCAGAACCTGGCGGCTGCTTCACCCTGAAAATCCACATGTCATTGACGATGTTTGCCTCAGGAGGGGGAACCTCGTCAACGTAAGTGCCTGTGGACTTCCAGGATGCCATCTCTGCGTCCATGGCTGTCTGCCATTGAGAGGAGTACTCACCCGCGATCGCCTCAGCGTAAGAGAGCGGGTTCAGGATGTCAAGTGCATCCGGGTCTCCCTCAGGGGCAAGCAGCATGGATACGAGATGAGGCGCAGCGGCTGCAAGACACTCAAGGTCCTCCTACCTGTCCTCAAGGACGTCCGTGCCAAGAGCACACTCACCCCCAACGGACGGAGGACAGACAGACTCATACTCAGCAACAAGACTAGCGGCGTAGTCTAGACGACAGGCAGCAGCAAAGTCGACAAGCTCAGTGACTAAGGCAGACGCAGCAGCAGACTCAAACGACGGGTCAGTGACAACTGTGGCTAGCAGACGCGTGACAATAGGGTGAGCAGGACGTGTGCGGTCAGACTTAGGCTCAAGAACGGTAGGCAGAGAAGACGCAGGAGGGGACGGCAGGGGAACACACTACGGAGGAGAGGAAGGACGACAAACTGCGAAGTGGGTGCCGGTGATAGCCGGCTGATGCGAACGAGGAACACGACGACTAGAACGACCAGAACGGACAGGCGAGATAGGACGCGACGAAGGCGCACGACGCTCAGTAAGACCCCCTGTCTGCTCAGTGTAAGGAGAAGGAGCAGGCAGCGGTGAGCTAGGCTGTAATGGAAGACCAGTAGACGAAGGGAGACTAAGAACCTGACGAAGCGCAGAGTCAGGCAGTGGCTGAGACGACGGAGATGGTGGAGCAACGAACAGGCGCTGCTGTGCACTGCCACCAGCACCAGCAGCTCCAGCACCCCTAGCAGCTCCAGCACCGCTAGCAGCTCCAGAACCCTCAGCGCCAGCTCCTACAGGACCAGCTCCACCAGCAGCAACACCCCTAGAACTGGCACCTCCAGTCCCAGGGTCTCCAGCCTCAGTGTCTCCAGCAGCAGCACCCCCAGACCTAGGGTCTCCAGCAGTAGCACCCTCAGGCTCAGCACCTCCAGCCCCAGCAGCTCCAGTACCTCCAGTACGAGCACCTCTGGGACCAGGACCATTCCCAGCTCCAGTGACGCCAGCAGAAGTACCTCTTGCGGCAAAGCCCCGAGCTCCAGAAGCGCGACCCTGACGGCAACCGTACCAGTCGTGCAGCTGCTTTGAGGTGAGAGGCACATGCAGACGAAGGCGGCTACTCCAAGGAGACCGCGCAACACCAGACTCAGAACCCTCAGCGCCAGCACCCGCAGCAGCTCCAGAACCTCTAGCGCCAGCACCCGTAGTAGCTCCAGAACCTCCAGTAGAAACAACTCCAGTAGTAAGGTCACCAGCTCCAGCGCCTCCCGCAGCAGGGCCCCTAGCTCCAGCAGCGCGAACCTGACGGCCAACATACCACTCACGCAGCTGCTGTGGGGAGAGAGGGAGTCGACGACGAGAGGGCAGCGGCGAGGTACCAGCGGAGCGACTACGGAGACGGCCGCCCCAGGGAGACTGCTCACCACACGCCTCAGTGCCCCCAAGTGCAGCACCCCTAGACTCAGTACCCCCAAGGCACAGCAAGAGTCCACTTAGAGGTCGCGGATGCCCATGAAACCCCCTAAGCAGAATCTGACGTCTTCAAACCGCCTCTGTTCAAAACGCCGTCACGATCAGCTCCAAAAACATACGAGACTGAAACTTGAACAGCGGTTAGCCTTAGGTGTTTACTTTCCAACGGTATATTACTTGTTATTATCAGAGGTGTGTGCACTACGCAGTGAACAAAAACGTAAGCTCGGCTGAAAAACGTGTATTCTCATTGATGCAAGGAAGAGGTGAGTACAACATTGCCTAAGGGACTCATAAGGGGTTGGGTCATCCTGGGAACTCAGAGAAGGTTGATTCCTAGGGGAGAAAGGCTAGAGAAGGATGGGAAACGTCCTAGCTAGGTCAGCAAAGCCAACCACACATGGATGTTCAGAGCTGTACTCAAGGCTACCAATAGTGAGTCAAGCCAACATGAGTCAGCTTGTCTTCCCACTTGCACCCTCTTGCAAGCTGGTTCCAGGAAGACCACAATTCTCAAAAGGAGGGTTGTAGAGTCCCACTTGACCACCTGTA